TAATAACTCTGACTTATCCAGGGGGATAAGCTACTATTGTACTGGTAAGGTAATTCCAAAAGACCAGATACAATTTGTTATTAACTACGAAGAACTCCTACATATGAAATCTGGCAACCTTATATATCCGTCCTTCCTAGTCTTTGATCAAGCTGCTCAACCTCTTGGCTCTTGCCAAGACCTTGATCACCTTGATCACTTTGTTCACGTGGTACTGAATCACGTGACTGGTCCTTGGGTGTCATCGAGCCCTCTGGCCACGATTTCCGACTTCCGTCCCAAGTACTTGACGCCTTCTTTGTCCTCATAGGTTCTGGTATCGTAACATAATGCCGAGCCCTTGTACCTTATCCGAGCCGAATGTGGGGGATTGTTTAGACTGTAGACTGCGTTAAAGATCTCGGATGCAATAACGCATCCCACATGAATAAATATAGGTACAATTATTGTAGTTGTTACACTTAAATAATACGAACCTTGATTTTACATCGTCTTTACTGTATTGTTGAGACCCTGATTTTAATCAATCTGCAAACACAATAGTTTCAAGTCCCGTCATAACTTCCGTGATCCCTCTCCATGTCGGCCAATTTCTCTTTGTCCGCATAGAGACAGATGGTGGACCTGTGGGCTGGGGCGAAGCTGGAGTCTGGGGTCACATCGAAGCGGGAGCAACTGCGGTTCAACGATTTGCAGAATATCTCACCGGAAAATGCGCATTCGATATCGAGCATCATTGGAACGTCATGCACCGCTTTAGCTATTTCCAAGGCATGGCCATCAATGCTGCAATTTCAGGGATTGACATTGCGCTGTGGGATATCAAGGGGAAGGCTCTGGGTGTACCAGTATGGGAACTTCTGGGTGGAGCTTGCCGGAAGAAGGCGAGAGTATACGGTCACATCTACGAGAAAAACATCGAGGGCATCCTCAAAGAGTGTAAAAGAAAGATGGATTTAGGATACACTGCATTCGGCCACATCAATCCGTTTCTGGACGAGGGACACGACCAAGTCTACTTTAAAACACATGTCAAGAAGATGCAAGACGCAGCCGACAATGTGCGTCGGATGCGCGAAGTCGTAGGCGATCAAGTCGACCTTCTCATAGAATTGCATCGTCGCCTAACACCAGCTGAGGCATTCACTTTCACCAATATGATCAAAGATTACAATCCTATGTTTGTGGAGGACCCAATCCGCCCAGAAAACGCCGATTCGATGGCCCGCGTTGCAGATCGTATTGTAGTACCCATCGCTACTGGCGAGCGATTCAGCAATATATACGAGTTTCAAGCCCTCTTGTCTCGCAATGCGGTAGAATATGTCCGCGTCGATGTCGCTCTGTGTGGCGGAATTACCGGCGCAAAAAAGGTTGCTGCGATGGCAGAAGCACACAATGTGCAAGTCGTGCCTCACAATCCGCTTTCTCCCATCGGCCTAGCTGCCTGTCTCCAGATCGCTGCGAGCGTACCAAATTTTGCGATCCAAGAGTACGCGACCGGTTTCGAGAATGGTGTCTTCACTTCTTCTTTGGATCATCTTGGCAGTAATGTTGTGGACGTGGTTCCGAAAGTTGAAAACGGGTTTGTCGACATTCCGACGGGTCCGGGTATTGGCATCAATCTCCTGGATAATGCTTCTGAAATCCGACCTCCGTTCAATCAGCCAATGCATATGAGGCCTCATTACGATGGCTTTGTCGTTGATCAGTAAGACTGATCATGGTGGAGTGTTGCTCGAGAAAGGTTCGTCTCAAGCAGGCCGTTGAAACACCGCAAATGAGACATAGAGTTACCGATAGGTATATTCATGGTAGCACGTAGAAACGCTAAACACTGTCAAATGGTCCCTATGAATGATCCTACATATCATATGACGTTATCTTCCTAAAAGATTGGATCTCATTTTTTTCTTTCGTCCAAGGTTGTCCTTAGATTTGTGCGTGTAGCTCTCAACTCTTAGATCTATACTTTATATCAGGCTATAGAGGGCTATTAAAGTCTTTGGTCCAGTCTCTGATATTAGGAACTCTGTCGGTACACACAAATGGTTTACACAGTCATGTGATGCTGTCGTAGTTTCGAGTCATTATAAACACATAACAGTATCCATTATTGTCAGCATAAGCTCATAACCCTTCTGTTCAACAATTATCTCCCTTTTTAACCAATATCTGCACCATCTAATTTATACCCAGCATGAAAATTAGATACCATCCTACAGATTGTTCTTATTTAAGAACTATGGATTATCGGCAGAGTGATATAGTTGATATGATTTGGTCCAAAGTGAAGATGATTAATTCCGTCGAAGCGCTCTTTAGTCCTGGTGAAATTATCAATTTTTGTAAGGTTTGATGAAACGATTAGAGTTACATACCTCTCGCCCCCTTCATGCACGAATGGTCCGATGCCAGGGGTATCGCCCGCGCTGATCTCAATTGAAATCTTTTCACCAGGCAACACGACGATGTTAGTGGGCCAGATTTCAACATCGACCGGATAGACCTCTGCTGGGATGACCGGTAGAACGTCGGTGGAAAAATAGTCCCGAAAAGGCCTGTATTCCCGATGATGGGGATGCTTGTCATTGATCTTTCGCAAGCTTACTCTTTGACATCCTCTAGTAACGGCGGCAGCATCGCCAATTGTGCCAGTGAAAACTCTTTCAGTGCCATCGGCATTCCAATGCCTCATCATGAAGAATACATCAATATCTTTGGGTACCGTTCCTCCAGGCTTTCGGGTCACTGATAAGTTGACGTGAGCAATGATGTGGCCAGTAATTTCGACTTCGTGCTCGAATGGCGTTGTGGTAAATTGATGGCGGAAAGGGTTGTTCAAGGTCGTCAAAGCTGGGTAGGATAGCCTTTTGTGGATATCAATAGTTGGAATCTCTGGAGCCCATGTCAAATCGGGACCTAAGTAATATTTCGTGTACTTAGTGGCAGGCAAGGGCCACTCTGGTGCTGTCTTCCACGAGTAGATCTGCCCCGATGCCGATTCGATACTCTTGTGATCAAATGGTCCTTTCCGTGTCTGGTATGTCACACGAGGTTGTAGACCTCTGGTCCAGCCAGCATAATCATCGTTCTTTAAAAAGGCCGAGAGGAAACTCTTCTGCGTGTTTACTTCAACTTCGGAGAAAAACGGAAGGTCATGTCGGCCACTTCCAACTCGCAAGAACTTGTAACGAGAGCCTGCCAACATGTACCCTTCAATATTACCTCGTAAATGAACAACTAGATTACTCCAGTTTCCAAATGAAAGCAAAGGAACCTCGATATCCTCTAGATTGTAGTCTCGTGACGCGAAATATCCGTCATCGCGAAAAAAGGCCTGAAGATTATCAACGTCTTGATCTGTTCGATTCTGACGTAGTTCGCCCTCAGAAAGGTTTCCTTCGATCGTGTTGGGACCACGGCCATTTTTATTGCGATCCGGGAGACCATACTGATTTGATCTGACCTGCTTCCCCATCTAAAATTGCAGGAATGGCAATAATAAAATACCACCATGACGGCATCGATCGCGATAATAATCAGCCATGCCTTCGTAGGGAATTATGCATGCAAGACCACGAGGGTGCCTTGCAGCAACTCTCCACTGGCTTCCAGCAAAGTAACTGATCCCTAATAGGCCTACTTTACCATTTGACCATGGCTGATCAGCTGCCCACTCAATAAGCTCTGCAAACGCGTCGGACGTTGATGCAGACATAGTATCCAAGAAGCCTGGGGATTGGCCGATGCCAATCTCATCGGCACGTACAACGGCATATCCTTCTCCAGTCCAAAACTTTGGGTCCGGTACTTCGAAACAGGAGTGTTCGGACTGTTGAGTAGGATTGATATCGTGCCAGGCGTGAGGAAGGAATCTGGTTTCGCAGGTTAGCTTTTAGTTCACAATTTCACAGGTTCCTAGTTAAGTCACTCTTTAGTGTTCGTGTCTTTTCCGTACGGCCCGTAGGTCATGATGACAGGAGCGCGTTCAACAATTTTAGGCCGATAAACGTTGCATCGAATTAGTCCTTTGACAGAGCTTGGCTTAAATGTAACATTTTGTTCGTAAATGTAACCGAATGAAGTCGAGTCAACTGTTGTAATGTCTTCTTTGATTTGATTTGGCATGACTATGATCAGAAAGATGGAAAAAGGGTTAGACTTGAGCGAAAGTTGAACGCTGTAGTATGGCACGTAGATAATTCCCCAGATGGAAGTATTGATTATAGAAGTGACGCCATATGAGGTTCCCCAGGTCGAACGAGGCGTGGTTGCAGAGTTTCTCGGGACCTCAACCACAGTGCCCCAGACTTGAGCTCCAAGGTCGGCAAAATCCCGACTCCCCCCTCGGGCCCGCAAATCAGCCCACTGTAGCGAATTTGGAACATTCACGGTGCAGTTACCGATTGAATGATTTCCGGCAGAACCATGATTTGTTCGTTAATCATCTATAATATTGAATGGGAAAAGCTAATTAGGCGGGCCCGAAATAGATGTATCGTACTTGGTAATGACTATGAAGAATCCAAACCCAGACGAGTGTCAAACAAGATACCCAACCAAGAACCTTTTACTCTGAATTACCGAAAATATGGTGCGCATTTTGCTGGTTGGTACCGGCAGTGTTGGTACGGTTTATGCTATGCTATTGTCAAAAGGCGGAGCAGACATCACATGCGTTTGCCGCTCAAATTATGCGTTGGCAAACTCCCACGGCTTCACCGTTCGCTCAACTATCTTTGGAGAATATCGATTTCGACCAACCATTGCTAGTTCCGTCGAGGATGTTGTCGATAACCAAGCCTCTGATCTTCCATTCGACTTTGTCCTTGTTTGCACAAAGGCACTTCAAAGTCAAGGAAAGCACTCAATACCCCACTTGATACGTCCTGCCGTTACGAAAGCACATACGAGCATCGTTATCATTCAGAATGGTCTCGGAGTGGAGAATCTATATCGGGATTTCTTCCCCGACAATACCATTATTTCTGGTGTCACATATTCACCCACGTCACGGGCTGAAGCTGTCGTTTTCTCGCACACGGAAACACAAAGGTTACATTTGGGCCCCTTTCCAGCAGAGTTTGCCACTTCTGTAGAGAAGGACAACACTGAAGCCTTCGCAGACTTGATTAGAGCTGGAGGGGGAGATGTTACGGTTCATGAGGACGTTCAGATTGAGAGATGGAAGAAACTCATTGGAAATACGACATGGAATCCCATATGCGCGCTGTCTCGCAGCCGTGATCTTCAATTTCTCCAAGCCACTCCTGAATTGGCGCAGGAATTTGTCATCAGATCCATGCGAGAAGTTGTTGCCGTCGCTGATGCCGCAGGATATGGTAATTATATTGGTGAGGGTGACATATCGAAGCAAGTTCAGCGCAGTAAAGATCGAAAATGGCCTGGTGTTGAACCGAGCATGTTGGCAGACATCAAAGCGGGAGGCCAGCTAGAAGTAGATGCCATCATTGGTGAGGTAGTAAGGATTGGGAAAGAGAAGGAGGTTGACGTACCTAGATTAGAGACACTATATTTGCTGCTCAACTGCTTTATCAATGCCACCACGGAAGCCTGAGCTCATCATGTAGGGTCAACATGTATTTCTCTTTTCGATAAATCGTGGTCTTTGTGAGATATTGGCTTTGAGTTGATCAAGTTTCTTAATATTTTGTACCTCCCACTCCAAAGTACAGAGACAATAGCAACGGTGTGTGTTTAATATACAAAATAACATGACATAATCTCTTGTAAAATGACCAAATTCTATCGAGAAAAGTCACCACTCGTTCCCAATCTGATACATGCCATAACCTCGATCGTGTAAACCAGTAGCCCTGGCGATGGAATATCCATACTACGGAAAGGGAGGACACATTAGATGTTCGCCTTTCAATAATTGCAAGGTGGGTAAAAAAGCTTACTTGCAGTAATTGACATCCACAGAACATGATCCATAGAAACATTCTCATAGGCAGAGGGCCCCCAACAGCTACCCATTGTGGATGTAAGACCGGAGGACGATGCGGTGGCATTCGATGGTGCTCTGCTGGCCAGTTCGATGGATTGGTGTTTGGCTCGTGGCCTGTTACTCCAAAATTAGATGGCAGGAAAGCTTCTTCAAATTCCTCCTCTTCATCGTCGTTCACCGTGTCTACAAATGAGGAAGTGATGACAGTGATGGGATCTGTTATTTGCGCAGGCGGAACTAGATCCACAGGGGTAATAATGGATTGGGAGGTGAACGACATGGCAAGCGATCAAGAATGATATAGACGTGTCTCAGATGATTGGTAATTAATGTGTGGTTTTGTGAAGAGAAATCCGTCGTGGCAGAAGGATGGAGAAAAGCGAGTGAGAATGTGGGAAGAGCACTTCGCAGGCACTGCAATCCAAGCCCGCTTTCATGTCCAGATGAGCTATCTGCACCTTTTCCAGCATATTTCTCCGCACTCCTCGTGTGATCGGCATGCCTTGGCTTCAAGGCCGGCTTCAGGGGGTGGGGGCGCCTGCCGTGCCGAGGTGGAGAACGATCAACTCGGTTGAAGGTTCTCCACATTCGAAACTCGCTGTCGCCAGGACGTCTAGTGAAGGGTACGGTATCACAAGGCAACTAAAGTCCCATGAGTTACGAAAGCTAAAATGGCTTGTGAAATTGCCCTCTTCGAATTTTGATAAAAAGTGTAAGTCGGACCGAATTGACCTTCCTAATAAACGACGTGCAACATCCAAAAGTTCCCCTACTTATTCTTTGATCTACTTGCGTTGACTACCATAATCAGTATGTCAAATCCACAGAATGCAACCCTGGCACGCGTCAAAGGTGCAGCCATCGATGGCCGCTTGAGGGTTCTTCGAATCCGGCAGCAATTGTTTCACTCTCTTCATGGCGCTTTGATACAACGACGCGAAGAACTTCTTCAAACAATTCAAAATGACGACAACTGTTCTGCAGAAGAAGCATTAGTTGTATACGGAAGCTCGCTCATCGACCTACGCAATCACTACAATGCTCTTGATTTATCGACAGGTCTGCAAGAGGAATACCGCTTAGCGAGAAAGGAGAGCAATGAAAATAAACGCACGCCGATTGCCATGACGTATATCATCCCTGGAAGATTCGCATTATTCTTTAGTTTGATTTCTGCTTTATGCGCTGCGATAGAAGCTGGTAGCTGTGTAATAGTTGAAGTAAGTTCACTATAGTTACATTCGTTTTCGTAACGACAATCTGGCTAACCCCTTTCTCTCCCTTTTCTAAGTTTCAAGATACAACAATCAAGACTCCAAGCTTGTTACAAGAGATCATCCATACGTCTCTCGACCTGGAAGCATTTGCGATCGTTTCCGACAGAGCACCAGCCGAATATCTGGCCCAATGCGTTGTCATTGATCAGAGCAATGCAATTACTGCAGAAGATGTGTTCCCCCGGAGAACTCTCTCCTCTCCCATATCTCGAAGCATCGCTTTTGTGGATCGTACAAGTGACATCGAGTTGGCAGCACAAGAAATCGTTGCCTCACGCTCTGCTTTTGGGGGCAATTCGCCATATGCAGTTGACCTGGTAATAGTTAACGAGTTTGTTCTGGAAAAGTTTAACATTGCAGCAACGAAGGCATTGCAAAGTATCCGAGAGGCACAGAAATTGCATCAACTGCCGAAAGAACCGTCCCATCGCGTTAAAATCTCCAACAACAAGATATTCGACGATGCAAACCGAGACGATAACTTGCAGTGGGTGAGTGGTGACTCAGAATTAGGTCTTGCTCAGATTAAAAATAGGTACGAAGTACCCCTTTTGCCAAAACTTCAGATTAGCCTATTGAAAATGTCGTCGTCTCTAAGGTATTAAAATGAATAGGAGCCACCAACTCGCTCGAACCAAAGTTCCTTCCTCTCGCATTGTTCTTGTCCATTCAGTTACCAGCCTTGACGACTCAATTGATTTTTTAGGTACCGATGCCCAACAAGAGATTCCGATCGCTACTCTATACTTATTTAGCGGCGAACGCGAGGCGAAGTACTTGTCGCAGTACATCGTCAGCCAGGCCACCTATGTGAACCACATTCCCGCCCAACTCGTTGGTAAGTGTCGATCGATGATAAAGCTATTCTTCACCATGTCAACTGACTTCTCTCCAAAGTTGGTCCGAGAACACCCTTCGACTATGCAATAAATCTCCACCAGCGCTATACGCGTGATATGTTCGAGTTTCCTAGTCCTCAAATAGTGCCCAGCAAGAGATCACATCTCACTTCCACTATTTTCACGAAAGCCAGCTTCATAGACTCTGTCGCGCGGGAGGCCCTTAAGGATATCAGGCAACCTAAATCAGGTGCTTGGGGCTTTTTTGAGCAAGGAATCGTAATTGGGGCATTCGTTTATCTACTTCCCATGTTTAGCATAACTATTACAGGAGTTGGATATGGGGTTTGGAGGGCATATTGGAGTATTCGTAGCTAAAATTGCGACTTGGGACAGTGTCTACCCCCACCTCACAAGAGATAAGATCAAAAGGCGAGATTTCACGATTTGAATTAAATTCCTCTCATGTGTGGGCCGAAAAGAGTCATGAATTCTAGCTAGAAACTAAAGAGTAACGATGGTTCAGAACGTAATGACCCAACATGTCCGATGCATAGCCCTGATGATGGCCCCCCTAGAATGGCGATCATTGTATCTTTTACAAAACGAACATTGTAGTTGATTCCTCCTCGTATTATCAACAGAATGTTCATACTATCTGCGCCACTTTCGCGATTTCTTCCATCAATCGCGTGATGCTCTCTACAAGTGCAAGTTGTACTCCATCACTAGAACTCAAAGGCCTTCTCAAAAGCGCAATTGCGATGTTCATCGTCCCATTGGCGTCCTCCACAAGGCAGATCGAGCTTCCGTCCGCGGAAGTGATGAGACCGCCAGGTCCGATCTTGAACGATTGAAGCGTAGGAGTACCCTGCGATATCGAGATATATTTTCGCACCGCATCATCATTTTCTCCATCAAGCCATACGAGCATGTCTGCATCAAGATTGTGGCATTGGGGTGTGGGCAAATCTTGGGACCGCCGATGTGCCCTTGCTAAAATCCTAAAAACCCACAAGGTAACGCTAGCCTGATATAACAATATACCAGATATATCGCGTAGATGTTTGCTTGACAATATCTTCGCGGCTCTATAGACTTGCCCAGCGTGCCAAATGCTTTGTCGCGCTTCTCGGGTCCGGATCCAAGCTTGGAGTACAGGATATATTCGTCGAGCTTCTTGTTCACCATCCCGACCTGCAAAAGCCTGAAGTCCCCCTAAAGGAGCTAACAAAGCCATGCAAAGGTATTCCAGTAGCAGTAGGGCTTCAGTACATACCGCTGTGTTCCAATCCGGATGAGATCCCAATCTTCTGCGCAGAACATTCATAATCTTCAAAAGGCTATCTCTCCGTATAAGTAATTCCGGACTTGGAGCTTCATGTACCGAATCACAAGATGTTGACCAGCTCCATTGTAGTACGTCGGATAGTTGTAAATACTCCCAAATCTGCCTCCAGAATGCGTGCAGGGCGTAGAAAGTTGCTCTCGGGTCTAGATCCACCTCTGAATGATACCCTTCACTCATAGCCATTTGAACTACGTCGGTAAGGGTCAAGGATCTTGCGAAGGGATCTTGATTACAATTCAGATACTCTGCCTTCCATTCTTCGGCGGCCGTAGCCCGCCAAAGCGAGTTCGGCGAGGGGAGGGGAATGTGCATCTCAGCGTAGGACATGAGCGGGCCTACGTGATTGATCATAGATATTTCCGTATCAAATAGAAATGCACGATAAATCAAGCTTCGTGGTAATTAGAATAAGTTGGCAAATGATACTTTGAGGGATGCGTACCGTATTTTGGTTTCCTGACTGATCCACTGCTGCCATTTGCAGTGAAGTGTGTCTCCTTCGTCTTCAATCTCAGGATATATGCATTGATACTGCTCTCTTCTAAGCCATCGAGCGCGTCTAATTATCTTTTATAGAGTTATTAAGTTAATATACAAGAAATACTTGATGATCTAGCATTTCGAAACGAAACCTACTCACTGTAATCACTATTTGATAATTGCCTTCTCCGATTTCCATCTGCCGCTTGTTCCCGCTCCATGTTGAAATTGAGGCTTGGGTAACTATAAATCATTATTAGAGCCTCTTTGGATGAAGGGATGCCAAGAGTAGATAGAGTTAACTTACGCCAACCGTGGAGCAGCTGAACATCTCTGGATGTAGAATTATCGTGTGTCAACTATCCAGTAAATTAGATATTTCAAAGTGTATTTACCAATCATCTTGCTCTGTAAAGGATAATCTTACACGTTCTATGATAGCATATCGTAGTATATCTGGCATAACGTATCCAAATCGCTGTACTGCTTCATGGGAAGTCAGGCACGCCCCCGCTGCAATCATTGCAGCTAACAGTTCATCTTTAATGGCACCTATCGGGAGAGAAGGGATATGAAACCATGGCAGCCTTTTTGTCCGCTGCGATTCGAGGAATTGGTGGAACAAATGGTCCAGGAATGGCTCGGAAGGGAATGTTGGGGCGATTTTTATCCATTGTTCTTTTCCACAGTGCTGCAATAGAAGCGAAAGCAGTCGAATTCGGTCATTATGCCTGAATATTGGAGGAGACTGCGCCTGTGCCTTTAATGCACTTCTCTCGTAGTTGGCACATTCAGGAGGTAAGATTAACTTTGTTGTTTCCGCGGATAGACTGTCCTGGTGGGTAGGCCCCCAATCCCACCCAGAAGCTCTGAATGCCTGTGTTGCAGCTGTGCATACCACTTGCTCAAATGTGGAAATATTCCGTGGTCCTTCAGAATGAAGTTGCACGAAGTCAAAGCCTTCCATGTTGAAATCCTGCGAGTTCGTTTGTGAAAGGGGCAAAAGGTCTCCAAATGACTGGTCCGAGATCATAACGGAGTTCCACAAGTCTATACTACCATCCGACTCCATCTCAGCTCTAGTGAGTATAGGGGAGGCTGCATTGGAGCCAAGTATGTCTTTAAGAATTTCAGTATAATTTCGAGCGGAGTTGTTGTATTCGAGATTGCAACGGGTCTCCGGTAAATTAGAATCAGTCTCCACAACTATGTCGTAAATTTCTTCCTCCTGATCTTCACTTGTAAGAGTACTAACTTTTGGTACACGTCCTAATGATTCTGGTGGAGTCGTACTGTTAACAGTCTGTGGGGCGCTCACAGTTTCATTCGTACGTTGGGTCAATGCAACGGATGGTGGCGGCGGTGGTTGTGAGAAAACCGACTCGATTACTTGAAGATGCTGCAATGGCTCATTACTCTTGTGATTTTGACGGATAGCTACAGAGAATGATAAATTTTACTCACTCCATCGGACGATGAATTTGGCGTTGTTATGTTCGGACCGCTAAATTCGCACGTAATATCTCTTTGCACACACCTAACGCACGGCTTGCCATCACTGCACTTCAGCTTGGATGCTGCACAAGTGCGACAAGCCTGGGATACTCTTCTACTGGGGCGCGATCGTACACGATCAGATCCCGACTCTATACCCTTCTGCGTATGTTGAGCAGTGTGTCGTTTGGCCAAATCGCTATGATGATTTTAATGTGGTGCTCATATCAATGCGACAGATTGGGTGCACAATCGACTTACGCTCGACCAAATTCCTTCCCGCAAATACGACATAGATATGGTTTGTCTCGCGTATCTGCATGATTCAGTATTGCGTAGCCAAGCTTCCGAGAAGCCCTGTAGGTTGTAGGCACGAGACTTACGGCTTCGGACGTGGCGAGTGAGATGGTCTACCCTTGTGAAGGCGTGCTGGCAGTATGAACACTGAAAGGGCGAGGGTCTGTTTGTTCCAGCAGAAGACGTTGTATCGCCATCGGCCGTACCTTTTTCAAGCACGTTGGGCGTCATTTTCTTGATCGATTACGCCCATAATTAGCTATGAATAATGAAGGCGCGGGAAAAGATTTGAGTCAATGAGCGCGCAATGCGATTTACCGAGAGCAGATATAAGTTGTGATTTTTCAAAAGAAGAAGGGGAGGAGGAGGAAGGGTTGGGGTTAAGGGTCGGGGTTGAGGGTCGGCAAATGGGTTATTGCTTTCACGGCCAGCAATTACACAGTGCACTAACCTTTCGCATTCCCCAGTCCGTCGCACTGCGGGGTATACTTGCACACTTACCTAGGCACTGCTATGCTAGGTAACGAGGTATCAAGTACTCGGTAGATTGATTTCTGTTTTTCATCTTTAAGTACTCGTCGCACCAATAGGCTTATATCGGCTTGCTATGGAGAACTAACTCTAACCTAGATTTCCTGTCCATCGTCTAATCTTCCTAAACAGTCTCGAATCCCGGCGTAAGAAAAATTATACTCCAAGTTCTTCCACATCATCTCTGGGCTCTTTTTCTCATGTACATTACGCGTGATGGCTTGTATTTTCGATGCTCGTACCCGACGCACCCGGTCAAAATCCTTCAAAACAGATGGAACTGACTCCCGAGTCACCGGTTGGTCAATGAATAAGCTCAGACCTTCGCCATCTTCAATTGCTTGGGCTGCACCTTGTCCCTGGTGGGGAGTCATTGCATGCGCAGCATCTCCTATAAGCAGAATTCTTCCCTTAAAGTATGTTGGCAATGGATCATGGTCCCTTAGCTGCCACAGCTTGATGTTTTCCGCTTTTCTATCATGGAGATGAGAATCATTCATGTGTTATCAGATTCGGAACTTGAATGACTTACTCAAGAATTGGTCGCACGTAGAAGTCGCCAAATACTCTCAGAAGATCTTCTCTGCTTCCCGGGGCGGACCAGGAATCCGTCGTTGGAAGATTTATAGTAGAATCCTGGGCAATGCAGCCCACATTCAGTAATTCGAGATTTCGACACGGGTATGACACAACCGATCGCCGAGACCCATCTGAAGCGATCCGAATATTAAGTTCTGTCATTTTTGAAGCATCATTGAGCGGAGTATCCGGCGTCACTTCGTTTACAATATTGTTGTGAATAATGAACCTGAACATAGACGCGCCTGAAGATAGAGCCTCGGTGTTTTGTTCTACAACCAGTGGCCTAACGATGGATTTAATCCCATCTGCGCCTGTTTGTTCTGATAATTAGCCTGACTTTCTTTGGATGAGACTGACGTTGAGAGTAGGGGACTATTACCAATGACCAAGTCTGATTTTATGCTTTCTCCATTTGCCAAACTAACCTTCCCACTGTCAACGTCGACATCGATGACATCTGCGCGCCATACAACTTTGGCTGGGGACCCAGAAATGCTCATAGCATCTGATGGGTCTGTTGCCAACCTAAGCAATTCATTCCATAGATCGATTCGATGCACAACGTGCCAGTCGCTTCCAAATAGATCTTTCATGCCGGACACGTCCTGTTCGCTGACAAGAACACCTTCGTGATTGAGTGTACGCACTTTTTCGAGTGATAATGCACCACATCTTTTTGGGCTCCAGCCATATTTGTAAAGCCACTTCGTAGCATTTGGACCTGGCGTAACAGCAGCACCAACTTCGTTTCCTCCTGCTGATTTCTCCAATATGGTAATGTTGTGCTTTTCTCGCAATACTCGTGCGGCAAACAGCCCTGCAATTCCAGCACCAATGATCGTGATATTGAGTCCGGTATCCTGCGTCATTTTCGCGAGATTATTGGACTTTTCCATGTCAAGTAATGAGATATAGTGGATGAGATAGGTATGGATATAGCGCGAGGGCACAAGGCTTTCCCTTCATTGACACAGTGCGAAGAATAATTACTTAAATATTACCGAAATTATCTACTTTCAGAACAATACTAGGTGTGTGACCACACAATCTGTGAGAACCGTTCTCCGAGTCGTTTAGAGATTTCAGACCTTGTCAACCCCAGATCGGTTGCAAGCCGAAACCTTGTCACTCCACATTTTGTTCCGATCTTTGTACATAGCCGCTGATAGGCTCATCAATACAGACTTCATCGAGACAAAAGATTAATTATGTTCAGCACGAGTTCATTATCACATTGGTATCTCAACAAAGGAGCCCACAAATTCTAAATGTGAACAGACATATGAAATCTTCACATTCACATTCACTCTAGCATGATGAAATTCAGACTCTAGTATGACCTGCTAGAAAGGGGGCATGCATGCAACTTGGATAGAACGGCGTTACATGAATTCCAGCCGCGCCACACCTGACTAGAGGCCAAAATAACAGACCGTTGTTCAAGGAACAATAACTTTCCCTACTTTCCGCTTGATCATTTTGGCTGTCCGTTGCCAATAGCTCACATGCCTAGGTATCTACCATGCCAATTACATGGACGTCGCATAAAAGTATTAGCTAGAATAGGATAAAAATTTGGAGAACAATTTTTCCCCTGCACTTCAAACAGAGCAAAAAATCCAGAATAGGTCCTTTGTGGCGAGGAAAGCATTTGAATCTCCGCAATCCCCGAGCGAATCATGAACCTGGCGTGTCTGGGTACTTCTCGGGATGTGGCGGACCATTGCCGAAACACGGTTTAGTAATCTCGGTTTTCACGTTCGGGTCCACATACCTCTTTTTCGGTTACAGCCTTTCCAATGCAGCTCTCCCGGACACGTATGGAGGAGGATAAACGCGGGGTTGATGGGATTACGGATGTCATGTGGAGCATTCCTTCCGAGCTAGGGAAGAAGCTGTCGGGAACTAGATATAGTTTAACAGGAGCTAGAAAAGGATACCTGTGAAATTGAGTGCTTGATTATGCACTTAATTGAGTGAACATAGTGTACTCCATTGGAAGCAAATTGTGTTTAAAGAGGGAGAACGTATTTCCATTAGAAAGGTTCATGCGAAAAGAACAATATGGTAGGCAAGTCAGCACCACAGGGCCTAATTGAACTCTTTACCATGCACACGTATTGATTTCTGAAGCTTAGCAGATCTTGCACCGGTACACTTCCTTTCGCATGGAACTACTATGTTATTGGGAGAGGATTCACGAATAAGGGATTTTTGGACAAAGTTGGGAAGAGATGCATTGCGTCATGACGTTAGAGGTGTCATTATCATGGTGCGCAGAAAACGAAACTGTGGAAATTTAAATGGCTAATCTATCTGAATAGGGTGCACATTGGAACGCGGAAGGAAGGAAAGTTAAGGTCGCAATGAACCCTTCACCTACATTGATGCCTCTCGCCAACACTGATGCAAAACACTGGGCAAATTGGAAGCCCAATCCCGACCTCGAGACTGGGCGTCAAGTTATAAAGATGCTCAAGATGGCAAATATCGAAGCTGAAGAAGATTCTCAGTTTGAATGGATGATAGATACGTTTCCCATCCTTATCGCGATGTTTGGAGATCAATGTCCTCCCACAACAATCATTTCACAGAATTCCTATTTCGATCCCTACTTCCATATCCAAATTGGAACCGCACTGCGCACACTAAGGGGAAAGCGCTATCTTTTGATCGGATCTGGAGGCGGCACACACAATCTTTACCGGGCAGAGTGGAAATTCATGCTAAAATACAAAGATAACTTCGCCATGGAAAAGCCCCCAGACAAGGATAGCATTGAATTTCGTCAGTCACTCGAGGACGTTATTTGCAAGAATGGGGGTGGTCCAGAATTACGCCGCGGATTGGCAAGACTAATGAAGAACCCATATTTTCGTGAGGCACATGGAACCGACGAACACTATGTTTCAGCTTGCTTTGTTGCTGGCGCTGTTGGAGATGAAGAAGATCGGGGAGCAAACGCCAAGCTTGGAGCAGAGGCTTGGGAACTGGTTAGTACCGCACTTTTCCACTGTGAAGACATACTAAAGATCACCAGCGGACCCAATGCGAATCACAATTTACTATTGGTGAATGGCCGAAAGCGTGGAAGAAATTTACTACGTAGTACTGTTAGTAGCGTTTGAGTCAAATGTTGAGATGTTGAAAAAGTTTCGCACTTCAGAGACGCTCATTCAGCAATTGTCGATCATGCTTGACGCGTTCGGTTGCTCACCGCGCACATGTTATTGTCGTCACATGAGAATATGTCAGAAACATAGGATATATGAATTAACTCTACTTAACTATTGTAATTACTGTTGTCCCTTCTAAGTACCTAACTAACCTATTCTAACAGATTCCTTGTTCAACTAAGAGCCTAATGTCGTCTCCTCGTATTCAGTGCACTACAATTCTTTATCATTTACTATACTAGGTTAACTTAACTGCTTCTATCAACACTATTTATTACTGCATACATAATCATACGACTGTAGCGTGAAAAGTTCCACATTATTGTGGGCGCCTGAAGAAGCTTCGTCCGTCGAAGCATTGCCTGCATACGGTATGGAACGTGGTCAAGCTTTTCACTAGGGACTATTTAAGACTCTCTTTCGAAATCTTATCTGATGAGATCTATCATCTGCTGGACACTCACTGTTAGTCTATATTTTGGGCTACTGGTATTTGTATTACTAATTGCATACCCTACATTGATATCGCGCTTTGCTTTTCAATTGTTGCAATGGCGGTACTGAAAAGCCTTAGACTTGGTGTTGATGTTGGCGGGTATGTATGCCCTTCGAAATGGAAGCGCGAGATCTTTGATCAAATCTAATGAGTCCTCCCACAGAACAAATACAGACGGCGTTATCATCGATCCCACAAGAGAAGGAGAGGAGAACCGCGGGATTTTGGCATGGTAAGCGGAATTTCGTGACATTCTCACTACCATTAGACTTCTATGTTGTTGCAACCACGACCCAATTTTGCCTGCTTCATTGCCCCTTCACCTATGAAACAGCATGTAACAAATTACAGGCACAAAGAGCCGACAACGACAGATCCAAGCTTTGGAATCGCGCGTGCCATTACAGCGATGTTCGAGGCTGCCGGCACCAACCCATCCTCCATAGGCTCTGTCACAATAGGCACTACGCACTTCGTCAATGCTGTTGTGACTAGAGACGCATCGCGACTATGTAAGGTAGCCGTTATTCGATTATGCGGACCATTCACGAAACATAGCCCACCATGCATTGGTTGGCCGAAATCCCTTCGCAATATCGTACTCGGTCATTCGGCGCGTCTGAAAGGCGGCCTTGAAGTTGATGGTTCTCTAATTTCAGACATTGACGAAGAAGAAATCCTTGAGCAGGCTCATGTTATCAAAGAACGAGGCATTGGAGTCGTTGTTGTGAATGGAGTGTTCAGCCCTATTGACACAGTGGAGCTACAAGAAGAAAGAGCGGCAGCCATAATCAGGAGAGAAATTCCAGGAGTCGATGTCGTATTGTCAAAGCACGTCTCTAACCTCGGCTTTCTTGAGCGAGAAAACGCCGCTATCTTGAATGCATCCATTCTGAAGTTTGCACGTCAGACTATTGCTTCTTTCCAACTGGCTATCGCGGCTATCGGACTGACTTGTCCTATTTTCATAACGCAGAATGACGGCACTGTTCTTACATGCGACTCAGCTGCACGACTACCTATCAGGACCTTCAGCTCTGGCCCTACGAACAGCATGAGGGGTGCCGCGTTTTTGGTTGGCAGAGGAGAATATAAGGGAAAGTCGTTGATGGTGGTCGATATAGGAGGAACCACATCAGACGTCGGCTTGTTATTACCGAATGGCTTTCCTCGGCAGAAGTCTGCGTATTCCGAACTCTCTGGTGTGAGAATGAATTTCAATTACCCCGATGTTAAAAGCATTGGATTGGGTGGTGGATCACTTGTGCGCAAAATCGATGGTAGACTGACAGTTGGGCCGGAGAGCGTTGGCTACAAGCTGTCTGAAAAAGCGCTGGTATTCAACGGAGACACCGCGACAGCTACTGACTACACAGTAGCCGGTTCCGGTGATATCTCGATTGGTGATGTGGAGAAAGTTCGTGGGATACTCGTTCAGCAGGATGTCAAGGACTACCAAAAAGAGATCAAGAGGATGATTGAAGCGGTCATTGACAGCATGAAGACATCGCCAGAGGACATTCCGGTCTTACTCGTCGGCGGTGGTGCTGTTATTGCCCCAGACGCGCTCAAGGGTGCAAGTTGTGTCATCAAGCCACAGTGGTCGGGCGTCGCAAATGCTATTGGCGCGGCTATGGCCCGAGTAAGCACTGTCATTGACACAGTGAAGTCAACAGAAAACCTGAGCACGAAGGAATTGGTAGCAAACATCTCGGAAGAAGTGAAGCAAAAGACCATCAAGGCTGGAGCAACCGAGGCCAGCATTGAGATTGTCGAAATAGAGACTTTCCCTCTGGCGTATATTGATCACAAGACGAGGTTCATCATCAGAGCAGCAGGGGATTTCGACTTCTCACGACTGGGTGATCTGACGGAGGTCGACGGCACCGTTGATACAACGACAATTGAAGACATTGCTGCTCCAGCCGACGTGAAGATCGGAGCACCATTGACACCACAAGACGATGAAGAGGAAGAATTAAAGGCACCGGAGGTCGACTACTCCACCTATAAACCAAAAGTGCAGGATCGACTATGGTACCTTTCTGAAACTGACCTTCATTGGATTGCGACTGGGTGCTATATTCTCGGCACTGGAGGTGGAGGCTCGCCCTACCCTGCCATGTTAGCTGTCAGGGCAATTATGAGATTCGGAGGAACCATAACAATAAAAAACCCCGTTGATTTGAAGGATGATGATCAAGTCGGCAGTGGTGTTGGTGTTGGTAGCCCTACCGTGGCGATGGAGAGGATGGCCGCAGACGAGTGAGTTTTTCGTCAATACCACTAACTGAATGAGCTGACTGACAATGGTGCAGGTTGTTAGAGTCACAAACCGAGCTTTACAAGTACTATCAGGGTGATAGACCTACAGCAATGATAGCTACTGAAATAGGCGGCGTTAACGGTATGATGGGCTTTATCCTGGGTTCATCACCCGTTATGAACGTTCCAGTCATCGACGGAGACTGGATGGGCCGAGCTTACCCAGTGGCCTGGCAGAGCATGTTGAATGTCTGTAATGAAAGACCTCTGAAGCCATCAGCCGTTGCTTGTTGTGATGGAAATGGGAACAACATCTATATTCCAGCTGTTTCCAGTCTTCAAAAACTCGAGAAAGTCGTCAGAGCCACGCTAGGCCAGTTGGGGAGCAACATGATGGCCGCAAACGCACCCTACACAGGTGCTCAGACTAAATCGTGGGTGATTGAGCATACTTTGAGTCAAGCATGGCGTATTGGTCGCGCAGTGGCAAGGGCAAGGAAAGAAAACAGGGTTGACACTGTTGCAGAATCTATCATCGATGCTGTCGGTGGACCAGGGGCTGGTCGAGTGCTCTTTAAAGGGAAAGTCGTGGGTGTCGAGCGGACTTTGATAGACGGTCATATCTACGGTGAAGTTATCATCGAGGGTACGGCCACGGACGAGAGGTACAGCGCACTGCCTCTTGAGTTTACTGGAAGGGTCAAGGTTCCATTCAAGAACGAAAATATTGCCGTCATCAAATTACACGAAGGACAAAGAAACATCCCGGGAAAAGAGAATAACGAGGACGTCCTCGCTATAGCACCGGATCTCATATCCATCATCGACGCCCAGAATGGAGAAGCAATAGGTTCGCCTGAGTATCGGTATGGCTTGTTGGTAATAGTTCTGGGTATAGCAGCGAGTGACAAGTGGACAAGCACTCAGCGTGCCATTGACATTGGCGGGCCAAAGGGCTTTTCTATGGACCATCTAGAGTACCGCCCTCTAGGCAAATTCGTGAAACCAGTTAGTGTTATCGATGAGTACAACAGTTAAGTTTGAGTATTCTCCCAGTATTTTCAAGAAAGAAAAAGAATTTTACTTGTATACATTCATGCTCAGGATTTATGCTCTGCTTTGTTAACAAAGCTATAAATAGGAATATCAGTTTGATCAACAACGGACTTGTTTGATCCGTCAGACGAAGCACGCGCTTTGTTGGAATCCACCTCTTCTGTAGTAATATGAACGGCTCTTTGCTGCCATATTTGCAACGGGATTTCATGTGCAGTATGGTTGATCTCTTCCTGGCTTTCTGAGGGACTTATATCGATAGCATGCGGATCTGGCTTCTTCTGCTTATGCTCCTCCCTTGTGGCGCTTGTAAGGTTACCGTATGCAGATCTGAAGCGATTCGGTCCTGCAGGTTCCCCTGTCCTTTGTTGCGATGATTTTCCATACCTAGAGTAAAAGTTACTCACACCGAAGATCTTCTGTAACAAAGTCCAGGTAAGTGGCAAATTGGCACTGATTATTGCTGTAGAAACTTCTCGTATGTACCAGTAAATCCATTCTGTCCCATAAGGTGAGCCAAGACTATAGTACTTGCTCAAAATTGCAGCAAGGATCTGAGACATCCCTAGTTAGCACGCAATAGCAGTACGATGGGAAAAGAAGGCATTATTACCGTAAAGATGCCCAGCGCAAATACGCTCGAGAGAATGATTTTTCTTTTCAAAGGAAGTTGCGATTGCATGAAGACTGGCATAGGAAGGCTGATGATCATGATGTCCGAGGATATGTTAAATACGGCGTTGGTGATCATGTGATTCGTTTCCGCGGAGCAATTTACTGCGTTTGTAAGTTAGCAAATTACCGTACTACTTGTAGCTTAGAATGTTAGATAATCTTACAATCTGGAGGAGGAACTTTCCAATAATGGTGGAAAGGGCGACACCAGACGAACCAGAGGATTTCCATTATGACAAAGCTGGCAATGACATAGCCTGCTACAATCTTGACTAAAAGATTGTGTCTCAAGCTCATACTAGCGATGAAGTCTGGTAAGCTACGGACGTACTGACCATGAAGTGTTTAAGAGACTCACGTCAGGCGGGAATACAATATGAGCAAGCAGCCCTTGACCGACCAGAGAACAACCATTTGCAGGTGTTCCGTGACTAGAACAAGTTTGGAGCCATACTCTCGTCGCTTGATCTCATCTGGGGTAAGTTCGATATTATCGGCCGGGTTCAAGAGATTCGAAGGGGTATATGTCTGAATCCAGACAATCACCAATAGGCCGGTGTGAACGGCCTGCACTGATTAGATACTCTGGCTGCCCATTGGAATTAGGATGTTGCATACCAGTGTGAATACCATAAGCCAATCATCCGCTTGTAATCCCCTGAAGGATTTGAAAAGGAGTCGTCGTGATAAGCTGTATTCATGGAATAAGTTAACCAACGCCTACTGCATCTCACACTGCTACAGTGAAGAAAGAAATTGAAGACGTACATTCGCGCACCGACAATGAAGACAGTCAGGGCGTACCACACCCACATCTCAGTGATGATCGACGCCATGGATGATGCGACTGCCCCTGCACTGTAAAGTGCAGTGATTTCTAGACTTGAAGTAGCAGCTATGGTAGATCAAGGTGTCGGGCATTGTAGAATATAAAACAGGACAATAGGTCAAAAAAGAAAATTAGTAGTTTGTGCCTAGACATACTACTCTGTAGGCAGTTGCCCAACAAGGTCCATGGTTCAAAAATGTTGTGATCCGATTTGCGATAGCGGAGCGCTTGGAAACTATCAAACAAATTAGTGAGATGTGGGTAGAATGAGTGGACTGAAATTGCTTGATAGCAGTCACGTATCAGGGGCACCTCCACATTTCTTAGATCTAGGCGCATTTTCTTCTGGTCTTCCTTTGTGATGGGACGCCTTAATATGGCTCAACACCCAATTATTGTGCTAAATCAGGGGTTGATTCGAGGTGGCTGTTTTCGCGCTCTTACTAGACGTAAGTCTGTAAAAGACTAGAAGAGCCGCGCAAGTGGCGCTCCCAACGGCCCGATCTTTCCACGTGGATCATGACTTACAAGCGAGAGGGGTAAAGCGAAGTGGACTGAGATATCCAGCAATGAGGACATCATCAGGCTGTCCACAACAAGGTACCGAGTCATTTTTAGCTAAGATATCGCAAGTAGGCGGCAACTTAACATCCCTTATTTATTCGTTTCGGGGTAGCATATCCGAGCTCGCCATGATGCTTTCGGATCCTTTCGTAGGACAGATGTCAGTCCTGACTCTTGCTACTAATTTGCGAGGCATGCGTAACAATAGAAAAGTCGAGCACACCAATTAAGCTAATTGCCCATCACAATCATCTTTGCAGATGATGGTTTTGTGCGTGCCCGATTGACTAGAAGATTGATATTAGACTGGCAAATAATTGCATTGTCCGTTCTATCATTGCTTATCAATTACCAAGATATGCTAAAGTCTTCCAGAAGCAGCCAAGAAGGAGACCGATCACTTTTCCTTGATAGGTAGCCTCTTAAGTCATTGCTGATGGGATACTACAGATCCGCGAAACACGGCCAAAATGCTATTGGGATTGAAGCCAATATCCGTCGTATTAGAAGCCATGATTCTTACCGCTACTACTGGACCCATTACGCCAATATGTATATAAACAACAACTTGGAATCTGCACATTCATTTACTGAGCTGCCAACGATGTCCCAGATATGTCATTACCTATCGCTATACTAAGGCGCAAGAAACAGTTATCTATTTGCGGTGACGACAATCACTACACGAAGGTATACAATTGTATGCACAAGCTACGCATTACTGTAAACTGCTGTCTATACGTTGTAGGTATATTTTGTTCGGACAGCAAGAGGGAACTTAAATGATCCCTGAAGCATTGATAATCCAACCCTATTAATGATCCGATATCGGCCACATTTGGCGGAACGACGCTACCAACCACCATTCATTAGCTATAATAAATTACCCCTGTATGTATCTTCGTGCTAAAGTCTGTTGAAGAAGACTCGAAAGGGTCCTTGTTGTTTGTCGCGCATAGTCGACGACCGCATTTGTGGCGTACTTATACCTGAGTAGATTTTTGAGGCCGTGTTGAGTGTTCCCTTCCCATTCAGGCTGGGCGAACCTCCTGAAACGGCAATAGCCTGCAAGCATTTGGGTATTGAAGTACGCAGTCATGAACAATGAGTGTGGTCATTGCGCTTGCGTGCAGCGAAACCTAAAAAATGAACAAAATAGTTCGGGGAACGTGTACACAAGATCAAGATTTGAGGAAACCTATGTATGAAAAGTCATATTCACTTAGGTCCCGAACGTCTGATTCAGGTATTGTCTCGCTTCGATAACATACAGCACTTTACCCTTCGGACTTTGGCTGTTTTGAATTGCAGAACCGTCCTTTTGCACCCAAAGGATCAAAATTGCGTGGTGTCAAATCTCGGGCATAGCTACAACGGTGAACGGCTTGATGATGAGGTATATTACCTACTGCCGTAATACGCGTCTGGACATTCCTGCGAATCTGATAGGTAATATTTATTGATATTGGGTATAGTGGCATCGGATGTTGGAGTTTGGACATGAGCTGTTAAATGATTTACATGTACTTGCTGATAAAGAATGGATAGAAGGCGGAAAGAGGACGAAGCTCTCATAAGCATTCAAATGGTTCTAGCATCATTTGCTTGGTGACTGTTGTTTATTGAAGAGATTTCTTTGGTCTTAATTGCTAGTAACGTGAACATTTCTTGGTTGTTGCATCCATCGAAGATGAGCCACGGAGAACGCGCAATGGGAGCGATGAAGGAATCTCGACCCGAATTATCATGTGGTTGACTCACGTCCATATAATTTGCGTGAGACGATAGCTCTTTAAAAATGCGCATCAATATACACCGTCTCATGGGATCTCCAGGCCGGAGCATTATTTGTGCTCTCATCAAATCTGAACGGGATATTTCGGGGAACGAATACCAACTCAAATAGAGGGCTGTTAAACGATGGGTTATTGCCGTACAATTGCCATGAGCTTACATAAAATGCTAATAACCTGTGATTCTTGCCGCAGCAATGATAAGTTGTGATTAAACAACATCTTTTTTTCCGTTAGGAACTAGTTATCCTACCGAATCTCCCAAATACAAAATAACCGCAGTCCCTTAGAAAAAGAAAATGTTTCTCGTCAAATGAATCAAAATGTGTCAGTTTCAGTTTCACCCGATGCTGACTGTTTATGAAAGGTATATGCTTTTTTGAAGTCGTTGACACCATGTTTTTGTTTGGCCGGCGCACTTGGCCAGGGTCTCCCTCGCAAGATTGAAGCCGTGCTTGCCCTATTTTGCAGCATGTTGGCAGACGATAAACAATAATGAGGAATACAATGTCCTCAAGTAAATACAGTCGTGAGGTGACAGCCGACATCGAAACTGGATTACTAGTCTCAGCGCCATCCGCATTATGATCCGACGGATTGCTTTTTGAATACTTGAATCTTTTAATAGCTCCATTCGAACCATCCTAAGATCGCATAGAAGGTCTGGGGGCGATCGCTCTTCCCCCACGCGGCTCCGCAACGGCACGGCTTACAGACGAGAGATCAACGGTAGCCTCTAGTCTTGGTATGGAACTAGGCAATGTAACCTATAAATGGCGGGCTGGAAATTTCCCAGAGTTGTAAGCCGACACATTGTGTCGACAGAATATGTACGACCCAGCATCGAAAGCCTGCCATAATGTCAATTGGATCTGAAACGAGCTATAGACTGGCTAAGGCACGTCAAAATCCGAGACATGAGGCACTCATGCAAAACTAGATACTGGTTACCCACTAGCTTGGGTAAACCCTGTAACCTTCCGAATGTATGTTATCACTACTGAGTGAATACCATTGGCTTGCGTTTCTGTCCTTTCCCTGACCGAAGGTTCGTTTTAGATGTGCTTATCTTCAAAAATCTACATTTTCGATGCTACAAACCAAGAAGAGAGGAAAATGGCAAATTGCTGCAGGCTGTGCTCATTCTTGAAAGGTTTAGTACTACCCGATTACTGACTAGCATGGACCAGGTATTGTATTGGTTATTCAGTCGAGGTCGAAAGCACACCTACAGGGTGTTATACGAGAGTCAACGCATACTATTTGCAACTAGTCACAACAATTTGAGCGACCTTTGGGCTTATGGCTACTTAGATTGATGAACGGTGAGATGCATCGTCTTCGCACGTCCATCATATTCCCGAGCGGGTGCTTCAAAACGAAGATGGGTGGTGCCCCAAAATGAGCCTGCCCATATTGCGGCAAATACTCTAATGCTATCTTTGCTTCCCATGGGTTGATAATGAGTGTATGATTGCATAATCAGGACCTGAAGCGAGGTCTGATCAGTATTGGTATTGCTTCTTCTAGGACTAATCGAAAGCCAACAGGAAAAGGCTCGAGAAAGCAGCGATTAGTACCAATTTGGGTAAAAAGATCGTAATGGGAGATACAGAAAACGGGAAGGGCGCAATGAGAGTGCAATTATTTTAAAGGACAAGCTAAGATACCCCGAATTTATCGTCCATGTACCTTAGGGTGGAGACCCGCCGGAAGTCATTAAAAGGCTAGCTTGTGTCTATTCATCGTTTCTCCAGCTCCACGTGAGTAACTAATGTCTTTCCTGAGTCATTCTTCTTTGAAACTCTCTTTTCCCCATATGCATATTTTCAAGCACAACCGATCTGCCATGCCCCTCAAAGACGAATCCAGAAATATTGAGCTAGCCTCCCCACGAGCCTCCATAAAGTGTGATATTTGTGGCGACCACAGCCAGGAGCAGCAAACCACGCAAAGAGGGGTTGCCCCTGGTGTGTTTGAGAGAGGAACTAGATGTCGACTTAATATTAGCAACGATGTATTTGGCGAAATCCCAGCAGAAGGCCCTAACTATCGTGATGTATTAAACCCATGAATTCACTCAGAACAACCGTAGCTAATGGAAATAGATAGGATGGATGGGTACTTTTGTGCTCATGCTCAAGACCCAAGTTGGCCTGGGTGTACTGTCAATTCCTTATGCTTTTGATAAGCTGGGATTGATACCTGGCATTTTGTGCTTACTTGGAGTAGCTCTTATCGCTACTTGGGGTCAACGTATTGTCGGCGTATTCAAACGCAATCATGCAGACGTTTACAGCATTGTCGATACGGGAGAAAAGATAGGAGGAAGGCCTGGGCGAGAGTTGATGGGTTTTGCATTCATGTTATGTTAGAGATACTTCACGGTGCTGGAGTTCCTTGCTAAATTTCTCTAGATTGGATTTGCGTTGCTGCATCCGGTATGTCAGGTATCTCGACTGCCTTGAATGCAATCACTTTGCACGGAGCATGCACTGCGATTTTCGTCGCACTCGCCGCATTTTTTGCGTTTGCGATTGGAAGCATCAGAACGCTTGGAAATATATCATGGCTTGCGTGGATTGGAGGACTTTCCATTTTCGCTGCGCGTATGTTGTCGCGTCTCTATTCAGCATGCAGGAACTGACAATGAGAAGTCTTCACTTTGACAGTTGCTGTTGGCCTCCAAGGTCGACCCACCGAAGCACCGAAGATCGGTCCGTACGTATCTAACTACAAGCTGATTGGCAACCCAACCTTCTATGAAGGCATGGCGGCTATCAATTCACTTGTGTTTGCATATTCTGGAACCCCCGCTTTCTTTGCTATCATCTCAGAGATGAGAGACCCACGTCAGTACAAAAAAGCCATGTTGACTTGCCAGTGTACGATGACTGGCATCTATCTCGTAGTTGGAATTGTCGTCTACTATTATTGTGGTACATACGTTTCCTCACCTGCCCTTGGATCTGCTGGCCCCTTGTTGAAGAGGATCTGCTACGGACTTGCCCTACCTGGGCTGATGGTTAGCACCTGTCTTCTTATCCACTATCCGTCTAAGTATATTTTTGTACGTGCACTTCGAGATTCTCAACATCTCGTTTCCAATTCGACCATCCATTGGATTACCTGGTTATCCTGTACCTTTGGTGTCACGATCGTGGGCTACGTCATTGCTTCTACAGTGCCGAACTTTGGAAGCCTCGTCTCGCTGGTTGGTGCGTTACTCGCGACCCTTATGTCTTTCCAACCGATGGGGGCGATGTGGCTCCATGACAACTGGAACAGAAGAGAAAGGGGGATACAATGGAGAATAGGTGTTTCTTGGTCAGTGTTTGTGATAGTCATTGGCACGTACATCATGATAGCCGGATCATATACTGCCATTGTGTCAATCATCGACAGCTATACCTCCGTCAGTGGAACAAATCCATGGTCTTGTGCAGATAAATCCAATTCGGTCGATCTCGATTAAAGCAATCTAAGACCCCTTTGAGCAACTGAGTATGTAGTATGCTAGAAGCTCTTTGGCGGCGAGCGTAAGAGAGGACGAGTGCAGTGCCTTCCTTAGTGATACAACGATTGTCTCAAGAAATACATCTTGAATATCGCCAGTCTAGTTCTATGCTGCGCTCCGTCATGCACCTGGGGACCTTTTCATTCCATGTGATACAGATAGTGAGCGAGGCGGTATGGTTTTATGGATACGCAACAGATCGAGTTCAATGTTTCATACAAATTCATCCAGTGCTTGTACATATTCGATGGATCGTAGGACAGAGATATCCAGGCACTTTTCGTCAAAGATTATATAGCATATAATTAGAGGTCCGTCTCTATCAATATGTTAAACTAATGTCCCATCCGTTACGCCCACCCTTGCCCAAACTTTCACTGCCAACGGACTTGCAAATTTGGGGGAACAAACTTGCTGAGAATTGAAGTACCGAGGCACGCATTTTGGTAATTACTTCGACAAGCCCATCCTTTCTTTCTGGAGAACATCGTGCTCATGCTGTAACTCCTCCATGTATCTTTCCCTTTCTGCTCTCGCCTTGTCTTGTAACTCGCCAAATGGGTCAAATCGCTCACTGATGGGGTTCTGGAATGGATTCTGGGTCCAACTTCCACGATCGGTGAGTGTGGTAGATCTTGGACGACCGCGTAATACGTCGTATGCTTTGTTCAGGGGCGGATCCGCAAATGGGTTTGGTGTAGGCTGGGGCGGTGCGATGCGTGAACGGCCATTGTCTGTTGACACTGTCTCTGGTCGCTGGTAGTGATCTCCTCCAAATAGGGATGCCGTGTTGGTGGTTGAACGAGTAAAATGGCTTGTGTGTACCGTCTCGGGTTGTTGAAGGGTACCAGTATTGCCCGGATCGAATGCGTCTTCCGCGTGTCGCAGATGGCTTTGTCGTTTGGCGCGATTGCGTTTTCTCAAGAAAATTATTACCGCGATCAAAACAGCGATACCACCTGTTGTGAGTGAGATTGTGAAGGCTTCAAGTAGAATGGGTGGTCATAAATACCTAGTATCGAGAAGGTTATCAAAGAAGCTTCCGCAGCTTTGCTCATCCCGCCGCCGCCGCCCCCATCGTTTTGCGTAGCTCTTTGTGGCTGATCCTGCCCTATGCTAGAGCTACCAGCGTTGCCCGCAACCTCGGATTGTGCTGCAGATGGAACAGTACTTGTCGCTAGAGTGGAAGTAACTGGGTCTAGTCCGGGATTGGGTAAACCTGAAGAAATATTCGTCAAAGCCGATGTCGACCCTTCCGAGAAGGAGCTACCAGAAGCCAGTGTGGAAGGTCCATTTGTGATTTGTGGTTGCGCAGTTATGGTTGGGGAGCCATTGGTGTTCACCGTGGTTGGCAGCGCTTGTTCCGGTGGTCCAGCGACGGAAGTGGTACTTGTTGATAGATTCGGGTCTAGGGATGTCGTCTGGCTTCCGTCGATAGAAGTAGGGACTGGTCCCGTTTCTGAGGTACTCGGCGATGGTCCAGGCACGCCAGACTGACTTGCAGTGTTTTCTTGCTCCTCATCCTCATCACCGCTTTCATCACCCTCTATGTCGCCTTCTTTGCTCTCGGGCGAATCTGGAGAACTTAATGGGGACTCCGTTGGCGAGTCTGGGCTTTCGGGGCTGGGAAGACCTGTCTCTGTTGGCCCTATACTAGACTCTTGTCTTCGATAAATCTGGATGGGCGTGGGCCGGGTTCGCCTGTACAGTGGCATTTTGATGGAAATTAAAACGTCAAGCGGGAATGACACAGGATTAACAAGGCTCTAGAGCACTGCTCAGAGGGAGAAGAGACAAAAGGTATCAAAGCAAAGAAGAATCGAAACGGGAAGTGGAGTAAAACAGAAATCCGCTCAGCGGAGAGAAGTGAAAGTTAGGTATAAAGATCAGGCCACATCGAGAGCGAAGGAGCAAGGGAGAAAAGATCGAAAGAAAACCACGATGTCGGAGGAGTAGCGAATGCTTAACTACGTCTGCGCGCCATGCTTATTGTATGCTTAAGATCCTCTTCAATCACTATGTGTTTCGAGACCGGGGTGGCCTGGGGCAACCGCTTTGGGAGAGTATAGTTTCGCATTGAAGCCATCGGCGGCTGCTCAAGGTGATGATCTACAGCCACACGATCAAGGCACCAACTGCATCTTACCGTTGAAGTGCAAGGACCAGATATGGTCGCGGCAATGATGATGTTCCGTGTTGGGATGGAAGGGGTTGCGGGGAAGGCGAAACGTCTTGGCGGTTTGACAGACGACGATGAAGCACGACGCGCAACACATCTTGCCGCATGTCGCAACTCGACTCCTGAGCGCACTTATCAGACAGACAAACAAATAGCTTGACAATATCTCGCGCGCGCTATCAAATGACGTCTCAACCACCTCCAAGTCGCATACAGGCTTATGTTCGTATGTGATTGTGCGGACAGTCACGCAGTTGCACGTGATCTGGGGGCGGCAATGGATGACGGGGGATGACCGTACCCCAGTAATGATGGCGATCATGATGTTTTAGCCTTGTATAATACAAGGAGGTACTGTTGGAACTGTCGGCCTGCTTGCAATTTCTTGTTTGATGGCTTTAAACACCGAGTACATCTTCAACTCAACAAATACAATGTTTGTATGCAATACCGGATCATGCTTTTGGTAAATCCCTGTATCAAGGTAGATCTCTGGTGTTCGCAGGGTGAGACGAGTAGACGCCTCTGCATGTTGTCATGGTGAATGGAAGATGTCTACGAACATCCGACTAAAAAGCCGAAGCGAACACGAGCAAGCTATGATACTTAAATGTCTATGAAATCTCTGACCAAAAGCGGATGGAGCCCTTGAAGAGAGACTAGGCTGTGAATATCAGTTTCAATGCTTGAAAGAATATATTCGTCACCTTAGAAATGTGGTAAAGAATATCAGTTGAACGTAGCCATCAATTGAACGCTGCCTATAAGGGCTCAGAATACTGGGTTTCTCCGAAGGCGAAAGTGGTCCAATGCGATGTCGCCTTGCTTACCCCCGGACTGTTCCCATTGACGCCGTCGCTTACTGAATCAACAGCCTCCAAATGTCTCATTATGTTTGCCGTTGGCAACGAAATCATATTCTGTTTCACGATGACACATTCGGGAGGACTACAATCAAGGATTCAATTCACTTTCCTCATAAACTGATTCAGCCTTGCCAATGTATGAGCCTGGCCTGTCGGACTCAAACTACGGTGCTCTTACCAGTAGCCTCGTAGCATTTGGCGATCTATGTTTCTGAAAGGGGGCTTCATATTTTGTTGGGTAATGTAGGAGGGCGCTGATGGTCTCCGGTTTCGTGGCCGAGCTCTCGTAGAAATGGGTAACCGCCGACGGTTGGTCTGCGTAAATGAACACGGTATGGTGAAAACTAGAGAGTAACAACTACTACATCCGCAACGGTGCTGTTCGTCTTTAGGTAGGATTGGCTGCCTTTATATTTGCTGCTGGAGGCTCTTCGTGACTGAAGAGGAACTCCAATGACCGGATGTTCTGTCAGAGGAGAGTGATGCCGTCGTGCGATGGAAGCCTAATCCAGACCTAGATGTTTGGTAGCATGGAATGATGGCTAACACCCGCAGATATCTTCCTGAACATCCTGTGTATATAGTTTAGATAGGCTCCTCAATAGATCCAGTTCGTACAAGGATTCTCCAGAATACTGGCACAACAAGAGTCGCTCTGCATTCCACATCGGCTCTTTTGACAGGTGAAAGTTCGTATAATCACCACGAACGGGAGTATTGACGAATGTGTGCACGCCGATCTTCCGCATTGCAAAAAACCAAGAATATGTAAGTTGGATTGGCGTGTAATGAAATGCGTCTTTTCTCTTTTTTGTATGATTTGAACAAGTTGAAAATGAATCGCGAAGCGCCCACCACCCGGAAAGGAAGTCTTGTACTGTTCATTCACTCCTCGGTCGGGGTGATACCTTTGCATCGGATTGATGTATTTGGGCTTTGTTCAGCGACGATGGTATGTCGGGTTGGATTATGTTGACAATCTTACTCTTACGCCACCAATCTGTGCCTTAAGGTTGGGATGTGCGAAATAATGACTTCACATCCAATATGATGATTGAGCATGATGAAACATACTCCATCGGATGCGATGGTTCATGTGACGCGCAACCGTCTACAAACCTTGATGGGGGAGAAAAATATTGAAAAAAAGATGCCCGAGGCACAGTTTAGATGCCATAGGAGTAGATTTTCTTCCAACTACAGAATAACCAATTGTATTGATATCAAAGACCGTGAAAAGTACCACCGTATGGATCCGAATCAAGAGCAGAGATGAGGCATGTCAGCCATTCAATTGAATTTCCGAACCATCTAGACGTGACACACTGTCACTCAACTCGCGAATAAGTCTTCTCTCGGGAATCTACCGCTCGTCCGATGATCCGAAGGAATTGAGTACAAATGTCTGAAGAATTTGATGACCGTGATTGCAAGGAACGATAGATTACTATTTACCGAAGAGGGGGGGGAGACCAGACGTGCAAGTGCGCAACGAAATCTTCGTACCATTTGTAATTTGGGATTGCCATGAAGTGAGGGCAGACACGGAAGTGAAGGGATCTCAGAGTCGTAAATACGCTCTGCTACAGGAGATGGGAACATGGTCATCGTACCCTCATAGGAAGAAAGAATATGCATGTACTGTATGAGAAGACCGGCAACCATTATATTAAATAGTCTAAGTTGGACGCTCAAATTCCCCTGGGCTGGCCGCCCTGAACGATAGGGACGAGAACATGCAACTCGCGAGCGATGATAAATGTGATCTAGCCATCGCGGCTGATCCTCTGCTTCGTGTCCAATTGTAAAGTCGACCCGAGCTAGCAGTTGGCCGTAGGCTCAAAATTCTCTGTTGGGTTGTAGCATCAGGGAAGCTACTTGAATGATACAGATCTTGCGACCCAGCTTGGTATTGGCTGATACTGGCGCAATGTTCCTGCCAGATCGTACAGTGTGATCAAAGTCTCTCACTGAGATCGTGAGAGAGCTGTTGATGAAGGGTTGAGGGTAGTGTGTGCTTCAATGCAATCACAGTGGTTCCCGGAACAATAATGTGCAGCTAGGAGAATAGGATAGACGAGTGCGACTTCATGGAGATATATTCTCGTAATTGAATATCAGGATTATGATCACTTGGGCCTCTAACTATACAAATCTATTTGATGCAAAAATTGTACAAGAAATCCAGATCTTCAGTTCCTTGCTTTATGCATCGTAGTTGAACATTATCCCATCTGTGATTTGTTGACCACGTAGAAACGCTACTGGCGATATACTCCTTTGGCCTTACGATGTTCCGTGGTATAATTGCGCTTACAGCGGCTGTTGGTTGTGCTGCCTACCAAATTACGGAGAGGCCTGATTAGGCATGTAGAATCGCGAACCTCGACTGCCCGACTACAAGTGAAAAGTGGATTCGTTGAGCACAGCTGGGGCCAATCTACACGTCCTGGCGGAGATGGGTGGAGAAGGTGAGCAGGAGCGCACATTGCGGCTAAGTCGGCATCCGATCCTAAGGTATGGCGAGTCGAGATGACTTTAGGGCGAGACTGCAATTGCATTTACAAACGTGCGCTGGAGAGATGCATGGTTCGCACTTAGATCACCTAGATGGAATGAGATGTTGCTGACAGTCAGTCTTGGGTCGCATGTCTAAGGCAAGGTATTCGAGGGCCTCAAATGTGGTAAGTTAGTGCTGCGAAAACAACGCAGCCTATGTGGAGACCTTGGGAGGCAATCCTAAGTGAACATAAATGCAAGCGAGGAGGAGTGGTACGGGCGCAAACATCGAAACAGCGGACCTAGAAACGTTTATCGACCCATTATAGGGAGCTCCGCCGTGTGCATGTATGCCCGTGCCAAGGGAGTTACGAGCTGATACGAATGGTATTGTTGACATGTAGTCTAATAATCCTATGTACCGGATATACGATGGGTGTTCCTTGGAGACGTTCGGCGTACAGCGCTATTGCGAATTGCGTTGGTCAGAGATAAACACTTTGGATGACGTTGACTCGTTCGTTTCGTGCTGCACCGTAGGTGTCAATGCGGAGCTGCTACGCTCGAGAAGAACCTCGTACGTGAATCCTATTGTCGTAACAAACCTCTCAGAGACCGCCCTGGCGTGGGGAGTCGGCATGTGCCCCACGCACCCCCAGACTGGAGCAAATTCGGCATGACCTTGGACTGCGAGTAATAAAGAGTAAAACTGGCCGTCCTTTATTGGCAGGATCGGGATGTACGTAAGCGGTTGAATGTGGAATGCGCAGATGGCCATAGAAAACAGGGAACAAGGACGGCACTAGCAGTTGCTTCGTAGGGAAGGCCCTAGAGGGACTGTGAAGCACCTTTTCGTGCAGCGGACGTGGACGTGGTTATGAGTGAATCTGCCTTGCTTGGACTGTCGTTCGGAGAAGCCTTTGGTCGTTTCTTGTGCAGATTGGCAGAGTCGTTGGAATTTGGATCAAGAATTGCCTTGAGTACAAGTACGCCTACAGAGTGTGTCGAAGCCTTTCCTTGCAGACCGGTGAGTGGCCGCGGGCGGGATCTTGATGATGACGACGTGAGGGGACCGGAGACCGAGATACAATACAAGACAAGTACAGGGCGACGAGGGCGCGGCTGGGCGGCTGAGTGGCGGCGGAGACACATTCGGCTGCTGCCCATCATCATTGGGGCGATCCGGTCAAGGCGCGCCGTCATGTACTTTCCTTGTCCCTGATTGGCTGGCGTGAGAAGCTAGTGAGACTGGTGCCGTGACCAACCCTCGGATGTGGAACCTCCAGGCCACCCTTTCACTACGGTACGAGTACGTACCTATGTACGGATGGACTTTTGGGTTTGAGGATCTGAACATGTGCATGTGCAGGTGCATGTGCATGTACAATTGTCTTGAATGCGCTGCGGCGCGAAAATACTGTATCTGCCTGAGCAAAAACCCTTCTGAGCCTGTATGTATGTCTGCCTCGCGCCTAACGTATGCTGCTTCGGGAAGATGGACACGAGACTTTGCGCCCAAGTGAACTGCAAACCACACAGAAGAAAAAAATGTGAGATTGGTGCATGGGGATCGCATCGATCGCGGAGAACTGGCTTGGCGCTAAGGGAAATGAAGGTCTAGTGTTACATCGTGGCGCCGAGGAGAAGTGCAGTGGGCTGGTACAAGTAGACTCGAATGAGAACCTTGGTAAGACTGTTGCTGGGTACCTAGGTATGTAGTGTAGGTACTCCGTACTGTGCAGACGACATGATAGGTGGCGTACCTATGTATGTACAACAAAGTACTGAGTTATTCGGTATTCCCGTGTCGCGTGAGATATTCGTGATTCGTTCGTCCCTTCTCGGTGCACACATACAGCTGCTTTGCGGAAAGTCGGCCGTGCGAAAGAAAACCCTCGCGCGGGTGTCGCCTAATGTGGCAAATTACTCGTCGTCTGCTTGGCGCATGGAAAACATTTGTAGCAGAATTGACAGTCGGATGTATGTATACGTTGCATAAGGTGGAAGGATGTTCAACGACGATGTCGGCAGAAAAAGTCTAAGATCAATGATGAACGAATGGGTATATTGATTGATGAAAAAAAAGTTCCTTGAGGCACTCCCGTGCCTGCGACGGAGACAACACGTCCACGTCCTTATCAGCCAATCCGCTAGTAAAAGAAGCAGTTGTTAGCAAAATGTAAGCTTGACCAACAACCCAGTTAGTCAGTATCTTCATATGAGTTTCTGCGTATGTAACAGCTTCCAAAGCCGCTTCCCTCACTTGCGATGGCACCGTGAGTGGCTCTTTCATACAGCGCGTTTGTCAACTGGGACATTGCGCTTGAAGCCAATCAATTGTGCCATTTCTGTCCAGAAGCCGATCGGAGGAGTGATAAAAGAGGCTTCATATGCATCAATCAGAGGTGCATCCCACACCAAATCCACCTGGTGGGCAGGCACAATCTTCGTCCTCTTGAGAAGCTTCCAGCCGAAGTAAAGGATGGGGTAGAGGAAGACCATGGTGTAACTGAAGAAGAAGTCTTGGACTGTCCACATGCCAGGAAGGAAGACGGAGTAGCCGTAGCAGCAGACCATACCGATTTCCCAGATGAGACCAATCCAAGCACAGTAAGGCTGGAACCAGCCGGTGTAGGGCAAGGCGTTACGGTCGAAGTTCTGGGCTTTCGTCGCACGGTAAAAGGCGAGGTAGGTCAGCGTGATGCCGATATAGTTAAGCATACCGCCAGCGGTGATCAAGCTGGTGATCCAAGTCAGGGCCTTGGCAGAGCCATCCGAAACGGAGAGGAAAGAGAGGAAAGGGAATGCCATGACTATGATGAAGCAGTAGATGGGAACACCGTTCTTCAAGCACTTCCTCAGGAACTTGGGCGCACGTCCTTCGATGGAGAGAGAGTAGAGACTGCGGGTGGCACAGTAGGTATACGTGTTTCCGGCCGAGAAGATGGATGTGAGTAGGAGAGCGTTGGTAATGTGTGGCAAGACAGGGACCGCGAGATTGGACATGGCAATGACATAAGGAGAAGCGGCAGCAGTACCACCACCCTCACCACCCTTGAGGACCTTCACCAGGCTGGGGTCGTTGTAGGGCAAGATGATGCCGACGCAGAGAGCTCCCGTGATGAAGAAGATGCAGAAGCGCCAGTACACGGTCTTGAAGGCGTTCTTGATGTAGACACGGGGACGTTTAGCCTCACCAGACACCATGGAGATGTACTCTGGACCAACAATGCAGAACCCAGCAGCCCAAAGGGCTCCGAGGAAGCCCTCCCAACGCCCTAGAGCTCCAGTGCTGAGGTACTCAGCCATCGGGCCAGGGTCTCTCCAGTAGCGGAAACCGTAAGCGTCGTGCTTGGGGTTACCACCGCACATGGTGATGAATGTGAACGAGAACAGCATGAAAATCAGGACGACCTTGCCTCCGGAGAGCCAAAATTCGGCTTCGCCAAAGACCTTGACGGCGAGAATATTGCAAGCGCTAGAAAACCTTCAGTACTGACAATCCCAGAGAAGGGTAGGGACAAGACGTATAAGTCGACGGGCAAAGGAAATGATGGGAGACATACGCATAGAGGACAATGCACGCAGCACACACAGCAGCGACCGGGATATCATCCCTCCAGAAGGTGAGGACCAGATTCAAGGCCGTAATTTCGAAGGGAATAAGTAGGGCTTCATAGAGGAAGAAGTTCCAGCCCGCAGCAAAGCCTTTGGTAAGACATTAATAACTAGTTCACTCCAAGACCCAGGGAAGGTATTGACGAAATATGGCAATACTTGGAATTGCAGAATGTGGAAAAACTTACCCAAGGCCTCGTCTGCCCAGTGGCCAGCCAAACGGATGAAGCCACCGGTGATTGGCATGTAGGTGCCCATCTCAGCGATGCAGTTATTGATCATGGCTAGAATACAGCTGTAACCAGTGTAGGCAAGGAGCATTCCAAGGGGACCGGCCTTGTTGAGAGCACCGCCGATGCTCACGAACAAGGCGGTACCGATGGAGCCACCAATAGCGATCAACTGAATTTGGCGATTGCCTAGATGGCGTTGAAGGTCATCCGAGTTCTCGGTGACGACACCCTCACGGACGTCGTCGCCGTCACGGCTCTCGTGGACAAAGTTGTCATATTTCTTGGCTTCGTCCATGGACGACATGGCTGGTGCGATTGGGGCCGATCGTGGGGTAATTGCAATGGGAAACCAGAGGAATGGCGCAAGTGGCGGAGGGAGGCAAGGGAGCCTATTGTCGCTTGTGGAGTAGAAATGGTTCCTCTGGGGTTAGGGAGGGTCGTACAGTCGCGAGGGAACCCAAATTTAGGAGATCGCAATGGGAGTGTCGCGTGAGGCTGGGGTTGGTGAGAGCAAGGTATAAGAAGCAGTCACAGCGAGAGGTGAATAGAAGTATGACACTCGAGAATGAGCGTGAGAAGTAGAGAGTGATTGGCGCACAATGAAGAAGCGCAAGCTCTCGTGAGATGGGATTGCCCCGAGAGAGGTATGGAGGAGGGCAGATGGGGAAGAGGGAGAAAGATGTAGTGGGGGAGTGAACGTGGGAAAGTTCAACCGCAGGGTCGGGACTCTTTATAGATGAGGAGGGGAGTGTAGAAGATCAAGAAAGTAGACCTAAGGAATTGCCATTGGACGGGGACGGGAACGGGGACTGGGGTGGAGGATAAGAGTGAATGGAGTAATAGAGAGGGCAAGAGAGGGGGAGAGGGTGAGTGAATTGGGACAATACTGTGTAGCCAACCAGCCAAGCAAGTAAATGTTGGTAGCAGAAGCAGTAGCAGTAGTGATTAGTGAAGAGAAGGTTGAAGTCAAGGATAATGATGTATGTACTAGGTATAGGCCCATGGGTGGTGGATGGGGTGGACGGGGTGGACGGTGGAGGATGTTGCTAAAGAAGCTAAGCTCAATGGCCCGCCACCCTTGATTAAACTTGCCGGATAAGGTAAGTGAGATGGGAGATGGAGGTGGGATACGGTAATGGTGCTAGTGGGCACCGGACGGGATGGGATGAGATGGGATTGGGGGGGTTGAGTTGAGTTGAGTTGAGCTTGTCTTGTGCTTGTGCTTAAGCCTTGAGGGATTATAGGGACTTGTACGGGATAGGATAAGATATACATATGCGATGGGATAGGTCGAGATACAAGAAAGATAGATAACTATGAGGCAAGTGAATTGGTTGGGATATTTTCGAGACTATGAGTAGGGTTGAATTATAATAACAGTAAAATGGCAAACGTCAGTTCTGTTGGAAGCGAGAGAGTGAGAGAGAGGGGATAGGTAAGAGTGAATAGAGACTACGCCTGATGCATACCGTACCATACCATCCATATTCAATCCCTGGAACCCATCAAGAACTCTCTACTCTCGATTCTCGATAACTTCTAATGTATATACCTAATTACAGCATTGATTTGCCCAAGCAAAGATTGTCTGCCTGAGGCGCCTGCGAGTTAGATACCTAAATAGAATAGCGACACATGCATTCGTCGCACCACATATAGTAGGCGTACGGAGTACAGAGCACAGTTCGCTGTTGAACCATGCCGTGAGTAAAATAATAATGATGATGATAACAAGAGCAATAATACAGAGTAGTCCATCCTGGTAACTCTTGGGAAAGATGAATATCGAAAGATGCATAGGCACAGACCCGCATCAGAGACATCGGACCATGTTGCAATTACAGTTACCGCTTCAATTATGGCCACAGCGAACTACAGGTACAACCACAACTCCAGCTACTGTGCAACTACAGCTACATACAGTTACAGTCAGTACACCGCTAGGGTACGAGTATGTTCCAAACTAGTAGGCAAGGTTACACTGTACAGTCAAGTAATTTAAATGGAAAAGGTACGATACCGTTCTTTGAGCTGATCTGTGCGGAACTGCTTCCCAACCACTCAAGAGACAGCATTTGGAGGCTGTTAAACGGGACCGCAACTCTGTTCCATCATCCTCCCTCAGCCACCACCTAACTAACCCCACAGAGACCAACGTTCTTAACTCGATGTCGGTCTGTTTCAACCCAGAAATGGTCGTGGTGCATACTCGTATGAGCGTGAGCGTGAGCCATGAACATGGACATGGACATGGTTTGCTCGTGGTCCTGACTCTTGATGCAGATCGACCCTGTCAATCTCTCCCGCTTTCCCAGCTTTGACCCGAAGAAAAGTCTGGGCATACGTAACCATACTCGTACTCACACTGTAACAGAGTACAGTATTTGTACTCGTACAGTGAACACTGACACTCACTCTAACTATGGGACACTCCGGAGTCTGTGCTGTAATCATGTACTTGTACGTTACAAGTGCAGAATAGGCTTCCTACGGAGTACGGAGTACTCGTTGGCGAACATGCGTACCTTCACAATAAAAATAATTATTACATGCGTATATCTCGAAATCTACATCTGCCGCAGCTGGCCGCCTCCTCCGCCGCCGTCGCCGTTGGAGGCACTATTTGTCTGGCTGTCTGTCGAGTGGCGGCCGCCTCAGCCAGCTAAACTACGCAGTACCCCAGTCTCGTTTTTCCCATTTCTTCCTCCACACGCCACATCTCTACAGTTTGCCTTCTCCCGTCTAGTCTCTCTGGTCTAGAATCAACTCTGTTGTGTTGTGTCAACTTTTTGATTTGCCGCAGCGTCAAATCAATTTGATTTCCTCCTCCACCATCTCATCGGGTTTGTCCTTTCTCATACAAGGCCTCTTCCGAGCGAACCATCACCCCGGCTCTAGGGAATGGAGGCCCATGGAGGCGGATAACATGTAGCGAGTAGTGGCTGTAAGTGTATTGCTACTGAGTAGCGTACGGGCGTAGCGTACTGCGTGTAGGTGTAAGTGGACTGATGGCGAGGCCGACCCGTTCAGCTCCAAGAACGTGCATCTATCTACGCAGCATGTGTATTGCCGCACACATTTGGTAGAGTAGTCCTTTCTTACTTCGTATCTATGAATACCTAGCATTGCGGTGCGGTTATTCACCAGCCAAGAGAAAAAAACAGCAACATACACAGTAGGTACCTGCATACAAGACTGTCTTTCGAACGTAATCGCTGGAAGGCAAAAATGTTTCACACAAGAATTGGTAACATGCTTCAAATCGATAATAGACCCCCTCTAGGGAGAATTAACACGGAATACTTGGGTTTTCAAATAGTTGGTGGCCGTATTGTCGCCTCCCTTCTCAATCCGGCATCTCTCGACTGCCAATATAGCTATTTAGAGACGGGAGAGAAAGGGAAAGAAAGAAACGAAGAGCCTCAACATTCCTCCAAAATCTCACGCCCGACCTATCGGATACCGAGCTTTCGAAATTTCTTACAATCCACTTGTGGGTCAGATCATGTCCCTGGCATTATTTAATGGGTACTGTAATTGTAGACTCTCAGTTGTCCACCACTATTGCCCAGTGCCAGGTCGATAGCGTGCGGCACGACAGCCCCATGCGCAGTTAGTGTCCGGAATCATCGTTCTTGTTGTTAATTGTAATAGTAATGATAATACCATTCACCAGTAGCCAGCGTCACCTAAAGCCTACTCGTACCTTGGAGTACCGGTAGAGATTAGTCCATCACATCAAATTTTAATGATCACATTAATCGAAGAGGAAAAAGGCTGTGCAAAGTTCGAGATTGGGATTTCGGTTCAGGTTCTAGTTCAAGCTATTTGCGCCTCTGCCATGGCATGCGCTTGTTCATTTTCTTGATCAAACTCCAGACTTCCGCCCCGCCGCTCGCCGCTCGCCATCCGCTGCACACTACGAGGTACATGGTACATGTAATACAGTAGGTACTCGTACGTACAATCCCTCTACGGTCTACCACAAACTATCCCTCGTACCCAAAGTCTTCTACCACCAAAGACGAAACCCAAAAGGCTCTCTTTCCGGCTGCCGCGGTTGGATCGCCCTCCGTGTTCGAGATCGTCTTCCTTTCATTGTTCCTTTAGCAGTGAACAGCGGTACAAGTACATGATTGGCCGGTCCCTGCGCCTGGCGCTTGTCACGGTGTCTACCAACAACACCTACGCCTACCCTACCTAGGCATCTCCTCCCATAGTTCTTAATTATCACAACCAACCCCAACGCATCGCACCCTCGCTCACGTGCACACATTCCTGACGCCGGATCCGCACATCCACCCAAGCAGTGCAGCAATCACCCGCGCTGCCAAACAAGACGTCTGGTCCTAGTTTTCCGTCGGACAATCCGCTTACACGGACATCACCCGCGTCGATTGCTCTCTATCTAGATCTTATCTACACTTCTTGTCTATACTTTGATAGTGATTATCGTGCTAGTGTTGATATCTTGATGCGACACGGACACGAACACCCTTGACATTGCGGACCCGTTCACTCCTATCTCCTCATGGTGACATGCTTCTTGATGGACCTAGCTCCCCTGATCTCGCTGATACCGCTATCAATCCAGTTCCAATCCGTCATCGTCATTGATAGTAGGTATGGGCCACGGGCCGCACCGCATTATATAGCTGCAAATGGAAATATATCCAAAAGCCCATTGTCCTATCAGATGCCTTGAATTCACAATATGGGCGACAGCACTGAAGCCTTCGAGTACGATGCACCCCTTGTCTTCCCCGGATCCGGTCTTTCCCCCCACCCCCTTCGCCTGGAGGAAACTATGAATTCGTCCCGTTGTGAAGCTGAACCCGTCATTGTACCTGGACGCCTCTTTCTCGTCTTGGTGTGGGCGACTCCGCATAGGAGAACTATGTTCCGTGCAGTTGTGCTCAGCCACGGCCGAGGGGATATGGCTTCATCGTCCCCTCATCATCATCCTTCTCCTCAGCCCATGTCTTCCTGATCATTTTCGTGCGGTTAGATAAATACGTTGCAGTGAACTCCAGGTGCTTATCTCCGACCTTGGGCCTGATCGACTCGAATGTCCCGGATTTTGACCGGACATCGCACGGTGTTGTTTGATCAAAGTCATGGCTGGTATATTGCGAAAGCCTTGCATCCTCCCTTGTGTCTCCCCTGTTCCAAGCAGCATTGGCAGCAACAGCAATGATGATTATAGGCGCTTCCTCGGCGACAATGCTCCTCTGCGGTGCCCTGCCCCAACATCCCCGTAGTCCTGGCCACCACGAGTGAAGGCGAAGGCCTTGGGCCTTTGGCATTGCGAGACAACATCGAAGTGCTTGGACAACTATCCCCTTGTCTTGTCTTAACCTGCATCTCCTCGGGCCTCACTTCGTCAAGCTTCCCTTCCTTAGATTCCGGTACCCCTGGACTGTCAACCTCAGTAGCCCCGCATGGTAGGCGCTCAGCAGCAACAGGCCGATGGACAGCTTGCTCCAAGCAACGGCACTGAGTTTCGACCTGGCTCTTCTCCCCGTGAAATCGTAGACCGCGTCGACGCACAGATGTACGTACTGTATGACTTGCGTGATGAGGAAAATGCACAATGCCTGCACCGGGACGCTCACCAGCGTCTTTGCGCATTGCGCCATGGTCCTATAGCTACCGGACTGGTCGGACTCGAAGACTGTCAGCGCTGGTATGGTTGTGCTTGCTGCACTGAAGTCGCTCTGGAGCTGATCGTTTGTTGTTGTTGGTTCGACGGGCGATGTTATTGCTGTGCCTCGGCTGTTGTCGCGCGAAACATCCAGCATGACAAAGAATGGTCTCAGTGTATCCTCCTATGCTCGTAGTTGTAGCGATGGCAGTGGTAGTAGTTGTCGCGTGGGAATAAGAGAGACAGTATCTCAATGCGCAATCACGGATGTCTGAAAGGTATGTCGTTGCGATCTCAATATATCAAAACACCTTGTTGTCCCTTTCCTCGCTCAGCCTTAACCCCCTCTTTTGCATGGATAAATTACGTGTGGAAAATTCCCGAGGCGCAGTGCTCGCTCTCACCGCCTCCTATTCTCAGTCTCACATGCGCAGCACAAAGGTACGGGGTACTCTTTTCGGCCTGGCAACCTTTGTGCGCGTTGCCCGGTAGAATCGGTAAACTGGAATTGCAAGTGATTGTTCGTAGCAACTGCCGTTGGCGTACAATTGTTACAAGTAGGAGAGATCGTCTCGCAAACATGGGGGGAAGCTGTTCAATATGCCACCTCGCTCGCTTCGTGCTCGAAGTGTTTATTAGCACACCAACCACGAGGGTCAGCTCGCCAAGTTTGACCGTGCGGGCTGGACCCCGAGAGCCATAGAAAATGCCCCAGACGGGAATCCTTCAACATGTGGAGGATTGCACCAAATGCTGACCCCCGACTTCGCCTTGTACCGAATGTAGCAATGATAAATTAATCGTAACAGAAATTATTAACACAGCCAGAATGCCTATCTTCGTTCAAATTCGTCGATATCACGAATGCAGTTGCAGGTGAAATTGGCTCATGATGATTAGCAAACAGGAGGAGCACATCGGTAGCATGCATTTATATTTGTCAAGTGATGACCCGATCACCTTCAGTATCAACAGCTACGATGTATCCTTTGGATGTCGATCAAGTAACAAAAAACCGATAGACAAAAAACTCCCCTCAATAGAATGCAACTGATACGTCACATCTGTGCTAGAAATTATGTGTTACCCAGCTAGAGGCACGCATCACGTAGATTCAACATCATCACGACTTCCTTTCTTCAAGCGTTATCGTCCATGTGTGGCCACCGCACTGGGCTGGGCTGCCTATCATCAACTCCTCTTCGCCGGCCGCGCGCTTTCTTCACCTTAGCTCGGACTCGTCCTTGCCTGCCTCGGTCTTCAAAGTTCAGCATCCAGTCTAAAGTGAGGATGTCTGTTCCAGCATCAGTTCCCTCCGTCACCCATCGGTATGGGGATTTGAGAAGGATCTTCGCCTCGATATTGAAGTAGCCCCAACCAACTCGACGGACCTCGAATGGTGGGCCGTCAAGGGTGAGCTGGGGAGGGTGAAACGTAGGGTGCTATCCAGCCTGTTACCATATATCACCTTACACCAAAAGAACACCCATATCCTGGAACAAAACATACCAAGTTTATGCGAATCTGATGCACGATCTCAGATCTGGAACATTTCACGAAAAATGTCCAGTCATGTTGATTGTCCGAACCTGGCGATGCCCGTACCAGACTATGCTTGTTGCCTATCAATATTACCATGCTTTCGATACCGGCGACTCCCACGCGAGCCTCGTCTTCTTCCACCGCGCGCTCACGCCATGTATCTGGATATTTCTCCTCTAATGTCCTTGCTAGATCGCGGTCCAGCGCTGCCGTCGTAGCGGTTCGGCACATTGGACAGTTTGCTTGCAAATTTGCTCGATCGCTCAGGGCCTCGATATCGGCCAGGTCAATGTCGACATTGGATGGGCTGATGTGGTTCAGGGAAGAAGCATCCGCCCATTGTGCCATGCACGACCCGCAGAGAAGATGGTTGCATTGTGTTCGGACAGGTTCGTAGAGGAGAAGGTGACAGACTGGACACAGGTCGTCGTGTGCGATACTTTCGGACGGCGGGTTTGGGGCAGCCATAGGAATGCGCTCAGTTGCTAATCTTTTTTGAAGGCGACCACTTCGTGATGGGATTTGAGACGGATGACCATCTCAAATTTTGGTCGGAAGCAGAGCATATTTATAGTTGAGCAATGGTCAGAGTCTACCTGTAAACATTGATCATCGCAGCCATCATCATCCATCAGGCATCCATGAGCACAGCACGGTCCACCGCGGGGTAGCAGGCACGTGAGGTCGCGATCACATCGAGCAACCCCTGGGCAGATCTACCAAAACAGGAAAATTGTCATTGTTGGTGGCAACAACTGCCTCAATGGCCAAGTGTGCCACAGAGCTACAATTTCCGAGGTATGAATTGTAGAAAAGCCCATCCTGATCCCGTGACAGCTTTGTATCGCAAGTGAATCCGACGCAGTCGAGATATTGCTCACATATTGCGTGGTAGGGTAATGTCTGGCATGCTGATATCGTCCCCTTCCATCAGACCCATGATATACCGGCTACCGGAAAACCAATCCTGGACCGTGTTCTGTCCCATTGCAACTCCATCGAACGCGTTTAGATGATCACTTGATTCTGCAGCGTACGATGTAACGGGCCATGTCGTGTTCGGTGCTAGGCCAAGCGCACTCAAATACGGATCGAATTGATTAACGTTGATCCCGCTGAAGTCGTTCTGGGCGCGTTGTGTTCCGTAGAAGCCCACTGGGTCGGCGGTAGATCGATGGGCCTCAGCTTCCTTGGTCTTCGCTTCAATGTAATGTTTTGCTACCAGCAAGAATAGGTGGCACATTTTGTATAGTTTATCAGCGCCTTCAGAGGTACTCCTGCATGTCTCAAGAGAGAGGACAAACTCCGAGAGAGAGTACAGATCCTGCTCATGGCAATGTGTAACTGCGTTTGTGAACAAGACGATGAAGGGTGTGAATGGTGCTTGCAAGATTGCCCTATACAGTGTTCTTGTCACTAGCCGCACTTTGGTAAGTATAAGGGACAAGGACATACCAATGAACATAGCCCGTCCACAAGACCTCGTTTCCTTTGTGATTGAATTGCTTACTGCACGATTGGTGAGCACTCAAAGCAGCTCGAGATGATTCCAGACACTCTTCACTGAAGCTAACATTGTCCGCACTCATGGCGCGCTGGATGAGTGACGTGTTAGAGTAGTGGAGAACCACATCTGCATGGGCACCGGAAGGTCAGATTCTCATCGTTGCTGAGTTAAGTAAGACATGAACATACCTGAGTAGTAGAAAACGTCCCCAATAGCATCAAAGTCTACGCATCCTATGCATGTAAGCATTTATTAGGGCGTAGAAGTCATGTCACTTATCGTTACGTACCCTTTCTGGATGATGCAGTACTGAATGGTGAGCTATGCGAAGCCGATGGCTGTATGCCTGGAGTGCCCCCTGCATTGAACTCCGGGATTGGCGGGCCACGATTGTTAGACCTGGACGGGGCAGAGGGGGGGCGGTGGCGGTAGCCGCGGTCGACGAAATCGATGATGCTGCCGTTGCCACGTTCTGACCAAGCTTGATTCATGGCGTCCACGAGCTCCGTAGCGATACGTGCTCTCTCCTCATGAGGTCTTAGAAATGATGCAGGACTGAATAGCTGTTCGTATATACGACCCTGTATCTGCGCGACTTTTATCCAGTATACCTGTATTTCGAATCCTTTGAGATAGTTGGCGGAGCGGCCCAACTCGCCAGGTACGACGAATGGTAATGACATGTCCCAGTCTTGAATTAATGAAGCACGGCCCAGCCGAAGAGAAAGCATTTTGTCTAGAGTGTATATAAACCAGAAGCTGTGTATCTTTGCTGCACGTTCCTCTGCACTGTCATCTTTCATGGACGATATGCGATGATAGCCCAGAGAAGTAGCAAGTCCGATGGCTGTAGAGTTCATGATCCAGCATAGAGATGGTTTTGCTATTTCTACTGTATAGGATGCCTGCCCAAGTTAAGTATGCTTCTAGAAATGGGAAAATAGTGTCAAATTGCAGGAAGCATACTTACCGCCATCAGAAGTGCTTGAATGTTCTCGTATGAGGCTGGGATTAGCAGGTCTAATTGGCTCATGCCCATCTCCATCTGCACTCGACTTCGGCGTGTGTACTCTGGGTAATCTTCCATCTCGGATTGAGGAATGTCATAGTATACGAACTCAGTGAAGAGATTATACAAGACTCCATAGCAGAAAATTCGGCGGCATGGTGAGCATTCCTCGGGGGTATCATATACTTCTCGCATCATAGTTTTCACATTCTGCAAGTTCAGGAACGGGACTGGCCAGGGTTAATGTATACTCTGCATGCTGTAGGGATCGTATATTCTCACATATGACAGCGAGGCACATAGTTGGTTGCGCTAGAGTGTATTAGCGAGAACATCTTAATGACATGGATACCTGTCTCACTCACTAGCTGCTCGATCTAGAATGCTCTCCACGATATCCCATGGCGGCCGGTCCAAGTTTGTTGCCTCATTCTCAGATAACCTTTTCTCGAAGAATGCAGCTGCTTCGGTGGAGGCAGACGTGAGAACATTCTGCCTGCCTACCATGTCTTGCAAGGAGTTAAGCGTGGCCTTGATCTCGGCGTTTTGGCTGATGGAGGGTGTGCTCCCAATGGCCTTCTCAAGCACCTCTCGTGCAAAGCTGGATTGGGTGTGCATGGTAGTCTCGCCCTCGAATGCAGCTGGTGTGCCCACCTGCACTTCGGCAATCGAATTTGGGCTTCTGCTCGCTTTGTAGGAGCGGCCCTGACTGCCTTGCTCAGGACTATCTTTGCGTAGATCTATATTCTCAAGTTTGACTGTGAGTTTCTCGAGGACGGCTTCAATGCCCGCGAGCCGATCCTCGATACGGTCAATCTTTTTTTCATATTCATCTGAAATGTGTACCCTCTGCTTCTGTGCCTTTTGTGTAGGAGCAGTCGTTTGACAGGCTATACCATCACGAATTGATATTAGCAGGATCTCAAAGAAACAATGTCATGGGTTCCGTATGCCAACAAGCACCTAGGTGACTATCCACAACAGGCTGGTGTAACGAGGGTAGTGTGCGGGAGATTGGCTTACTCAATTTGCTTGCTCTGCAATTGGAACATGGGGTTGAACGGTCACAGCGAATTTTACGCGATCTGCAGGCATCGCAGGCGCGCTGGATCCGAGCGGAGCCATCAGCGGCAACGAGCACATCCATCTCGTCTTTGCCTGTGGTGGAATCCATAATGGAGTAATCAGGATGCACTTGGCATGCCGTTGGCGTTCGGAACGCGAGGAAAGCGATGCGATGAGTGGAGCGGAAAGGAGGCTGGATGAGAACACAGTGTGGTGGAGTGCGCAAAGTGTGACTGTATTGTTGCTGCGGTACTGAACGGACTGCTGGAAGCCTTACTCCATGGGTATCGACATGTGCGAGGTACTCGTAATGTCTCTGCTCTGAATGGGTTGCGTTGAGTATTACTGGGAAGTACAAAATGCGATGAGTGTATCTTTTTTTTCTCTCGTTTTGCTTTGCTCTAAACTACTCTGTACTATATCGAAAGTATCTGCCTGGCCTAATTACTGGTGGTTGGACTGTTGATGAGGCGGAATCCACGGGCTCCGGTCGCCAAGCCAGCCTCCACTACCTTTGAATGGATGTATTACGTAGATATCCTGCCTCTGCATCACCAATCCCCAGCAATTAATTCCTCCGTATACTCGTATATCCTCGCACTTAAGCCATTCTGCAGGGAATTCTGACTCATTTCGAGTCTTTCGTAGTAACAATGGAAAACATTCTTGTAACGCTTCTACCAGTGAACCGTGTCTAACGCCCTTGCGTGTTACGAAGGGCTCTACCCCCTCCACACTTGGCAGAAAGAAGTTGGCTTATAATACTGTAAGTAGAATAAGAGTATATATCGATGGAATCGTTGTCGTTTGGACCGATCCACGAGTAGTCTACAAAGAAGATAGTTATTACCCAAACCGACCTTGTTGCATTGACATCAAATCAGCGCCTGCGCATACCCTTCTTGGTTTGTTCCCAAATTCGTTATGTTCTTTTTCCTTGGCTTGCCCCCCTATGTTCTCTCTGTGAATCTCTAGGTCTCTCGGGTTCCACGGGTCCGTTTCGTGCTGACCAGACGTTCCGCCTAGCACTAATACCATTCGACGCATCTAGGTACATGTACCCGCAATCTGCGATCGTTTATATCCCTATGCGATCCGCCAGCTCTTGACTTTCCGAGCCACCCTCACCCCGTTTTCCCTATGACGAAATCAGAAAATCAAGAGAGGCCCAACAGCCGACAGCAAAGTCCAGCTCCTGACGTCCAAGACAAGAAAGCGGAAAATAGCAAAGAGGAGCGAAAGAGTAATGGCCTCGCTAGCTATTGGGTATGTTCTACTATGTTGATTGCACATATGTAATAAACTAATTTCGTGCCAGCGCATTTTCAGATATGCGGATCGTACAAGCTGGATACTCAACATAATTGCAGCGATTGCAGCGATTGCAGCAGGGACCATCCTCCCTTTGATGGACTTAGTCTTCGGAAAATTCGTCACAACATTCACAAGATTCGGAACTGGAACTCTTACACCCGCCGAATATCGATCAGAGACAGCTAAATTCACGTAATTTGCCTTGCCTTAAGATATCATCGCAGAACCGCTCAGACTGACTCTTTTAAGGATCTGGTTTGTTTACCTTTTCGTGGCAAGATTTTGTACAGTCTACATTCATTCGGTATGGCTTTCATGGCGATCTAGTGCGAAAGTGTACTGACTTTACAGGTGTGCGTCTCGGTGGCTGCTATCCGTACTACAAAAGCTTTGAGGGTAGACTTTCTTCAGAGCACTCTTCGACAGAATATCGCTTTTTTTGACGCGGCAGAATCTGGCTCAATTTCCACGCAGGCTGTGGTCAACGGAAACAACGTCAATAACGGAATCTCAGAGAAGCTGACACTGACCATACAGGCACTGTCACAGTTCGTCTCTGCTTTTGTCGTTGCCTTCGCAGTCCAGTGGAAGCTCACTTTCATACTCTTGAGTATTGTTCCGACAATCATAGTTGTTACCGGTATATGCATAGGCATTGATGTTAAACAGGAAGGATCGATTCTCGAAATCTACTCTCAAGCTTCATCTCTGGCTGAGGAAATGTAAGCCACACACATGGTTTTCAGAGATCGCTTGACGTGTGCTAATGGCAGAATTGTAGGTTTTCTACGATGAGGACAGTTCATTCATACTGGCTTCATCCTCTCTTGTCTCGTAAATTCGATGGCTTTCTAGCTGCGGCGATGAAGATTGGCATGAAGAAGTCGCCCAACTACGCAGTTCTCTTCTCCACTGAGTTCTTTTGTGTCTATGCTGGATACGGCTTAGCTTTCTGGCGTGGGATTCGTATGTTTGCATCTAGGGAGATCGATCAACCAGGCGAAGTATTCGTTGTGATCTTTGCAGTTATCGCTGCTGCTACTGCGTTGACGCAAATTGCCCCCCAAATCCTCGTCCTTACGAAGGCTACATCGGCGGCAGAAGAGCTTTTCCGCACCATCGACACGATTTCCGAAATCGACCCTCTTTCGAAAGAAGGAAAAGTACCTGAGGAATGTCTAGGAAGTATAGAGATCAAGGACGTGCACTTCTCGTATCCTGCGAGAGCAGACGTTCCTATTCTTCGTGGTCTCACTTTATCCATTCCCTCGAACAAAACCACCGCACTTGTAGGCGCTAGTGGATGTGGGAAATCAACAATGTAAGATATTTCGGTAATCCCCATTAATGATGGTACTGAACATTAAGTAGCGTCGGATTGTTGGAGCGATGGTACAATCCAGCCAGTGGATCAATCACCTTGGATGGCGTTGCTCTCCAAGACATCAACCTTAGCTGGCTCCGGTCAAATATGCGCCTGGTTCAGCAAGAGCCGGTACTTTTCAGCGGGACCATATACGAAAACGTTGCATATGGCCTGTATGGGACTGAAAAGGCTAACCTTACGAAAGACCAGCAACGTGCCCTGGTAGAGCAGGCATGTCAAGATGCATATGCCGACGAGTTCATAAACCGACTTCCAAAGGTACACATTACTCCGTTTCCCGGTCACAATCTTATACAACATTAGGCTGCCCGACAATGCACAAGTTGGAAAACTGCAGGGGAATCATGGCTAACAGCTTCCTATTTCACAGGGATACGAAACAGAGGTCGGTGAACGCGCAGCGATGTTATCCGGAGGGCAAAAGCAAAGGCTTGCAATAGCCCGCAGCATTGTATCAGATCCACGCGTGCTATTGCTCGATGAAGCAACCTCTGCACTTGATCCAAAAGCAGAGCGCATTGTTCAGAAAGCGCTTGACAACGTCTCAGCAAACCGCACTACGATAGTAATTGCCCATAAACTGTCTACCATCCGTGGTGCTGACAATATTTGCGTACTGTCCAGCGGGAACGTCATCGAACAAGGTACACATGAGCAGCTCCTAGATGCGGATGGCGCATACGCGCGTCTTGTGCGCGCCCAGGACCTAGGTCACGCTGGCGAAAAAGATGATCCAGAAAAGAGTCAGACAGAAAAGCAGGATCTGAGCCTTGTTCGCACGCAGACTCATGTGACGAACGCAGAAGACACCAAAAAAGACCAAGGAATGCGCGACGGAATCAATTATGGCCTTGTAAAGTGCATCTATCTAGTTCTCAGCGAACAAGGAAAACTATGGCCATGGTTCATCCTTCTCACCATAGCGGCGGTGGCTGGAGGATTGACCTTCCCGGCCCAGGCAATCCTGTTCTCTCGTGTTGTGAACGCATTTCAATTACCTCCGGGCGAGTCGGTGGATCAAGGTGACTTTTATGCCTTGATGTTCTTCGTAGTCGCGCTTGGGAACTTGGCTGTTTATGCAATTATTGGATGGGCGAGCAACGTTGTGGCGCAGGTATGCGAGCATGAATCACGCTCAGGAAGCTTTCTTTGATTTGCATCTGAACTGACATCTTGCAGCATGTTTCACGCCACTATAGACTGGAGATCTTAGAGCTGATCCTCAAGCAAGACATGGTTTTCTTTGACGAAGAAGAAAATGCAGCTGGAGCGCTCTCATCCCGCCTTTCCCTATATCCAAATAATCTTGTTGAGTTATTAGGCTTCAACCTTATGCTCATCCTCATCAGTTGTGTCAATGTTATCTCGAGCTCCATCTTAGCTCTCATCGTTGGGTGGAAGCTTGGTTTGGTGGTGGTATTTGGAGCCCTACCCCCGATGATAACGGCGGGATATCTTCGCATTCGATTGGAATTCAAACTAGAAGAGGCAACAAGCAAACGTTTCTCGAGTAGCGCTGCGCTTGCTTCTGAAGCTGTATCCGCTATACGCACAGTCTCCTCGCTGGTACTGGAACGATATATCATGGAGAAGTACCACGAGCGCCTTGATGGAGTTGCCGGACGGTCTGTAAAGGCTTTGATATGGACCATGTTCTGGTATGCCCTGACACAGTCTATCAATTTCTTGGCCATGGCCTTGGGATTCTGGTGAGTTCTCCATAAGTATCGTCTGGTTCCTTGCTAAATCTTCTAGGTACGGAGGCCGTCTTATCTCATACTACGAATACACGACTTCGCAATTCTTCATCATTTTCATAGGTAGGGTCTTCGATTTTCCTAACCACAGAGATAGGGTTAAAGCTAACAGTTGAATAGGAGTGATATTCGCCGGTGAGGCAGCAGCATCCTTTTTCTCATATACTACGAGCATCACGAAGGCCCAAACGGCCGCAAACTACCTGTTCTGGCTACGAAGGCTCGAACCAACAGTGAAGGAGGACCCAAGCAAACCACCGCATGGTGACAGGGATGAAAAAGAGGAGCCAACTCGCATTGAATGCCAGGAGGTCAACTTTGTTTACGCAAGCCGAGCCAATTCGAAGGTATTGGATGGCATTGATATCGATGTGCAACCCGGACAGCACATCGCCCTTGTTGGGGCATCGGGCTGTGGCAAATCCACAATGATAGCTCTTCTCGAACGTTTCTACGATCCGATATCTGGAAAAATCAATTTCAATGGGTTGTCCCTAGCCGATCTGTGTCCCCGAAAGTTCCGCTGTAGGGTTTCCCTAGTACAACAGGAGCCCGTTCTGTACCAGGGTTCCATCCGAGAAAATATAGCTATGGGTGTCGATGAAGATGTCACTGATGCGCAGATTGAAGACGCTGCCCGGCAATCGAATATCTTGGATTTCATCACCTCCTTACCCGAGGGATTCGCAACGATGTGTGGAAACAGGGGGACGCAACTCTCAGGAGGCCAGCGACAACGTATCGTCATCGCGCGGGCTTTGATTCGGCAACCGAAACTCCTTCTTCTTGACGAGGCAACATCGGCCCTGGACACGGAAAGTGAAAAGGTGGTTCAGCTGGCGCTGGCGAAAGCACGATCAGGGCGAACGACTGTCGCAGTCGCACATCGATTGAGTACAATCAAAGATGCGGATGTTATCTTGGTGTTTTCCAAGGGTCAAATCGCGGAAAAGGGTACACACTCAGAACTTTTATCCAAACGAGGCATGTACTATGAAATGAGTCTCGGCCAGAGTCTTGACAGGAGTATTCCGGCTTAGTCCAAGGGATAGACGGCATGTACTATATTTAATGTAATCATATCTTCTCTCTATTGCCAGAGTCCTTCGGACTCTGCACGTGGCAATCATTAATAAAATAAACGTGTACCTACCTATAAGTCGCTTTATGAGGAAGGATACAATTAGAACCTTGGTACTTGTTTCGACCCCTGCGTGTATGAATTACAGCTAACTTCCTGTACTTGGATCTGCTATTGATGGGTATTTATCTGAAGTGGGCAGGCAGTGGTTCGTTCTGCTCATTTCGGCACCGTCGTTGTAGGGCTTACCACGATGGCATCTCCAGAGCCGAACCGTCAGAGCTCATTCTCTTATGAATTGTCTCATCAAAATGATGTGAGGCTGGATGAGACTTTTGTGCGATTGGCTGTTACATTCTATTTATGGCTCGATACTCTATATACACAAAAGTCGCTCCCCTAACTATGCTTTGCATCCTACTTAGCCTTTCGTGGAATGTACAATGTTCCCACTTGACAAAGTACTACAGTATCTGCTTTGGCATTTTCCTGTCTCGTTAGAATCTTGCACCTAATTCACCGTCTCCTGAACATTCTCACCCCTCTTCATATAGTCAGCCAGCCATTCGTCAGAAACCCAGATTTGTTCAAAGCGATGTCGAGAGATGAGTCTCATATGCTCAGGGCATTCTGTCCAACTTTCAACACCGAACAGTTCATGCTGCTCAGCTGCCCACCGAAGGTTCTCCGCCCATCCACTGACATCTCCGGGATGTGGTTGATCGATATGGTGCAGCATCCGAAAAGGAGGGTAATCTCGCGAGCACAAGAATGCGTACGGACTGAATATGCTGGTTACGGCCGGATATCGAAATGTTCCGAAAACCATTAGAAGATTCTGGGTATCCGCAGAGTCCCATTTAACCGAGTCTGGTGCGGTCGCAAGAGTTGCAGGACGACGAACATAGTTCATGAAGTCGGGATGGGACGGTAGCACACGTCCAAACCTGTTTGCTTGTAAGCTCGTTTGCCCTGAATCGCTTGGTGATGAGATGGAGATGGCATCTTGTCCCATTGTAGTACCGATAGTACCAATAACTTCCCCAGACAAAGTTTTTGTTCGTTGCATCTGTGCGGGCAACAGCCTTGGAGTGCCCTTTGGTATTCCGGTATTGAGCAGCATAGGAGATTTATGAGGCTCTAGTTGATTCGGTGAAGCCATTGGACGTGGTGTAGTTGTGAGCGACATAGTTGCCGATGTTGACTGAGAAGCACGTTTCCTTGCGAGGTTGATGTATGTGTTTTGCTTGACCCACTTGTCCCATTTCTCAAGAATGTATCGATCTGTATGCTCCGTACTTGGCGGATGAGGCCCACCTATGTGTTCCAAGAGCTCGTCGTAGTGTGTGGGGTATTGCCAGTGCTCGTTGGGGTGTTCGACAGCGTAAGTGACCATCCTGGTAAGATCTAACGCATCGTTACCAGCAGGGTATTTCTTGACTCCATTTGCCAAGTGGGAAAATGGAATCGGGCCTGCCGGATCTCCTTTCTCTCCTATTTCGCATGGTGTCTTGAATCCGGCAACACTGAGATCTTCTTCGTTCCATGATGCAGCAATGTCTTTATGCCACAACTCGTGGATCCCACAAGTCCAACCGTCGAAGCCGGCCTTTCTCATAGTTCGGTAGAGCAACGATCCACAGATGTTGGCGCTCCATTCGTTTTTTTGCGGGAACCGATTGGTACTGATTATTCCGTGAATACCTTGCCTGGTACCGCCGTTTGAAAAGAATCGATAAACCACGTCTGCACACCTGAGACCGCCCGGGAGAAATGTTAGAATCTCAGCCGCGGTGAGATTGGCTGATGCCGGGAAGGGGAGATTCTCCAAAAGCATGATGCTATGAGTGCTGAAGATCCTCTCGATTGCATTAGGTACTTGACGAAGGATGCGCCGACTCTGCTACTGCAACAGGGTGTCGTGGAAAGAAGAAAACGAAATTGATTGGCTTTGTGTTGGCAATCAAATGCGGGTGGGCCTGGGCATTGTTTACATATTTTTGTTGTTCATTCACAATGTGACAATCTTATCCCACCTTCACTACCTCTGAAAGGTGGCAGACAGTGTTTGTGAGTAAGCATATGCTCCTTTACTTCGCCCGAATAGTAGACCGTGATTCTAGAACACTCCAGGACTCTCATTTAACTCCTCTGGAAGATGGTAGGTGGTAATTCTGCAGTAAACAGACAATGACTGCATCTTCCTTTGTGTGTTAACTTCACTGTGGTTTGGTTTGGCGGGTTTGTACCTTTTCTAGATTGTATATGAAGACCATCTTTGCACAATGCCCACACCTGCTACCACAACTTTGTTTATACACATCTATATCCGTTCACTACTAAAGCGTGACCAACCGCTTTCCAAGATGATTATTCAACAAAATCAGTTGCCTGTGAGTCTCCCAGTAAGGCCATCTGTCTCAATCAATTGATTACTAACGCATATCAAGTTTCTCCAGAGCCTGCAACATGGCTCGGGGTTCGGTAAAGGACGCCTTTGGCGAGGGCGCTCCCCCTTCCAACTTAGACTTTCCTAGAGGAAACCTCACGGCCGCTGAAATTATAGCCTACTTCCCACATTGGCTGAAGAGTGTGGATGTGATCCAACGATTTGCCAACAATGGAGCAACGGCCAAGGTTATAGCACAAATGATGAATAGGTTCCGTACTTTTGACCACCACATAAGTTACCCGGCAAATTCTATAACTATAATGATGCAACACCCCATGCGGCGACAACACCCACAGTGGACGCTTGGTAAATACATAACCTTCCTCACAGAAGCTGAGAAAAGAGCTTGGAATAACCTGAATATCGACGTGGGTGGTTTTCGAACTCCTCGCATCACTCATCCAAAGGCCGGCAATATGAACCACGCCGCAAACCACCCAGTGCCACCCATAAACTTTCGTGACCTCGCCAGACACATCAAGCAACATCCCACTGGGGACGATGCCCTTGACCTCACGCGGTGCGTACAGTATGCAATCAATAACCCAGAGCGGGAATGGCTGTTCCCAAGAGACTTTCAACGACTCGTCAACCGCATCGGCGGGCCCAAGCAAGTGTCAAATGGTAATCTCGACCGTGCTGTATTCACACGTTACGCAAATGGAGGCCGTATAGGGCATCCCATACAAGTAGGACCGCCCCCTCCTCCTCCTCCTCCTCCTCATCCTCCTACTATTAATCCTCCAATTCAGCCTTCTCCTCATCCTGTTCTTCCTGCCGCTCCTGCTGCTGGCTCAAAGCGGAAGCGTCCATCATGGGAATCTCAATCCGAGGCATCTGCATCATCCAAGCGTCCCCGTATAGATAACCCATCGGAAGAATCGGAAGAAAATGTGCAAGAAGACATAGAAGAAGCTACGGAACAAACTACAGAACCAAACATAGAGGAGGCTGTAGAAAATGTAATAGGGGAATTCGTACGCAGATCCGTGGATGACGCCGTGGAAAAAAATCACGATAATCCTGAAAGTAACGAAGATGAAGTCGAAAGCGCTGACACAGATGAACTGGATTCGTATACTCACCCAGGGTTACATGCGCCAGCGACCTTTTCAAGTACTGGCTACAGTCAGAGTACTGGTTTTGTAGGACATATTGACAAACGGCATAAGAGGCCCAGACCCGTCGAGGAAAGTGACGGTGATGATAGCACTATTCCACCGAAACGCCCCCGTCTGTTGGCTCAAGAACACACGACGGACATTCATTTGCCAGCAACAGATGGCCTCTCACATGACGGTTCTGGAATGTCCCAATACGGGTACATGGGCAACGAACATGGAAACTTCAGTTTCTGTCCCTACTCTCTGACTTCTGTTACCCCAGATCCCGCTGGAAGCACTCCAGGATATTTCGATAATATCCAGAACACAACTCCGACACCAGTGTTTCCGGAGACGGTCACCCCAGCCCCTGATCCTATATCCCAACCGGTGCAAGAAAGCCAGACCGAAGGAAACAAAGAGAAACCACCGCCGTATCTTGAACCATTACCACTGCCAGAATTTAGACCCATCATACATTTCTATAATGTGCACGAGTATGCGGCAGACGGTGCTGTCGACCAATGGGATTCCGCATACGATTTCTATCGCAGGACCGCGTATGGGATTGCCTTACCAAGGCTGGAAGCGCCACACCGCGAGCTGCATCGACTGAGCGTACCGAACGACGGAGACATAGGCGAATTTGCGGAAAGTGTCCGTTGGGCGAGGCAACAATGGGACTGGTACGGATCGGTCTGGCTCGAGAATCCATTCTCGCTGGCTTTTATATATGAGCACCGTAAAATGACCTTATGGCACAGCGATGTCCTCGATAAGCTTTTATGAGACGATGATCAAGATGAGTCTGTATGAAAGTTATATAACCTATGACGAATATTTTTAGTAATCAGTGGTGGCGGGAAAACGACTGGCACCGACTGGTCTCGGTGTAAACGAAAACCGTATATTATACCCACTGGGGAAGGATGCAGGGGGATCATCTTGATAGTTTTGCACGATCTTGTAATTTCGTACGATTTGATATTTTCGCAAGGCGAGAAAAGGTTCAATAGCGAGGAGCGGAATCCCCATCGATGAAAGATGCGAGGATGACTTGTCGTTTTTGCGTAGCGCCGAGAACAGGGTTGACTTGGTTAAGTCGGGTAACGATTCAACGAGACTCACATGGACGGCAAGTATGTGGAATATTTGATATTGTGTTGTAACAAAAGCTTCCAACGTGAACAGAGTGATACCTCGTAAGTACACAGCATCCTTATTGGACCTGATGGTAAGGGAAAGAGTGACGAGGTGGTGGCTAATGCATGTGCATGCATGTGCCGATGAGGTGCCGTCGACTGTTCGGCTCGCATGCTGTGTTTGCTAGGGATTAACATTGTTTTTACTTCTTTTGCCATGTAGCTTGATTCTATTGGAGTAGGTTTGGAACGGGGTTTTGACACATGGTTTGGTCCATGTCAAGGACTAAAGCTTCGTCGAACCTTGCTGTGATTAAAGTTAGCTACATAACCTGACGGCGGAGTACTAACACTGACCTTTGACAATGGTGCCGTCCTGGCCCGAATCTACCATGGTCTCGTTTAGCCCACATACTTGTACAAGGCCTGGAACTTCATATAGTTTCGAACCGAGAGTCACTCTAGTAAATACGACATTGCAGATGCTGCTCTCAGCGACTTGGGTGAGGGTCATTCATAACTACAATGTAGATGAATAATGTGTACTTTGTGTCGCAAGGGGAGATGCGCACAACTGCGCTGTGTAGGTAATGCTCCTGTCCCTGAGACCCTGAACTTGTACGCGCGACATTATGGAGATACCGTCTGCGAACCGCCGTTACAGGCTGTGCGCCACTCTCAACCCTTACTCCCAGACATGAACTGTGCCTGGGATCAACCCTCGTGGCAAAGCGTTATGAAACGTGCTTCTTCCTCCCCATGTTTGCAGCCACGACGATCCTCCCGAGTCATGCTAGTGTTCAATCAAGGTTTACGTGGTGAAGACTAGCGCCATGAGTCTACACCCCGATTCGCTCATCTTCACACACTTGCAAGAGTTTGTGCATAGTTCTAGAGTCTCTTTCTTGGGGAGTTTCTTGGGGAAAGTATAGATAGCAGATAAAGTTTACAATATTCACCTGAAGATCAGCCGAACACCATGTTTATTCCCGTCATGGTTCATGCGTGATCAACTTATAAGACAAAGACCGCCCTGGTTCGGCCCCTCCCACGACATTGGCGCTCGACAATGGGCGTTTATACGTTCTTTCAGGCATTCTTGTGCCTGCTCTTTTTGTTGCAGGCAACAGCACATAATTTCACACTCGACAGCCGGGCACTGTCCATTGGAGATGTACCGAAATGCGGCGTTCGTTGTCCACTCCATGTGTACATACCTTGAAACAGCTAACATATGTACAGTTGCAGTGTCTTATTCAGCTCGTCCCAGCCAGCGGTTGTCCCCTTGATGATTACGAATGCCAGTGTCGAAACGAAGATCTCGCAAAGGGTGTCTCATCATGTTTACTTCAGAAATGTACAATGTCAGACATCTTAGGTAAAGTGAACTCCACCTGCACAGGGTTTACCATGTTTTAACGATCATGGGATGCAGATACTGCCAGAGTTCAAGCGGTCATGTGCAATCTTTCCACTGAGGATAAATCTCATGACGTAATGCTGTATATATCTCTCAACTATGCCGTTGCGTTTACCTTCGTGACAATGCGCTTTGTTGGAAAACTCTTGTCCAAACGCATCACGCCTGATGATTGGATTATCGTAGGGGCAATGTTGCTTGCAGCTCTGCCCTCTGGTTGCATAATCACGAGTGAGTTTACTGTTTGCGCAGTCACGTTGCCGATAAAGGCTGACTCCAGCAACAGTGACAAAAATTGGATTTGGGAAGCATCTCTGGAATCTGGAACACGGCCAACTGAAAGAATGCCTTCGACTTTTCTATGTTGCATGGTCAAGCTACATCCTCGTTCTTGGACTCATCAAGGTTTCCCTCATCATGTTTTACGTCCAGATCTTCCAGTATCCAAAGTTTCGCGTCATCGCTTATACGATATTGGTGTATATCGTGCTATCCACGTTGGTGATTTTCCTTGCGACAATCTTTACGTGCACACCAATCCCATCTTTCTGGAACCGCGATATCAATGGGAAATGTCTCGACATAAACGCCTTGGCTTATGCAAATAGCGCCAATGCTATTGCGCATGATGTTATCTTGTTGATCCTTCCCTTGGTGTGTATTCGTAAGCTCAACATGGCCCGGTATCGCAAAATTGCCGTGGGTGCCATGTTCTGCATTGGAACTTTGTACGTCATTGGAATTTCTTTCAGCCGACAACAACTAACGTCTGGCAGTGGTTGCATTACTACTATCGTACGCCTACACTCTCTCTTGACATTCAAGATTGGCATGGACCCAACGTGGGATTACGTTCCCGTAACCATCTGGACTGGACTGGAACTTGGTAGCGGCTTCGTCTGCGTCAGTCTGCCCTCCATACGCATTCTTCTTAAGATGATCCTCCCAAAGAGGTGCCTGAACTTCTTCACGTCTATCAAGAGCAACTCCAGTCGAGATCGTAGCATCCCAACACCTATGCATCACCGGGAAGGAAGCAGGGGCAAGAAAGCAAGAGAAACGTGGTACAATCTATCGGTCCAGGGGGGAACTGATGATGGGTCAAATGAAGAAGGTCTCGTTGAGAATCCTTCTCAGAAGGAATATAGAAGAGACGGTATTTGGAATATTGCAGAGCGATGGCCGACAGAAATAAGTACGGTGCATCTTACGAGAACGAGTGTTACATCGCATGTTTCTGGGGATTGCGAAAGCCTCAGAGAGGAGGAGTGTGAAAGGCAAGAAGCCAAGCCCTCAAATTATCGACATTTATGTCTGAGCTGTGGAAGTCAAAGTGACTTGATCACGGCCCTACCAAGGATAGGTTGCTTACCAGATCAAAGTTTTAGTCGTGATGACCCACATCACCCTCATAGAAATTCCTATGACCAAGCGTAAAATATGTATCACCACGAATTATTGAATAGTAATAGTAAATTTAATGTTAGTATTTAATCTTGTATGAAAGTTTGTCAGCGTGCTCCTTTCTGTTCTTGTTTCTACAGTATTGCTAACGCATTGGGCGGACTACCAACACCGCCAGGTACATTCCCAGGTGAGCTGGTAAGCAGGAAATGCCAACGTCCTAGCTCTTTACATGCCGTAGCAAGCTCTTCCAAATGCCACAATTCACCAATTGGCATGCCCCAGAGAGGAAGCAAAGTAGCGTGGAGACTCTTCTCTAGACTTGGCGACGGCCACGCCTCGAAGTTGGCCGAATCGGTCGCCGCGGCTGCGAAATAGTTGTCGTGCAAGAAATCCTTCATATCTTCTGAGGCCTGCAGTCCTGAGTAACTCTGTTCGAATGCATCCATTGCTGCCCGCTTCTCTCTTTCAACAGCGTTCAAGGATGCGTATCGGCTCAACCAGCCTGTTCGAACGAGCAGAATATCACCAGTTTCGAAGTTTACACCCTGTGACCTGGCACATTCACTTAAGTCGGAAGCGGTGATCGGATGATCGGTAAATGGGTCATAGGACTCCTTTTTCCAGCCATAAACATCTAGGAGGACGCCACGACCGACGATGCCTCTTTTCGCCCAAGCATCGATTCCAAGTCGGGTTGTCAAGGAGAGGTCATCGCCTTCTTCTCGGGAGAGATCGTCAGTTTTGAGCCCGTTGTAAAAGAAACCACTCTTTGGATCAGCGAAATGGCGAAAACCGTCCCATTGGCTGCTTGATTGCGTATTGTATGTCAATTGGTCGTCGTTGAAAGCTCCTGGTCCAAGTTTGTGAATCTGGTGATGAAGACCTTTTCTTCCAAAAAGGGCTGGATCGGGTATGTTCAATGGAAGGTTCAAAGATACAACATGCCCTGTTGTCACGGAATTGGTAGCCTTGCGGATACGCTCTGCGGTAAGGAGGTTCAGTCGACCGAGCTGCTACAAGAAAGCTTTTCTCCATGCAAATGCATACAACAAATTACATGTCGTACCTCATCTGAGCCTCCCCAGAACCACTCAGAGTCTTCTGGTGTACCAGCTATGTGGGGCAAATCTGCTCTTCTTGGGAAGGTGGACGCTTCTCCATGAGGATCTAAACGCATATCTTTTGATGTATTGTTTAATGGCTTAATCGATCGTGAAAACGGTACGTTGTGTCACCTAGGATAATAATGTATCAAATTTACCGGTTACAGCACCGTTGGATTTGGTATGTGCTGTAATACCTTCGATGAGGTCGTCATTATTTCATAGCTGTTGTTATCGATAAAAGTATTCGTATTTCATCACACCACCACCCGTACTAACAACTACCTACAACATGCTGAGTTATACTGTACGTACAGCATGTACCCCGCCGGATCAATTTTGCTATGCCCCCCAAACAAAGCGACAGCTCGTCATCCATCAACCGCACTGTTTCGCTATCATTTCACCTGTCTATCAGACGATTATGCCCGTTACCTATGAACCCAAGGTCCGTCAGATTAAGTGCTTCTAATAATGCCATTTCAATACACGGATGGGGAACTGAGTCTAACCAACTGAGACCCACGCAATGCTCGATAACATATTTACGCCTCGATAGTAATCAGTAGTGATCGCCGAGTGATCGACAATGAATCAGTTTAGAATTCATCTACTCGTAGCACCTTATCAGGCCCAAGGAATGAGTTTGGGACGTCTGCTAGCATATTGGTGTCCGAGTCGTAAGGGCAAGACGGTAGTTTTAGACCGAGACTAAACCGATACTAGCAAGAAACGGCTGGATGGCTTCAAGCTGACTACGTTCGGTGACGCATAGGAATACGAGAAAGAGAGATGATCCTCAAAAGCAAAGAGCGTTGTCAGTCGGGGCGAACTTCTGTCAATGTTTCTCCGGAGACACATTTACGAGGATGTTGGACTTTCTGTAGTGACGTGGGTACCGCAGCCTGTCGTGAGCTTGCTATATTCAAAGCCTCTAGGGAACGTGGTCGGAACGTAGGTGACTTAGGAGATGACAACTCCAGAGATTTGCTCAAGTTTTGTTCAGCCTCCACTGAGCCGAATGTAAGCCAATGTATGACAATGGCATCCCAGGTAACTAGATGTAGCCATCAGTAAACAATTCTAGACTGCCTCAGTTGACGACTGGGCCCACTTACCGTCAAGGACACAAATGCCGAGACATATCAAGGCAAGCTCCCGTCCCTTGGTAATATAGAACTGAATCATGTTGGCAATGGTCGGCAGCATGATCAATATGCTTCCCGCAACGCTCTTCCATAGTAACGCCCTGATGTTTTTCTGGACTGCAGTCTCTTGTTGTCCGGCAACACTGACGATTCTCTCTCTATTGGCTGCAAATACCCCGTCCAAGGTAGCTATCCCATGGAAGCTGACCAACGGTCGGAGTAAGTAGAAGAACACGCCTGTCAGTGCCACATCAACCGCAATGTCGACCACCATGAATGGAATGGAAACCTTTCCCGGGATTCCCATATAACACCTGTTGTCTCCTCGCATTTCAATGATTGGGTGGAGGTATGCGTTGATGGAGACGCCAACAAATGAGGCGATAACCATCGCCATGCATCCCCAGTAGAGCCAGTCGCGTCTTCGCTGTACAAATGGGGCACGAACGACATGAACCCTCTCCACGAGGAAGATATATCTGCCGATATTAGCAACTGACTCGGATAGAGAAGCGAGCGGCAGCAGCATACATAACACCTTTGCTCGCGGTATAGAATATCAAGCAAACCCAGGTTGCAGCAAAGCACAGATTGTAATGTTCGAGACCTTGACCTGATAGCAATACCGTAGACGATATTAGGAACAGGATTACAAGACCATACAATAACAGGACGAGCATCGACGTTAGGTTCCGTTTCATCAAGGCATTCCGCCTCAATTTTGTGAACCGGGATCCTTCATACTGTCAGTCAGTCGCAAAGCGTGCGAGTCTTGCCACGAGTGGGGTCGCATACCTAGAAGGAAAGAGAGCACCATCATGCAAATTAATGATAGTACAGTGACTATCGTACGATCCCTCGGTGGTTCTCCTGTGGAAGTGTCCGTCTGGGTGTTTCGGCGGTCCAGTGCCGCGCCATAGCGGCGCTGCACGCCCCCGTCGGCAATGAATGGTAAGGCATCTACGGCAACGAGCCGAGTCAACCACAGCCAGACCATTTGCTTCATCCCCCTACCCTTCTGGTTGAAGATGTTGAAGAATCGACGCGTGGGCGAGGTGAGGGAAGAAGAAGATCAAGTGGCGCCGAAGGACGTGCAAGCTGCATTACATACATTGTGTGTTGTGGCTTCCAGCCCTTTGCCAAGGGAAAAGTTGATTTTTCCTAAACATAACTCGATTCTCGCTGAGGACTTGGACATGTCCTCGGACTCATTGGATCCGATTTCAGAGTTGTTCATGGGCAAGCGGGCTAGCGTCCGATTGGTGTTGTTGGCTTGTGTTATTCGACCGTCTCTGTAGATCTGGCGCCGGCCGAAAGTCAATTATCGGTGGCTTGAGGCTGGATCTACGACTAGCATTTGCGCCATACAAAAGTAATATGTACGTGACTCCCTTCTTTGGGTCTCTGAGTGGTGTTTCCTACGAAAGTCCAGAATATCAAGCCACTGAGAGGAAAACCCCAGGCTTTATTTAACAATGTACATTTCGAGGCTGGCTGGCATGGTCCCAATCTAGAGGGGCCAGTGTTGGAAATACCTGCATAGTAGCGTAACTTTATCGTGAACCAAGCACCACACTAGCCCTCAAACACGATCCACTGCGGGCAGTGTCGTTATGATGGACTTGATGAAGGATTAGAGTTTAAACTTGCGTCTTTCACACAGTGAATGTGGCCCCGAAAGTGCGTGCTACGAATGAAATACAGATTCGAAATTATGCTGAACAAGTTTCCTTTTGCGATTGGACGTATCGTTACTCCGTACAATAAATAGTAATAACGAGCCATCGTAACGATTTCAATGCACTTCTAATATCCTAATAACCCACACAATATGGATCCTCGAATTCTTGTTATTGTCACCGCAATCATGCATTTCCTATATGGGAAATATCAAGTTTGTGTTGCAAAGAAAACAAACGCGATTAATATATTGGTGGCGCATACAGCCCCAGCCATCACAGCAACTTCAGCCTATCAAGAATAGAATACGTCTAGTATTTTCACACCCGAATCAAATGACCACCACTTGAATATCATTCTGATAGAATGATCTGTTCAATGTTTACCACAATCGACAAAAGGTTGCGAGATCTGATGAGTCGCTGCATATTTGTTCCTTGTGGATGTTCTCGCAGATCAGACATGGCATTGATGAAGAGGAAACAGCAGTGACCTGCATGTCGTTGACAAGACACCAAGAATTATCATTCATAGCAAATACTTGGAATCAATTCTTATTCCATACCAAGGGATATATACTAATGCAAATCTTTACAAGTCTTTACCGACCCAATAAAGAATGTACAATTTTAGTCTGCGGGCGTCGAGGTATTGACGATTTTATCAGCTATGGTCCTGGTAATCTGATGCAGAGTTGCTCTGGGGAAATGAACGTCTTAGAAATGTATATATTCTTGCGAACTGTTGCGCTTCTCAATCAGAATGCCACACGCCTCCATCGCCGCCACTGCCGCCCTCTTCGTTCTGACTGCAAGAAAATCAATCGCACTGTCAAGCACAAGTTCGGGAGCGAGGAATAAACTTACTCCTGCTCCCTAGAATTGTTATCACTACTCTCACCCTTCTTTTCGTGTGCCTCGCCGTCACCGAAACCACTCCTGGCCAAAGTCTCGCTGCCCCATCCTCCTCCCACCTTGTCTTTCATCTCAAGCAGCAGTTCTTTGAGCTCTCCAACCTCCTCCTTGAGCTTCCTGATCTCAAGCACAGCAGTGTCGACCTCAACGTTCGGTTTGGTGGCCTGCACCTTTTTGTCCCAACCATCGGCCTCGAAGTCGCATTCATGGAGTATGTGTTCCCATTCATGCACACGATCATCATCCTCTTCCCCGCGTCGACGGTTGTATGAAACGCGATGGGCATCACGAGTCTCGAGTAGAGCGGTGAAGACGAGGAGAGGTGAATAAATGACGCCCATCACAATGTCGTTGAGGCGTTCGTATTTGGGCTTCGGCAACCACCATTCGAATGGAAGGATAAGGAGGAACATCTCGATCAAGTTGAAAGGTGCAATGAACACATTCTCGTCCGGTGCACGGACAAACTGCATCGTCTTTTGTGAGAAGAAGGCCAGGTATTCGTCAATGGCATTTCCTGTAATGTCTTCATAGGCGCTATTGTAAAGCGCAATGAGAATATTGAGCAGGATAACCATCACGACGAAGGTAAAGATGTAGTAAAGAACAAGCCCAAAGGGAGGCTACATGGTGAATTAGCGATCAGCTATTTGGATGCTTGGAATGCCTGAGGCGAATAAAACACTTACAGCAAATTTATCAAACCCATCGAATTCAGGAGACTGCATGATCGCTTTCAGCATGGCTTCAACGACGAAACCAACATCCTGAAGCTTTGAATCTGTAAGATCCATCCCAACGAAAGCTTGCAAGAATCCGACCAAGACCACTAGCAATAGTGCGAAGAAGATCAGAGATTCTCTCATCATTACTTTAAGCACAACCAGCATGGCGCCGAAGAACCGGAAAGTGTCGAGATAGAGTAGCAGGCGCATCCAAAACATCGGTGCCGTGAATGCGAGAAAGTTATAGCTGAGTTCGTTGAAATGACCACGTTCTGGCGTATCAAGAGAGTGACCCAATGCGACCATTCTGAGGACGAAGCTGACCAAGAGCAGGGCATAAAGAGTACAGTTGAAGACATTCCAGAATCCGATGTAATACCGGCCTACCTTCCAGAATTTGGATATTTCGTCACAGACGAAACCCAGTGTAAAGACATAGAGTAAGCCCTCAACTATATCCAGATCACCAGAGGGATTGATGGTGTTTATCGCGCCCGTGTAGAGTGCGAGGTAGATCAAGGTCATGGCAACCTGAACAGTGTTCTGATACTGCGGGACACGCATACGGTCAGGATCGAGATGCGACCAGAAATCGGTATTCGTCTTGTTCTCATAGTCAACGAACCGGCTCGGATCCTCGTCGTCCTGGACCAGCCAACCTCGCCACAAGTAGCTGATACATTTCTGATAGCCAGATGATCCTATGACGGTCAAGGCATGAAGATCTACAGCTCTCTCAATCGCGTTCGCCGGAACGGTCGGTTCGTCGTTAATGAGAATGGAGTACCGCTTCAAGAGCACCTCACCAAGTAGATAGTCCAGGTTGTCTTCGCTTTCTATTATGCGCTTCGCCATTATCTCCGCTGCCACGGCTCGGACATCGTGCAAATCAGCATCCCAGAGCTCGACGAGAGCCTGTTGCTTGAACCACTTCTTCACCACCAACAGACAATATACAACACAGCTGCCGTTGTGCTCTCCTCCCGCTTGTCTCGCGGTTTCAACCACAGCATTCGTGATGATAGAACTATGGGGTTTGGACACAGCTTCTTCCTCTAATTCGCAGGGAATGACCTGCTCGATTTGGTGTTTAAGGCGCAACGCGATCTTGGTCACCTCTTTAGGGTCTATGGGTGAGGGTGGCTGGCGTTCGTGACGGTTCGCAGTTGGAAGCACTGTATGGTCAGAGAAAAGCTACTTGGAGAGCACGACCGCATTGCAAGCTTACAATTACGCATCTCATCCTGTAGTCTATGCCGCCTGTCGTGGCCATCCGTGTTGAGGATCTGATTCCATCGCACCATTGCGACAATGGGGGAGCCGAGGTGAGCTCCGGAGGCACAGTGTACAAAGAGAGCTTCGTAAGATAGTGTTTCTGGCGGTTAATGGACACGACTCGACCTTCCAAAGCTCAATGACCATATAGAGCGATCCAAGCTACGGATTGAAGCTTTGCACACACCCAGGTGGAGGAGGGTACTGAGGGGAAGCTGTGTGCAAGAGAGAGCAGATGTTGGTCATGGAGCTATTAAAGTTGGCGGGTGCACTTGGAGCGGAGCGGAGTTGGCGATTGGTGGTTGGTCAGTTGGATTGTGCTGTGCCCTGCCCTTGCGCTGCCCTGCCCATCATCGTCATCGTCATTCCCCTTCAAGTTCCACCCACCGATCCCGCCCGCTAAGGTCGCTGGCTCACCAAAGCTCCTGCGCATAGACAAGATGCGTCTTCCACGCCGCGCAGGATCTACAACCTTTCAATGGCTTGCTATTTAGACGAAAGACGTATGGCCCGTGCAATCTATTGACGTCGCCGCGAATATCGGGGACTGCCTTCGTGAAATCGCGATTGAACTTAAGAATGGACAGACAATTGTCCCGAAACCTGCTACTCGAAAGTGCAAAGGTAGGATTATACTCTGTACACATCTGGCTGATAGCTGGCTCCTAGACGCAGACAATGCATCCTAAGGCCACTTCAGTCCTCACATAATTGGAAGCGTAGTATATCAAAACATGCAATTACCATCTATTGGGTACTATACATGCTTGGACAATCGCCCAGATTCCAGATCCTGAACTCCGGATGCCTGCTTTTTCAAGGTCTTTTTCATCACTTCGTCACTTCAAGCGTCCGCCTCAACGACACCGCCCTCATCGCTCGTGCTCTCATCCTCGTCTCCGCTGACCTCCTGGTTCTCGCGCTCCCTCTTCTCCATGAGCGCAGCAAGCTCAGCGTCATCATTCTCGGTGACGGCCTTGGGCGCCATCTTGACCACGCAGCTTCCGCCGGCGGATGTGATGCTCTCCTCAATGTCCTTGATAGCCTCCTCCAGAGTAGCGATACCCGCGTTCTTATCGAGACACTGTGATGTAAGGACTATGACAATTAGTTAGTGTTGATCACAACGGCACAAGTTGAAGGGGCATAGCCATACCATAAAGTGGTGGCGACACAAGCTTGACCTTGATCTGGTTGTCTGCAGTGTTCTTTGCCTCTGCCTTGCGCAGTGCCGTCTTCACGGCATCGATGCCCTCGTATCCAAAGCAAGTAACCTCGATATCGGAGCGGACCTTTGTTGGCTGCGGTGTCAACCTCTTGCTGATGTAGCCCTGCAATTCCTCCTTGACAACGTCGTTGGGGAATGTGACATCGTTCCAGACCTCGGGGTTTGTGATCGAAAGCTTGAATGCATCGATGGAATGGCCGTACTTCTTGTTGAGCGGCCAGCCAATGGTCTGGTAGAGTTCCTCGATAGGGGTGTTGGTCTTCTCGGCGACGTGGCGCATGATCGAGTGTACCATCTTGGACTTGTTGTAGCGCTCCTCGCACTTGACGATGTCCTCCGGCGACACACGTCGCTTCGACAGATCGATGTAGCCCTTGTCCTTGTCCACCCTCAACACGACCACAACCTCGTTTCGTCCAACTCGGATGAGCTTCTGGATACTCCTGATACGTCGTCGCGAAAGTTCGGAGAGAAGAATCATACCGTCGATGTTGTCTAGAGCCGTTAGTATGAAGGATTTCGATGTCGAGCGAAATTTACACACCGTATTCGAGGAGCTTCACGTATGCGCCCATCTCAGCAATTTGCTTAACGTTGACCATCACGAAGCTCTCCACCTCCGGATACTTCTCCTCGTAAAACCGACAATTTGTGAGAGACATTTTGGCTACTCCTTCTCTTCAATTTCCTGGTTATTGTAATTTCTCGATCGCTCGCACGGCGGGGTGGGGTGTCGGATCGCTAGAACTGCGTATTCTTCCTGCGTATTATCGGTGTCCTCGGTTACTGTGGACGGTTGGAACAATTTCGATCGAGTTCGTCGAATTAGGGTTACGGCAGTCGGGTACGCGTGCGTTACGGTGGTAGTTTGAATCTGCGACTGTGTGGCTTCTTTCATCTGACTCAAAGATTTGTGTGAAGCGCGGGGCGGGCGAAAATGCCAAGACCGATATTCCGCTAAGCCTATTTAGGGCTCACACGCGACGTTTCAAACATGGTATTCATATTGTCTCTCCATATATTACAGTGAAACTCAACCTTCATTCTCAGGGATTCAGTAATGGTATGAAAATTGGTACAATCGATCATCCATGGGGCATTTTGGCTGATGATGATGAAACAGTGGGTAATCTTCCTTCAAAGCGACATATGAGCGCTACAATTTCACCACCACAGGAACAGTGAGATGCTTCTAGTAGGCATTGAGAATGTATAAAAAACCCAAACCTTAGTAACATTATTGATTTTCCTCCTTTATAACTCAAAGAGACTGTATTCATACTCTTATCAAAACGCCCTGGTTAAAGCTCGCTGCCACGTTTACAATTTTTATTCCCTTTAAAGCGATAGCGTCTCTATGCCAGAAAAACTTCCATACCTTTAACACAATGGCTCTGAATTATCGTTGAACTAGATAAGCATGAAAGAGATCGTTATCTTCATACTCGAAAACTAAAACTTCCATGTAGTAAAACTCAAATCTACGCAAAGATTTAAAAATTTGAAGTAATAGCACCAAAACATCAATCTGATACAGAAAAGAGAAACTGACTCAGATTTCCTCAGTGCATCCAAATATCCACGTTCTTTCCCTGTTTTTGGAATCGGTAATTCATGTATCACACCTGTCACCGAGGTATCTCTGATCGAGTCGAGATTTCCAAACTGCTGGGACCGACCTGCTATCTGGTTCGTGTGACCCATCTTCCATGTCTCCGATCTCCCATCGAATCCCCAACCACCTTCTCGGAAACAAGACAGGACCCGGGACATTCTAGACCTTGCCTTCCCTGTCAGTGTTAAGATTAGATAGGTTCAACGATTTCATCGTCGAGTGTCGGCTAAATATTTGCAGTAATGGGGCGTCTTTAGATAATACTCATGTTATCTAACTTGTAAGATGAGCAATAGCTGAATTCATTCTCAAGCATGTAAACTCTCACAGTGCCGCTCAAATCAACAAGTAATTAATATTTCATTAGTCTCGCCCGAACAACGCAATCATCAATCTGTAAATATTCTTCTTCGCTAATTGCGACTCTCCCTCCCCCTTCTTGCCCCCCCCATTCTACCTCAGTTGTAACCTTGAACCGTGTGAAGTCCACTCCCCCACTAACTCCCGCGATCAAACCCTCTCAACCTCATTCTTCTCCTTCGCCAGGTACACCTCCTCAGCAGGATGAGCACTATTAAGAATAGCCGTGAGCCCAATCTCATTATTAATCTCATTCATGCGGTCCGTATCCGCCTGGGCAGCGCCCTCCGAGCCGAAAATGACGTCCATCTCCTCGAGCGACACACGCTTTGTCTCGGGAACGAAGAACCAGATAAAGCCGGCGCCGATGAACGTGAGGAGCCCGAAGAGGATGTAGGTGCCGTAGGTGATGCTCTCGAGGAGCTCAGGGGTGACTTGGCCGACGATGAAGTTGTTCATCCAGTTCGACGAGGCGCCGAGGGCGACGCCGTATGGGCGCGTGGAGAGGGGCCAGATTTCGGCGATGATGATCCAGGCGGCGGGGCCCCAGGAGTATCTGTTTTGGAAGTGTTAGCTGGTGCTGTGTTGGTGTTGTGAATACTTGTGATGATGTCTTACCCGAAGTGGATGACGAAGAGCCAAACCATGGCGACGGCAGCCCAACCTGCACCGGGGTTCTCATGGAATCGATCGATGTTCAAGGCGAGAATGATGGCAATGATGATGTGGCAGGTTCCCATGCCAATTGCGCCGATGGTCAGGACGGGCTTGCGGCCGACTCTGTCAATCCAGAGAACGGCTGGGATTGTGAAGATGAACATGACGATACCAACGACACCAGTAGCTAGGAGAGAAATCGTATTCGAGGAAAGTCCCAGCTGGTTAAAGATCTGTGGCGCGTAGTAGAGAACCGCATTGATACCCGTCCATTGCTGGAAGAACATAGTGACCGTAGCCACAATGACACGTCTAAACATAGCCTTAGTCTTGAAAAGAGCGGCAATTGCGACGAATTGCAACTTGAATGTGTTCCAAGCCGTTTGCTCGCTCAGATGGGGGAAATGTTCGGCGACGCTGCGTTTCTCGAATAGGGATTGGGCTTTGATCTCGAGAAACTCAAGCTGAATGAGCTCGTGGTCCGGGGGAAGGCTTCGCAAGTTCGAGAGCACTGCACGCGCATCCTCTTCACGCCCATGATGAACGAGCCAACGTGGAGAGAAAGGCATCCAAATCATACCGACGAACAAGCATGTAGCGGGTACAAGTTGCAGGCAAATGGGGACGAGCCAGGCTGCGTTCGACTGCGTTTCGAGAGTCGTTCCGCCAATGTAGTTTGTGCCGCTGGAAGTTGTTAGATAAAAAGCCCACGAGACTCGTATTTGGACGTACTAATTGATCCAAAAGCTGACCATGATACCGAAGGTAATAGCAAGCTGTTGCAAGGCAACAAGGGCTCCACGAACTTCCCTGAAATATTTGTTAGCGAAGTAGTCAGGTGCACAACAAGACTGTGACTTACGGAGGAGCACATTCGGAATTGTAGAGAGGAACAATCATGGAAAGACTTCCTACTCCCATACCCCTGTGTGAAGTTAGCCTATCTCCCCATTGAATGTCGTCGAAACGGTTACGAACGTGATGAATCGTCCTGCGAGAATCTCATTGTGACCACCAGCAATTGACGTAGTCTGGACCACAACACCAATAATGAACACTCCCGTCGCAATCAAGACACCGTATTTACGAGAGCACACTTCGGCAATGAAGCCCGAGAGGATGGCACCAAGCCATGCGCCTAATTCGAGAATGGAAGTCAACCTGTAATTTTGTCAGCTATTTTCCATACCGCATGGCCTTGAGACAAAAAACGTACCATCCCTTCTGCGTTGGGTTATCAATGTATCCATCCGTCTCTGTTCGCCATCTTAGCATCACAAACAATAATCAATGCTCGAAAACGCATCTTCACAACTTACGTTTCCCAAAGGCAGGCATGGCCAGAATGCCCGAAAACATGCCCTGATTATATCCATAGAGGACACCGCCAATGCAAGCAAACGCAGCAATTCGTGCAACCTTCCAATTCTTGACGAGGGCTCGGGCACCGCTATCGCCCATAAGCGCCTGGCGCCTTTGCAATGCCTCATTGAAGGCGGCCGGACCGCCAGCACCACCGCCCATGATGGATGATGATTACTGATCGAACGAGATAACTTTTCTTGGAGCGAAGGGAGGAGGAGACCAGAGTTCGCGATTTCGGCGTTGAGAAGAACTTTAGCTACATGTTTACAAGAAAAACAATAGACCTTTTGTACAATTGCATGTGCCAATACACAGGCTGAATCATGGGAACTAATATCGCATTTTACCCAAAGCCCCGGCAGTTGGCCGCTGACACGCAGCAGCGCAGCCTATTACCCGCAACGTTACCTCGTAGGATCTTTTAGGCCCTTGGAGGGGGAGGGGGGAAACAATCGACATGGGGAAACAGGACTGATGGTCGGCCCATGGGGTTAGTATGGGGTTCGTAAATGTGGATGCAACGATGCGTCGGCACACACCGTCCGGGTGTCTGTCCTGCGGGCGCATTGCTGGGCGATGTCTTTGCCTCAACGGCGCTCCCGTTGCATCGAGTTAGCATCGAGCATTTTAATTGGTGGCAATTGCTTGTGAATGCTTGTTCGCACACCACAATCACGTGATGCAACGTCTTTCCCCATCGCTCGCGCAAGGGTGTGCGTCGATCAACGACAGAACAGCTCTTGAGCGACCTCACTTTAGGCTAAAAGGAAGTCCATCGTCATTGGTCGAATGCTCGATTTTCCGGGGTAGCTTTTGATATTCCGTGAATCCGATGAAATCCGATTCCATGGAAAAGGATATGCTGGAGAGGATGTTGACGGGCACTGGGAATTGCCTCGCCAAGTACTTAGTATCGACGCCGTCCATTCCTTTTGCTGTCATATGCCCTCGTAGCTTGACATTTACAGTTCGATCTAGGTAAAAGTGGACGGGCGATGGTAGAACATCGTATCGCGCAAACATGCATCATCCGCACGCACTACGGTATTTAAGGTTCACCGTTTTCGATGAGGATGGAGACATTGCCAAATCAAATCATTTCCAACAAGGGAGAAGACAATGATGAAGCTCATCTGGCTGGGTGCCTCTATCATCGCACCGGCTGTTGTCCAGGCGGAGCAGTCCTCCTACCACAATCCAATCCTTCCCGGATTCCACCCAGACCCATCCTGCATCTTCGTACCGGAGTACAACGAAACCTTCTTCTGCACGTCTTCGACCTTCAGCTGGTTCCCGGGCCTACCCGTCTACGCCAGTCGGGACCTCGTGCACTGGAAGCATGTATCCAACGCGCTGAGCCGGCCAGACCAACTTCCATACCTTGGCTACCTGAACCGCGGACAGAGCGGGATCTACGCGCCGACGATTCGGTACAGAGATGGCGTCTTCACGATCATGACGACGTTGGCGAACCAGGCGCTTCCAAGGGAGAACCTTACTCGCTGGGACAACATCATCTTCAACACTCGGGACCCGTACGGCGAGTGGGACGACCCGATTCACTACTACGGCCCGGGTATTGACCCCACGCCGTTCTGGGACGACGATGGCGTCGCTTGGGTTACCAGCACCTTCAACTCGTCTGGTGTCGTTCAGGCCCCCGTCAACCTGACCACGGGGGAAGTCACGTTGCCGTACCGATGGCTGTGGCTCGGATCTGGAGGAGCAGCTCCGGAAGGGGCCCGCGTGATCAAGAAGGACGGATGGTACTACGCACTGCTTGCGGAGGGCGGGACTCGCGAGAAACACATGGTGACGATGGCACGGTCTCGCAGCCTCCACGGGCCGTACGAGGGCGCACCGAACAACCCGCTGCTGACGGCTTACAACAACACGAACTCCTATTTCCAAGCCGTGGGCCACGCGGATCTGTTCCAGGATGCTAAAGGCCAGTGGTGGGCGTCTGGTCTCGCGGTGCGTGCAGGCGGGAACTACGCGGATGATCCATACCACGCGAACTTCCCGATGGGACGGGAGACCTTCCTCGTGCCGGTAGAGTGGCCTGAAGGCGAGTTTCCTATCTTCCAGAATGTCTCGGGCACCATGAGTGGAGACTTCACTCTGCCACAACCGTCTGGACCTGAGACGGTGCCTCCCCAAGGCAGCGGGAAGTTGGTCAATGCAAACGATGAAGTCGATTTCGAGCCAGGCTCTCAACTTCCGCCTCACTTCCTCCATTGGCGCATCCCCCACGTGAAGAACTACAAAGTGTCGCCAGAAGGCCACGAGAACCAACTAGCTTTGAGGTCTTCCGTGCTCAATCTGACGGGCTTCGACGGCGACTCGTCGCTCGGCCTAGGCCAGACATTCGTATCCCGAAGACAGTCGCACTCGCTTTTCAAGTTCAGCGTCGAGATCGACTGGAAGGGCCACTTGACGAGAGATTCCGAGGAGGTCGGCGTGTCCGTCATGCAAGACCAATCGCAGCATTTCGACATCGGAATCGTGCAGCTCAGCTCCACGGAGCCGAAGAACAAGACCTCTGGAACGCTGTACCCAGTGCCTGAGAACGAATTCGGTCCCATTCCGGACATCACCAAGTTAGTCCCCGACGCTGAGCCGAAGCCGTACATTCGATTTGGAGGTATAGGCATCACGGGATTCCGTCGGGCGAATGCGACGAGGTGGGCTGAAGACTTGACGGAGCTGCCGGAGGGGTGGGCAGATTCAAAGCTGAAGTTCCAGATCGAGGCGGTTAATACGACGCATTATAGCTTTTCTGCGGGTCCGGCTGGTTCGAGTGACGAGAACTTGAGGGTCTTTGGATATACGAGGGGCGATCTGATGGTGCCTATTTATTCTGGTAAGAGATGCCCTTCTGTGAATGACGAGATCACTCAACTAATTGCATGGTCTAGGTACTACTGTCGGCGCGTATGCAACGAGCAATGGACGCTATGGCGAGGGCGCATTCACTGCATACGTTTCTAAATGGAGATACACTGGCATAAAGCAGGTGATTGAAGAGCCTTGAGCTTGAATGATGAAAACAAAAACAAAGCAAGTTTCGTGCTTGAAATGTAAACATGATTAATACAATGATACATGATTAAAAGAATTATGAGAAGGGGCGATCATGACTGCACCAGAGCTACAAACAAATCCGACTACTGCGATCCTAGTTCTCTGCCAAAGCAATCAGTGCACCTCGATGTCTAGTCAACACGTCAGGTACGGATGTCTTATGACTGGGAATGGTCTTCTACGAATGACAATGTGGATGATGGGCGTGGCGATTAAGGGGTGGGGATTGGTATAACTATACATTGCGAACAGCATGGAGTGGTTGTCTTCATGGAATTAAATGAGGAAGTGGGAGAACTAGATTTATGTATGTACTCTATTCTGTAGAAGACAACGCTATGAACCTTTGCTAATGGAAACAACAATCACTGCACTGCGACAAGACGATATTACGTGTGGACACAGGTGTATGGTATCTCGATATCTGCTGCACGAAAAGTAATCCGAAGAAAGTGAGAATATGATCCTCGACGTTTACGCCTGTCCGTTTTCTTCCCCAGCTGTGCTTCTGGGAACAGTGCCGTTGCCGTCATCACCTGCACTCGCCTTGTTCCCACCCTGCGCCTCCTCGATCCTGAAATCCTGACCCATTGAGGCCTGCACCCTCTCGATCTCGTTCTGGATCGCTAAAACCCAGTGATCTCGCTCGGCTCGACTTCTGGCTCGGAAGACAACACTCCTTCCCTTACTCCCCAGCTTCGCCACACGTTTCAACTTCTTTCTCCGACTCTCGTTGGCATGCTGAAAGCCCCCGCCAGCGCCCTCTTCTGCTCTGAACCAGGACTTACTCTTCCCGTGCCAGACAACGAAGGTCGTCATTACGTCTTCATCCGTGGATGTCCAACCATCTTCGAGATAGATACGAGGGAGAGCATGATGGCCAGGCTTGTTGGCATCGAATGTTTGGTTCTGGTACAGCAAATCCGATTCGGTCAAGAAACCCGAGTACACATAACAATCCTTCAGGTCCAGGTTCGCTATGCGCTCATGATGGATATGGGCAAGCTGCTTGCCGACTCTACTCCTCAACACATCTTGAAAGATGACAAGGTTTCCTGCCGTTAACATGACACTGCAGCGTGTGAAAGGCGCATGGATCCTTGGTTTACGGTAGAGAAGTCCGCTCAGGTGGATGCTACGACAGCAGGCAATCCCGCAGAGATTATACAGCTCCGGGCAAGCGTATGACTGCGTGACCTCCCATTTCCTGGCAAACTGACCGACATAAGCCTCGGCTTCTTCGTCAATGTTCAAGACCTTGAAGTTTCGATTTCGGGTACGTTTGAACAAGTTGATGTCCGATGCCGTCCGATGTTTCCAATACTTGGCGAGGGCACGGAGATGCTTAATCCATTCTTTTCGACGTGTCTTGTTTGCGGCCTGCAAGCGAATAATTAAACCGTTGCGCATGACAAGCTCAAAGGTTCGTTCGAGGTCAAGGTCTCTTGTCGCTCCATCCTCTCTGGTAGAGTCCTCCACCTCCTCATCAAAGTCGATATCGGAGCCATCCTCAATTACCTCATCGACCGGATCTGCACCTTTCTTTGCCTTGCGGACCTTGATGATGTCGGCCATGTCGATGTATCCGTCGCAAGCAAGAAGATTTTGGCGCTTTCGCTCTGCTTCGTCTGCAGCATCCTCGTCGTGGAGTCGTCTAGTCTCTGGCGTACCCGTGTGACCCTCCATCAACCACTCAATGCGCTGTTGATCGACAGGAAATGGATTCACAGCCCAGCTTTCTGGAACGTCCTGGGCCACGGCCTGCGAACTAGGCACCTGGGCGTCTCGCGAAGCTGGAAGCCTGGGAGGCGGAGGCGGTGTGGATTTCGACGGCCGTGAGAAGACGAGGTATTGGTCGTGGGTAGCGAAATAGAGGCGTTTATGATAGAGCAGGCCCATTCGCTGCGACCTGCCTTTCTGACCAGTGAGCCGGATGAGGAAGCCTTCCACGGGTACTGGTTCAACCAAGGTCTTGTGTTTCTTGCGAGTCACGGCAGTGGTGGGATAGTGAGTCTTCGGGCGCAGCTCAAGTTCGTGGGACTTCTGCATCGCAATCGTGCCGTACATTTTACGTTCGTTTGCTCCATGGATCCATTCAAGCCGGTCGTAGCGCTTCCAGGCCAGACCTATACGCTGATCCTTGATCCAGGAATCCAAAACGTCCGCCCATTCGGGAAGGTGCTCCAATTGCTCCAAACATCGCTTGATCAGATTCTGAGCCACGGCTTGCTCTGCCTGCATGGTGCGCAAGATGGCTTCTTCCGTGGATGAGCCCTCGGCTTCCTGCGCCTCGTTTTGGAATGCTTCCAAATTCTTGAAAGGGTCTTGAATGTGTAAGCTGACGCTAAGGTCTGGTATATTGATCTGCAAACTAGTAGATCGTCTCCAACCGAGAATGTTTCGCAGGAAGGTATACCATTCGACAGCATTAGACGCCGTGCGTGCCTGCATTATGAAGATCTGTGTTCCTCGGCTGACTGGCTCCCAAACCACCACTGATTTGTCCAGGGAGGAATACATGTTTACTCTCGACTTCTTACGGGACAGAGGAATCTGAAAGGTGGCTCTTTTGCCCTTGTCTTTCTGCTCGACTTCGGGGATCACCTATGAGAAAGAGGGTATTAGCAGGTGTTTACGAAGGAGGTACGATGGTGTAAGGAGTACCTACCCTGGTCTTGTACATCTGGAGAATGAAGTCTGCGTCGTCAGTGTTTGAATGTCTGCAAACGACCAGATACTCCCGCCACTTTTCCTTGACACGAGAGTCGATCTTTTGGTTGGCATTCTCATCGAATTCATCCGGTACGTCCTTCCCAGCAGCATCGACGCGGACCAGCATACGCTCCATCTTGACCACAAGTCCGTCTTGGATCTTTTGCCGCCGCAATCTGGTCGAGGCACGTTGAATGGTTAGCTGAGCAGCCTTGGCCTTGAGCTGAACCTCTGCACGTCGAGAATCCTCGGGGACATCAAATGTCACCAGGTTGCGTAGGTTTGTCTTCTTTCGTGATAGGCCGTTCTCGGTCCGGTCCGAAGATGTTGTAGGATCATTGGACTGTTGTCGAGATACGCGTCGTTTGGCCTTTGTCACAATATTCCTGGTAGATGACTTATGACTCGTGACGGGACGATCCTTGATGGAGTCAGTCTTACGAAGCAAAGGCTCGTTGGATGCGACGACGACCGAGGGCTCATCAATGGCGAAGCCATAAGCCTCGCCATTGTCGCTCGCCACGGTGGATACGGGCCGTTTCACTGACGCCGTTTGTCCATCGTCTTGACCGGTAGGAACTTGTAATCCACTTGCCTGGGGCTGGCTTGCGTTTTGTGCTGCACCGGCGCTGCTTGCCTGAACCAACGTCTGCTTGTCGGTTGATTCCGAGGTTGACTTGCTTAGCGGCTGCTTGCTTGTATTTGCGTGTCCACCGTCATCTTCGTTCGACTCCGGCTCGTCTTCGGGCTCTGAGAGAGCATCTAGGTACTCTGTGGCATCATCGTCCACAATGACGTCATCCTTGTTGTCGGATCCACGGGGGATCTGTATCGCTGGGGGAGATTCCAATGTCGCAGAAGCCGATGATGACACGCCATTTTCTATGCGCTTATCGTCTGTTCCGTCCTTGTTATTCTCGTTGTCGTTATCCTCATCCTCCGCCGATAGGTCCTCCGGCTGAGGGAAGCTGCGTTGGAAGAGGGCGGAGGAGCTTGGGCCGTCGTGGCCACTGAGGCGGCGGTTTCGAGAATCGGTTGGGTCTGCAGAGAAGGTGGCGGCGCGGGAGGAGTAATTGATGTGCAGATGGTGTTTGTACCAGTCGCGTCGGTTCGTTTTCAGCCATCCTTCCTGTTACAGGGCGAGAGTTGATGAGTGAGGGTTGCGATGAATTGGAGGACGGGATGGTATGGGAGAAGGAGACGTACCGGGATAGGACCGATGAAGAAGCGACGGGAGGTGAGGTAGATATGATCGGGGGTGGCATGTTGCTAGAGGTGGAGAAGTGGAGATTAGCGGATGCGAGGAGCAATCGAGTGCATATGCAGTGGGGGTGTAGGACTCAGATAGAAGGGAAAGAGAGGGAGGCATACGAGGAGTTGGGCAGTGTATGAATCCGGAGGAAGAGGAGCGAGATTAGCCTGCTGGTGCTGGTGCTGCCAGGAATGCGATTGGGGTGTTGTCATTGGATGTGATTTGAGGCGGAGGGAGGTGGTGGTATGGTGGTGGTGAGGATTCAAGACATTAAACAACAAGATTGAGAGCGAGAGAGGGTATGAAATGATTGAGTTGATGTTAATGTGGATGTTTTTATTAAGGATGGAACATGATTAAAGGGAATGGGAATAAGAATAAGGAAAAGGAAGGAGGAGGAGGAGAAGAGGGAGAAGCAGAGGTGGAGGTTGAGGGTGAGGTTAAGCAAATAAGTTGTAGGAGGGAAGGAGGAAGTTGGAAAGGAGGAAGGCACGATCCAGTCAGTCGTGGTTTCCTAGTTTGCAGTTGGTGGTGGTGGATCGTCATCGTCATAGGCGCCCATCCCATCCCTCATCCCCCATCCCCCATCCCCCATCCCATCTCCCATTCAATTATTACCAGTAAGTGACGAGTAAGAATACAGGGCAGTTGAAGGCCACAACTGATTACTGGTAATACTAATTGATGAATTGTCCACTTGAATACTTGAAGAAATACCCATCTGTATCTCCATCGTTCTCTTCGTCTCCTCCATCTGCATGTTGCAAATCATCAACCCCATCCCTGTGCCCATCCCATCCCCACCGGACAGTGGAGTGGACACCCAGCAACCCCTCGTATCTGCCCTTCCGCCCATTCTAGGCCCCCATCACCAGCCACAACCTCCCGCTCCAGCTCCATCCAGCCTGTTCCAGTCCATCATCAACCTCTTGTACGGAGTACTCCCTCACACCTAATCAAGCACTCTACCTAATTCCTTTTCCCCCTTGATGAGTTGACTGTCAGGCATCGCTTACTCCGGAGCACAGAGTTTTACAATGTCTAATTCAAAAGATCAACTCATGGTATTCAATCGTCGTGGAGTACTACTCATCTAGGTCTTTATCTATCGCCCATCAGGTACCTAGGTAGACAATGGTGATAACATACCAGGTATCTAAGCAAGCACTGGAGGCACCTAGGTACTTGGGTAGGTACGTATGGAGCATCTTGTACCTGCACCTATACCTGTACCTACAAATTAATAACATTGACATCAAAGATTCATGTACCTACGGAGTACGTAGATACTTGGTCGCACCTTTGGACAAGATAACAAGCCTCCTTCTCTTTCCCCTCTCTTGCCTTGCTGCGAGGGACAACCCATCTCTTGTCTACTGAATATCTTCATAGAGAAATACATCATCTCTCATTGATACTATGAGGATGACGATGGAATACGTAGGTTGTTGTCTTGTAATGCTTCCCATATGGTACACGTAGTCGAAGTCATGTCCAGGGATCCCTCGTTTCTCCTAACGCCACAATGGCAGATCATCCGAGGCCGCAATCTACACTCTTCCTCCTCGATTACCCAATGTAGTAGTTATCATCATCCCCTCTCTTACCATCCCATCCCTTCCATTTCAAATTGTCCTTATTAATTAAGGTACTCTAGTATCTGCCTACCTGACCTAACGCTACAAGGGAGTTACTCCACTGTCCACCTACTCCACTCCACTCCACATTACTGCACTTCGACACAATCCACTGCTACTGCACTCATCGATAATCACATCTCTCTTCCTACCAGATATTCCCCTCAAATTACCCACTCCATCACTATTGCTCGGCCTAAGGCATATCAGTCCCGCGCCACGAGTCATGCCTTCGGAGCACCTTCTACTATTCACCGTTCCGTCATGTCTTGAGACACCCCAACACCTGCAGGATCGACATCTTGTCCCCACATGCACTCTGCACTTCTCACATCATCGCTGTAACATTTTTTGGACATATCATAACACAATGCCCATAACAGTCGAGCGAGTCAAGCTGCGGGCACATCACCCCGAGCGGCGAGAGTCATGAGAAGTGCGCCCAAGGTATCCACAACGGACGCCAAACCAATATAACACGCATAATCTCCTCGCCTGCAATCCATCTCCTTGGGCACATCTTCACCAGGCTGCAGTCTTTGCAGGGGGATCACGCACATTCCATCTGTGGTGTGGTGTCGGGAGTGTGACGGCCAATCAGATCGCTACCACTTCAGCTTCCCACCCCCGTAGCGACACTGCAGCGAGCATGCATCACGACGCCATAACTCAGCCGTACAAAAAAAAATTCCCAAAGACAGATGCTCTCAGCTTCTCAGCCTTGCCAAATGGATGGACGACATTTAAACTTTTCCCCAGCTCCCTCGCCCTCCCTGGCTAGCACAATTCGTCGCCGCCAAAACAATGTCTACAACGTCAGTCGCGAATGCCACCAACCCACTACCCACCGGACGAGCGTTCGGAGGGGATGAATTCTCAAACAACCTATTCTCCGATCTGGCCCCCCTCCTTACCTTGTTCGGAGAGCAGGTCACGAAACAATTCCTCAGCATGAGCATGGGATGGGCCGATGACGTCCTTCTCGCCATGGGTCCGCTCGGTATCATGACGGTAATTGTTAGTGCTATCCGCGTCGGAGGTGTCAAGACGCTGAAGGCCTTTGTTGGCAGGTGGGTGGACTTTGCAATATCTGTGGCCAGGGGAAACAAATGCTAACGCGTTGTAATCAAAGGGCAAGAGAAAGCCGAGCCAATGCTGAGAAAGAAATCCTTTCCTCAACATCCAACGACGTCTGCGAACTATGGAGTGGCCAGGAAATCGTTCGCGAGCTTGGTAATCCTGCAGGTATGAAAGACGTCATCTTGTTGAAAACCCCTGTAGGCTCGACCAGGCGCAGACTCTATGCGCCTGCGCGAGAAATTGAAGAGAAGTCTACACGTGTTCTCGATATTAATACTGCGATTGCCTGTGGAGTCGTGCCGGCACCAAAGAGACACGGCGTAGATATCGAAGACGAGGAAATTATCGACATCAGCAACGGGGCACCAAACATTGCACTCAATGTCCGGCATTCCACTGCTACACCGGGCGAATTGTGGGGATTGGCCGCGTTAGGCACGATGTTACAACTCGGGGCATTGGCATTTCCCGCCCTTACTACCTATCATTGGGAATGGGAGAAAGGTGGTTCCGCAATTGCATCGTACGGATATCCTTGTTTTGCGGGAGGAACCGTGGCTGTGATAGGGGGTATGATCTTCTGCGGACGTGTCATCGAAGGGAGTACGACGGAACACGAATTCCAAGTCGTCGAACTCGCCGAAGAAAAGCATAGCCTGAGGACTGCCTCAGGGGGGGCCGCGACCACCTCCCCTGTGCAGATTCTGCGGCTTCAAAAGGCATGCACCGTTAGCGATCAGCACTTTCCATCGTTTGCCATTTTCAACTCCCCAGAAGATGTGAAAATCCGCACTTCGAGGCTGAACGACGATTCTTACAGGTAATCGACCTTCGCTATTTGGGTGCGTATGTTGCTGATCTCCCACCAGTCGCATGGCAGCATTGGCTACTTTCACAGCCGTCGTGGGGTTCGTAGTTCAATTCGTCGGGTTACGTGCTCTACACTGGTCAGCTACGATAGTCCAGCTCGGAGTCATGTTGATCATGACGGTCATAAGGTCATGGGTTCGTAGAGGGCTCGCTGCAGATCCCGTCTTTTACCCTCTGCTCGACGGCCACGAATTGGCGTGGTTGACACTTTATATGCTGAGACAGGATGACCAGCAATGGATTAACAATAACAGTCAGTACAACTTTTCCCTGCAACCTGACGGAGATGTTATCGTAGATGACGGTGCAGTACACCCTGCTAATTTGACTGCAGACCGATCGGCAAAAGGCACTGTCTCGCGGATACGCAGTTGCTTCAGTCTATCGTCTATTCCCTTTTCCCTCATCAAAACATTTCCTTTTGTCCGGTCACGAGGGACCTCGGAACAAAAGCCAAAACCCCTCTCTGATCAGCGACTCCTGGATAGCATTGCTCGGTGGGAACCTGTCACTGGCTACTTCAATATCCAGGAGACTATTCGATCCATGTCCCAAGCAATAGAGTCTCACAGAGCTGGACGACCTGTGATCGATGTTCTCGAAACGGAGATTACACGTCTACACCGAATATTTCCGAGAGATTTAAGTAGGATCTCATTCTTCGAACCCGAGTTACATGGGATATCGGTCTTTCCACCACTCGAAACGTACCGCGACCTACAAAACCTCATGCCTGCTTCGGAACATGTAATGGACACTGCAAATGCCTTGGCCCAGGCTATGGAACGTACTCTAGCCTTCTTTGCAACAAATCTGCATGTGCTGTGGAAAGAAGATGGAGACTTGTTCCTTCCGCGTGCAAACCCGTGGGACTCGCCAAAAATGACCATTAATATCGATGTGCTTCGCGGACCATACAAGGAATACGCGAAGCTGCGCCGCGAGAATGTTTTGATTGAATTATTGCGCCAGAATTTTGACCCTACGGATAAGGAAAAAAAAGGCCAGGCTCGATTTGCTTCTTGGAGGACTGAACGGGAGACACTGGCGAGCTTTCTGTCACTTTGGCTCTTTGCCCTAGAGATCCGCCGGACTGCCGCGCTCAAGACGACCTCCGCCCTACGGCCCCTCATCCAGCGGGAGCTCGTATTCCCTGTCACGTTAATAAGCCGTAGCAATCAGTACTTTCGCGTTATATGCCCTGACGCTGGTCGGAGGGGTGGTCGCACCACGAATACCACCCACCAGCAAACCATTCAGGCATGGCTTCAAGATGAAGTTGAACAGATCCCTTTTCTCTACGGGAACCATAGTGATTATGTGGCGAAGGAAATGAGCATGGCACCTGGCAACACGTGGCTGGCATGGGGTGTACAATTCTCTACACCTGGGAGGTAGGTATCGATGATTACTGAAGACGTAATGCCTTTGACTTATCGTTCGAATTTAGGGTGCCCTTTGGGCCGGAACGAGTATATGAGGGGGACAATTGGGAACCCGGGCATGATTTGAGCGACCTCGCCGTTCGTACCCGCGCTAATTCGACGCTCCTGGCTGGTTGTGCCCTGGAGATTTTCTCCTATTTCTTTGAAGCCATCGCACGTCGAATCGAGAGGTTGGGGGGCACCACGCAAATCAGTCTACCAGCGCGAGAAAACCTTCCAAGGATGGAAATGATGGATATGCCTTCTCCTGTATTGAGCACGGCTGCAGACGGGGGGCAATGGTCGAATTCTGTTATCGATGCCGTTGCAACCATATGCGTTGCAACAGGCATTGCTCAGGATACTGGCGAGGCGCTCACCGTCATCCTGCCAGGTATCATCAAGCATGACCTTCTGCCCACGGAGCCGCACGGGGTAGAGTTCGAGCTCCTTCGACGTGACGAGTCTGAAACGGATTCCAATGACGATAACAGTCTCGCCTCAATTCCATCAAGGGTAACAGCATCGTCTCGTGATACACCTAGCACCGCTGGTTCTAATACGTAGGACCGCAACGACTAAGGATTCAAAAAAGTAAAACAAAGAACCGGAGAGGGGGTGAAACAATTAGCTAACTATTACTAGAATCTGCACTCAAATCAGAAAAGGAAGCGTTGTCTTCATAGTGAACTCAGTCCCAGTGTAGCTCCAATCTACTATCACAAAACTACTGTTTCGGACCCCAGATACCAACCTCTAGAGACTCCTCACTCGATTACGCGGTGAATTGGTACTCGTGATCTTGCCCTATTTCCATCATTTCCCATGCGATCTTGACTCTTGATATCCATCCACGTAACGCTTTCCTTGACAGGGTGGGTGTGTTTAATGTATGCTTAAGGCAAGGGAAGGGGAAGGGTATGTGGAACGGAAGCGCATCGTTCTCTTCTATGCCCGATTTGATACGTCTCTTCAGATGAGTAGAGAAATGCACGGAGGGTGAATATGAAAGTGTGAACATGATCATCTATTCATTACATAAATTCTAGCATAACCAGTTGGCCCCAGCAACTACTCAACCTTCCTAAACTTCATATGCCCATTCGCATCCCTCGCAAACTGCGCTCGCATCCCCCTCGCCCTCACCTGGACATCATGATACGTAACCCTCTTCTCCCTCTCCGCCGTCAACCCCTCCAAATACTCCCTCTCCTCCCACCCATCAAGCCCACACCACAGATGCGCCAGCACACTGTTCTTAAACAAATACGGGGTCCCCCTCCTCCCACTCTTCACGACCGTCAGCGCAAGAAACACCGCGGAGGCAACGAACGTGGCCAAGGGCAGCGCCAACCACTCCCAGCGGACGCGCACGAAGATCTCCGCACCGAACGCGTCGCCCCGGACCGTGGAGACGGACGGGTTGGAAGGGTTTACGACGGCGCCGGAGAGGACGGCCGCGGCCCGCGTGAACAGCGCCGTCCAGTTCCCGGCTGTGCGCGACGAGAAGCCCCGGAGGAAGAAGTAGAAGTCTTGGGAGGAGGTTACGCGGTCGAGGTGCACGGCGAGGGAGTCGAGGGTCTCGTCGGTGATGTGGAAAGTGGTGTTGGAGGTGTCGATGCCGTCGGCGGTCGCGATCCAGCTGCCGTTGCGGAGGCCGCCGTTGCGCGTGTTGTTGGTGCCGCGGAGGAGGGTGAGCGCGTGCTCGGTCGTGAGGTCTGCGGATGCGCCGGTGGGGGTCACGGTGGTGTTTTGGTAGCGCTTTGCGCAGAGGCTCGGGCGGCATCTGGTGATTGTGCCTGTGGTTTCCCCGAACTTGGGGAGCTCGCCCATCCGTCGGATGTCGGACGTGGATGTGAAGCAGCTGTATCCGGAGATGGAGTTGAAGTGGAAATCCCGTGTCGAGCCGGATGTCTTCGCGCAGGCGGAGACTCTGCCTTCGGCGGATGAGTCGCCTTGGAAGAAGCCGCCTGCGACGTTGGTGAAGGGTCCGTCGCGCGTCCAGCCGATGATGTCGTCGCCGAACTTGATCTGACTGGGTGTCACGGTGAAGCCTTGGCCGAACTGGAGGTTGAGGGAGTCTTCGACTTCGTCGGATGGTTGGTCGGATCGCGTGAAGGTGATGTTAAACGAGGGGAAGTCAGGGTACTCGAAGGAACATGTTCGTTCCCATGTTCTTGCGCCTCCCAGGTCTGATGGGCCAATCTCTCCGCCATGCTCGTCGATGTAGGACTTGAAATCGAGGTACGTCGAGAAGTCTGTGCTGTTGGTTTCCGTGACGTTCACTACTTTGCCGTTGGTTTGATTGAAAGGTACTTGTCGACTGTCTTGGTAGGTGTATTTGCAATTGGGGAAGTTCTTGTCTAGCACGATGTCTTCACTCTCGCATGTTGCGCATATCCCTAGCGTGACGAAGTCTGGTATGCGACACTCTAGCGTAGGGCAGAATGTAGTGTTTGGCATCTGAGAAGGTTGGCCGGCCACGGAACCAAGGATCCCAGTGGTAAGTGCAAGTTGCAGATCTACGATCGTGTGAGCCTATTCCTGTCCGGGAGTTTATTGTGTTTCCATACCATATGGGAGCTTCTCATCAACGAGGGCCGCCTTCGTGTAGGAATCTGTTCGAGTGACATATCCCGTTGCATTGAAGAGAGCAGTATTCTTCGAATGCACTTCGATGACCTGCTGGGTAAAGGGCTCGAAACCGAGCAACAGGATCGTGATGATGGCGCCAACGGCAGCTAACGACCTAGTGCCCCTGGTCTTCCATAGAAAGACACATGCTCCCCATGGCCCGCGACTGGCCTCGTCGAAGATCTCGATATGTTCTAAACACCTTGGGCGGCTGAAATACGACCATTTTAGCTGTCCGATGCTCTCGGCGATGGGCACTAAGAGAGCGGATTTGGTCACGACTGAGAAGACCGAGACGAGTGAGTTCGGCTGGATCGGCAGGGCCCAAGTTCGCATCGACTTGCCGTCGATTGTGAACAGAACCGCTACGGTAAGGATGGTGCAGATGGTACCAAGGGCGATAGCACCCGCCTCCCACCACCAGCCTATCCGCCTTATGGCACCTGGGCCAAATGTTCGAGTGCGTTGGCGTTTCTGTGGGAAGAAGTCGGTTTCTGGACGTGAAAGGGAAATTTTTCGTGTAGAGACATCGACGTCTTTCGACTTCGGGTTGTTTTCAACATTTGGTATTGGCGTGTTTGAGACCACAATAATGCTTTGAGGCCGCGAGGGCTCTCGGGGACCCATAGTATCGCGATGATAATGTTTTCAGAGAACCGGTGGGGCGCCGTTTTGAATGAACGACATCTTGATTATCGAGCAAACAAGTGCATATTGTATGTTGTCAGGCCTTGTGCTTTTCTCCGACGAGTTATCACTATACCCATTTCGAAGTTCTCGAACCTCAACGTTAAGCATCTCGCGTAACTTTATCATGTCTTGCATCAGCCTTTGTGTGACGCTACGGATTTGACGAGCTGCGTTTGGCTTGGTTCCAGGTCCAACCTCATGCGAGACTGTCAGCATCTCGTGCAATTATTGGGTATCTCTAGATTCAATGTATCACGGCGCGAAAGTGACCTTAAGAATGGAGTTAGCATAACAATCAATGGGTTAGTTCACGGCGATATGAAACATCGTGTCGTAAGCTAGCAGCGGCTTCCGTTGTTGGAACTGACACATTGGGGGCCAATTCTCACTTTTGGACCCCGAGTGTGAGGTACTAAGGACGGGGGCGCTTCGATGCCGTGTTAGGGTGACCAAAATAAACATTTCCCCTACGAGAGAGAGATTCAGGATCCGGAAATGTTCAATGTAGGTGACGATGTTCTGCGACAATACGTTGAACAGCCGACGATGATGCCAAGACGGGATAAAGTTCCTCACCGCTCCGAACCAAGTACGGAGTACAGCAGCACGCAGGCACATAGGCTTACACGTGAATCGGGGGCTGGATAGAAGATTTCCATGTCTCCATCGGAATCCTCCGAGTAGGGCATTGGTATTCTTTCTTCTTTTATCATAGAAACTACATGATATGGGCGGAGTCACGTCACTACAGTGCCAGTATCTGTTGCATCATCAATGTATATCAATGTATGGTTATCGAAATCTGTTACCAGATACTCCGTACAGATATTCAAAATCCTATTTCATACCGTTCATATGGCCCAGCTTAGGATATCAACCTCTTTCCAAGTGTCCTCGTCTGGTCACAGCTGGCTGTGGAATGTACATAAGTACATTATAAGTAGGCAAGTATAGCGTGTCCTTGTATACCTAGCTATCTCTATTGTAACAACAGGTACTCCATACGATTAGGTAGACAGAGGACAGCCATGCACACAGTAGCGAGTTGCTAAGCGCATAACAAGTGCAGAGTAAGTGTACAGAGTAGTGGGATTATTGGGAGTGGAAATAGTTAGTCGCGGCGGTTTAATTAAGCTGCGCATATTGAGAGACTTGTTTTAGCGATCGCGCGTAGTAACGGCGATCTAGAAGGGTGGACGAGAGTTGACTATTGCTATTACTGGTACATACTCGCACGGAGTAACTAACTAATGTACGAATGCTGTGTATTATTATAGGAGGTTGCCTGTAGCCTGTAAACTACGAGGACCTACACTCGTACCATGTAGGGTAGAGCATGGTAGGTAACATTATTGACATTGAACGGGCGGGTGACGTCAACATCACAGATTCCCCCCAAAACATCCACACTCCCATCCAACTTGTCACCCTGTTGGTCCCTTTTCCGTCCCATCTGTGCCAATCTCGGCCTTACTACCCGCCGCCGCTTCCATATCATCATCATCATATTGTTTCTGTCTATTTCTTCAATTCCTTGGTTGACCCCAAGTGGTCTAGATGCGGTCGGTTTCCACTGCTTTTCCAGGCACCATCGTCAATAACCGACCTACCCTCGTAACCATTACCTACCTTACAGGTCCACTACTTGTAGTTGTACCCTGTACCCATATCACCTTGCACAATTTTATAACCTTACAACAAGTCCCTGGCGTATCTAGCCTATATTTCTCACAGCATGCTGACCACTTCTCCGACTCAAACCATTTTCCTCCATATGCATCCCCACGCTCTCGAGTCGTTGGCTCCTAAAGACACTCGGTGGAACATGCTTGAGTTGACGGCTTCCGCAACATCGGCTGATCGTCGACAGAGTTATCTATTCTCTGCAACCACCATTGCTGGCCAGGGTGCTTGCACTGCCTGTCGCGGTCGCTTGACCAAGGTACGTCTAGATTTACGCATACATTCCCCCAAGACACCACCTCTATTCTTTGTCTCGGTCGCAGCGCATCCGCTAAAAGTTCCACTGCAGTGCTCGTTGACCAAACCACAATGTAGCGAATGCAACAAGAGAGGTACAGGCTGCACGTACACTGCTGCCTCGAAAAGTAGTTCACCAGTGGCTCCCTCGGTGTTTGCTCCCCCTGCTCCACGGCTGGCGACAGAGAAGGGTACGAAACGCAAGTTCGACCAGATCCTGAACCAACATCCTGCGCCATGCCCATTTCAAAATCTATATCAGCTCATGCAATCAAGCTCCCCCGAAGTCGCCATGGACATCTTTCGTCGCATCCGCCAGGGCGACGATGCAGCGAGTGTGTTGCGCCATTTCGATGAGGGCCACCTTCTTGTACAGTTCTACCTTCAAGTGGACTCAAAAACACAAACACTCTCAACTACGGCTCCTGGTCGCGCTGGCAAGTACATACAATCTCCTCCAGCTCTCTCGACATCAACTACCGAAACAACCAATTCGTCATCGACATCCATAACAACACCATCATCCGTGGCTACTACAACACCTATCGGGAAACCAGCAACCCAACATCAACTTCCACCATCATTACGAGCAATATGCAACGATGTAGCGATGAGCTGAGCCCATGCATGTTCAACGTTAAATCTTCCCCATCTATCATTCTTGCCTGGCTGTCTAATCCGCCGCATTAGACTGATTCATACTCCCGTTTTTCTCTTTCAGTCATAAAGTTCAGTGGCCTCATGAGCTGACGATGACTTGGTGGAATCATCCATGATCACTACATTTCATAGAATGCCAAGCGCAATAGTGGGATGAACGCGCAAAGCATATGATATTTTACTTACATTATTCTACATATCGACTTCCTTATTGGTAGTCCCATGACCATGTACCAGGGAAATAAGACTCTGGTCGCGGCCTTGATCGAGAAAGTGGACCTCGCAGATCTTGTTCTGGCGTGGGCTTTCCGGGTCACTCTCCCGGGCCAATGAGGAACACACAACGCCGCAGACCGCATCGACTTTACAGCGCATCAATCGTGTACCACCTTTGGAGTCGAGCAGCACGCATGTCGGCACGCGCCTCCCTGTTGTCGAATTCTCATTTTGGCGATATGCTCTGTGATCAGCCGACCTTTTCGAGTTATCCGGTCCCTGGTCTCAATGGTGCGCTTCATGACGATTGGTTATGTCACGCCAGCTTCGGGAACGGCGACCATCGCGATGGACTCTCAGCTCAGAGTCTGCGATAACATTGTATCTTGTCGTTGGCTTGATAACGTGTCACCATGGATACAGAGTGTTGGAACTTTTGTCACGGCTTTGACTCCCGATGCGACCACTCCCATCGCTTGTCAGCAATCAAGTCAATGAATACCAGTGTACGACGCAGCAGGTTAATATTTGGACGGAACAAAGGCATATGAGACACTTGATACGGTACTTGTTCGAAACAAAATGGATCATAATTCCAACAAACCGTTGTCCTGGCTGAAGATACTCAGAATCCTCATTGGACGAACCGGGAGCGTCGACCATCACGACCATCCGAAATCGTGTCAATGCAAGAATCCATAGATGCCCTCAAAAACCACGGATCAGAGTCAATCAATCTCTATTTCTCTACGTGAATCATATCCAAGAAAATTTCAGAACGTCTAACCGATTTGCACCGACTTCCCACCTCCGTACTTCCCATCCGGACCTTCGAGATGGGCGTCGAGCACTGCGCTCGTCCCGCTCAACACGCTCTTGATAGCCTCAGGCAACAGCCTCGCTAGATCATCTGCGGTACTCGCATGCGCCGCCCAGATCTCGCCTCCGGCCGCCGCCTTCGCGATGCCCGAGTAATCCGGCGTGGGCGCGAAACTGATATTGAGCTCCTCGTTACTGACCTTGCTGCCCTCGCCGTCAGGATGCACAAGCAGCATGCTCCGCCGCGGCGCATTCCAGCCCTTGTTGTTCAGCACGATGGTCAGGATGGGGATATTGTAGCGCCTAGAGATCCAGTACACGGACCCGGGGACTGAAAACAAGTATGTGCCGTCGCCGACGATCTGGCACACGAACTGGTTCTTGCCCTCCGCCGCGGCCGCGAGCTTGATGCCCAGCGCGCCGCCTCCCGACCATCCTAGACCCCCGCCGCCGCAGTTGATCCAGGACCCTGGGATAGTGGCTTGGATCTGGTCGGCGACGAAGCCGGTCTGTGTCACGGCTTCTATGGCCCAGATAGTGTCTTCGGGGCACAGCTTCTTGAGCTGCTGCGTGAGGTATGGGGTCCCGAAGTGGCCCTGGTCGTCGACCTTGGCCTCCGCGGCGATGGCCTCGAGTTTCTTCTTATACGAAGCTTGTAGCGCGGTCCAGCGGTCGGAGAAGACGTTGCTGGACAGTTTCTCCGCGTAGGTGGCGGTCAGGTGGGCATTGAGCTGGGAGAGGGATTCGTACGAGTCTGCGCGGAAGCGTTGGAGTGCCTTGATGTAGAAGACGGGCATCTGCTGCTTCAGCGGGTCGACGTCGATGTGGAAGACTTTTGCGCCGTCCTTGGGCTTCGTTTGCGTGTCGATCCAGGGGACGTCACAGTCGAGGACGAGGATCACGTCGGCGGTTCTGATGGCGGCTTCGTTGCTGTAGCGGAGACCTAGCCAGGCGGGATGGTTTGCTGTGGGATTGTGTGGTTAGTGCCGGGACAGAGAACAGTGGGAGGAGGTGTTCATGGAGACTTACCTGGAAAGCACATGTCACTGCCTCCGGTATCGAGAACGCGAAGACCTTTGACGTTGTCCGCCAATTTGACCAATTCATCCACAGCGGCATGATTCCTCCCGCTGAAGCCGGTGACGATAAGGGGTTCCTGCGCGTTCACGAGTGCCTCTGCAATGGTCTTAACACCACTCGAAGAGAGCGCCGCGGGTTCTATGGGACTCCAGTATTGCTGGTCGAGTGCGTATGGAGTGAGATCCTCTTCCAGGGGCTCGCGGGCTGCGCATAGGTAGACTGGTCCCTTAGGGTCGCTTGTAGCGAAAGATAGTGCGCGGTTGACCATTTGCTATGCGATAATTAGCCTTTTATTCCAATCGACGCTTTATTTCCACAAATCAATTCCATTCTTACCTTGACATTCTTGCCCGTCTTGATCTCCCCAGTATATCGACAATACTGCGCCACGATCTGCTTCTGGTCCGGCACGTCCTGGATCCAGTGAATGTATTCCGTCCTGCTCCCCCTCATCTCCCCCTCGATTGTGAACGGCGACAGGCCGGCAAAGATCAAGACAGGCGCGCGGCCACACGACGCGTTGTGGACGGCGGCGCCTAGACCCTGGGTTCCTACGTCGACGTGCACGATGACGCATTGTGGTTTTCCAGTCCGTCGAGCGTAGCCATCTGCCATGGACAGGGCGACCATCTATTTCCGACACCATGATATGGTTAGCTCGGGTATAACTGCGAAAGTGGTGGTGCGACTGAGAGATGCGAACCTCGTTAGGACATGTTATGATCCTGGGGAACTGGCCCTTCTTCTCATTCTGGCCCTTGACGATGGCCTCGATGACGCTGGGGTGGTCGGACCCGAGGTTGACGAAGCAGTGTGTGATGCCTGCCTCCCAGATGGCCTCGAAGAAGGCGAAGGAAGCTGTGTAGACCCTGGAGATTCGTGTTGTCAGTACTTTCTCCTGTTCAATAGGAATAGGTGATGATATGTGGGGTGCAAAACGTACATGTCCGCCTTTGTTTGGATGAATTGAGTCTAGGCGATTAAGACCGGTTTGAAGTAAGGAATAGACGGAGAAGAAATGAAGGGTATCAGTATGGAAGAGAGGAAGCAGAGGTCACTAGGGTCGAGAGTGGTTGCGGAGTGACATTATTATTCCCCCAGGGAACGGAAACGTCCCGCCGCATATCGGAATGGAGTTCCAGCGATTGCCTGCCCCACAATGGAGGAGAGGACTCTTAGTGAGTATGGGGAATGGATTGGCATGTTTCCCCACTTAACGTCAACTGTCGAGGTTGTTGGACATGGCATGGTACGTAGACTACGTGGTGACTACCTCTGTGGTTGGCTCCGTGATTGGGGATGAGCTACCCCTCCATTGTCCCACCACGCCCTACAAGTATTGCTTTCCCGAGGCATGTACTCCGTAGCTGGCAGTTCAACCCATTTTCAATGAGTTGGCAGTTTACTTGATATTCCTTGTCCAACGCGTATGTCCTACTGTACATACTTGGTACCTGTATAGGTACTTCAGTAATCGGCAAAGATATATCGTATGGCACCGACTTGGACGACGTCTTTAATTCCGGACGCCCAAAACCCCCACTTCCTCCTCCACCCCTGTCAGGTGAGTAATCAACTCGCTTAACCAAACGACAGGGGTAGGCACTTCTTGACGGCAATCATCAACACTAACTACTACAGTCCAGACTAAGTAATGGCTTTCGTATACAGCACGAACTCAATCGAAGCATTACTGAATACCTGCCTATCTTCCTTCTGAATTTCTAAACTCTAGACGACATGCTCCTTTCGGACAAACAAATTCGATCTATCAAACCCAATCATGGAGTTACTGGCCTCCCCACCCGTCAAAAATACGCTTCTCCGATGTCAACCTGAAACACGTTTCAGTCATACCCCGTCGAGCTGACAAGCTGTCAAATGCTTTCCATCCCATCTAGAATCTTGGGATCATATTCTCTTGAACAAGTTCTCTTCGGAATCATCTCTGATCATTTCAACATCTCGAAATGTGGCTTCCCTTATCCACGTCCCTTTCATGGTCTTTGCTAGTTGCTACTACACATGCCTCCTTCATTTCCTGTGACAGAAGCGAAGCATCGCTACATATCTTCGATGTACCGTCATGGCTGTCATTGAATTTCTCTTGCCTTGGATCCCCATTGCCCTACACTATTCTTCCCGCTCCTGGTAAAGGTCTTGGGGTGTTTGCACCAAGGTCACTCATACCTGGCGATATTATCATGCGCGAACCTCCTATCCTCGTCATCAATCCACCTCCTATGCAAGCGGGAAAGGGATATCCTCGAAGCGAGATCGACAGCCGGGTTCGAATTGCTTTTGAAGCTCTGTCCAGCTCCGAGCAAGACGAAGTCCTCTCGCTGACATATTACAACCCCCCTTCCCAGAAGGTAGTGGATCCCCTCAATTCAATCTTCAGGAGCAATGCATACAACACTGGTTCCAGGGTCGGACTATTCCCCAAGATTGCCAGGATAAACCATTCTTGCAGGCCGAATACTAGCTATTACTGGAACGAGCGACTTGGGAAGCGTATGGTTTATGCGACTCGTCACATTGAAGAGGGGGAAGAGTTATCCGTTTCCTACATTCCCTTATTACTCGCACACGCGGATAGGCAGAAGAGACTAGACGCGTATGGCTTTACCTGCACCTGCGAGGCTTGCTCTGCTACCAAGCACAAGAAAACCAGCGATCAGCGAAGGACACGCATCGGCCAACTTTTTCCAGACCTGACGGCAAGGCTGACGCTTGAGGTTCCAACTTCTGTGGCGGCCAACAAGAGCGCACATCGAATGGCGGAGCAGAGCATAGAGTTGATGCAACTGGTCGAGGAAGAACAACTGGCGGACTACTATGCGCAAGTCTACAGAAGTGTTGCAGTTTCTCTAGCTAGGCTACAGCAATGGGACAGCGCATCTATCTGGAGTAGCAAGAGTTACGACATTTTCAAGATGGCCGACGAACAGAGTCGTGAGACGAAAGAAATGGAGAAACTGACCCGGATTTTTGTTGCAAATTGGAATGAAGATGTGGACAAACAAACAGAGCAGAGACAGTCGCAAAGAGGTCGGTGAAATACACGACACTGCGGGTTATTTCATCTAAATCCGAACTTTTGGATACCTGCACCCTGAACGATACCCACGTTCAATGCAGGGCCAAATACCCATGAGCCTTGGCATAACGTCCGCCCAGGTTTTTCGTCCAAATCCACGGCCCGCTCCATCTTCTCCAATCTCATGTTCTCATGTTCCTCGTCTGTTCGTCCGGTCTGATCCTACGAAACACTCCGCGTGCGGCGCAGAAGTCTCGAACCTGGGGAGACGCTTGGGTTGTCGCTTCACGGGCCTACCGACCCGTTAGTTTAGCCTAATCCATCTTCGGTCATCCCATCGACCAGGTATATATCTACAATGCACGCTCGCAGACCTGCACCCCAGGTTCTGTCAAATTTCTTCTTCTTTTTCTCTTCTTGAATACGGGATCTAAGAATTGCGACTATACCACGGACATCGTCGTAAGAGCAGCCTCATGGATCAAGCACATCTACAACCAGGCCAACCCCGCCGGATCGACCAAGATGAGAGAGTTCGCAAAAAGGACATGAAAGTCCTAGTCCTCGGCATGCCACGAACAGACACAGCATCCCTCGCCATTGCTCTACGCAGACTGGGCTACACCCCGCACTCCATGCGCGAACTTCTCATCCGACCCTCTGAAATTCCCCTCTGGAACGAAGCCGCGCATCTAACCCTCCTCACCAAATCCCGCCTCCCACCAGAGAAACGCCTCTACCGACCATACGGGCGTGCCGAATTCGACAAGCTGCTCGGCGACTTCGACGTCGCCATGGACCTCCCATCCTGCGTGTTCGCCAAGGACCTCGTGGAAGCGTACCCGGAGGCCAAGGTCATCCTCACGCACATCAAGTACGAGGACTGGGAGGCCAGCATGCAGGTCTCCATCTGGGCGCTCCTCACCTGGAAGCTCTTCAACTTCTGCCGCACCTTCAACCTCTCGCAAATGGCCCCGCTCCTCCAGCTGCTGCACTCCCTTTTCACCGCGCACAACGGCAACGTGTACGACGGACCGCAGGCAAAAGAGGCGTACGAGGCTCACTACGAGAAGGTCCGGCAATTAGTTCCCAAGGACCGATTGCTAGAGCTCAACAACAACAAAGAATGGGAGCCGCTGTGCAAATTCCTCGGAAAGGACGAGGTGCCCGAGGATGTGGGAGCCTACCCAAGGGTGGAGGAGGGATCGCAGATGAAGGAGCAGATGACGAGTACGTGGTGGGGCATCGTGCAGCATTTCCTATTCGTGTTTGTGATTCCGGCTCTTACGGCACTGCTGGCGACCGCGCTGGTGTACTGGCGGACGGAGCTATTTGATCTGTTGGAGGTGTTGATGAAGAAGGCCGAGGCGTATATAAGCGTATGAATTGTTGGTCGGTTTGTTCCTTAGAATTGGGGTTTAAGCATTCTTGTATTAGTACGCAGCATGGTAGATGGCCGAAAAGATTAATGACAGGACAATATAGCTCAGTTGAATCTTGAAAACTGTGGACGGTATATATCTAATGTTAATCGAGTATTGATCACCCCTAAGAGCAATGATAGGACGTGATTGCACATCTGGACGTTCAGACTGAGAAGGGAAAGAGTTATCTTGGGTATTATCGCTACTCTACAATCCTCTAAACAAGTCATCGATTGTAATCGGCTTCCTGACCGCGTTCGAGAAACCTTCATGGAAAGTAACCCAGATGCGATCTTCGTCATTCGCTTTGTCCACATTCTTCTTCGGTTTCTCCCCCTCGACGGGCGCCTGGATCGGTACCACCCTGCCGAAGAAGTCTTTCAGCACCTTATCCTTCGTCGCGGGCTTGCTCGCCGGCTCCTCTTCCTCGACTTCGTGGGCCACTTCACCTTCCATGTGCCCACCTCGTCGTCTGCGTGACTCAGCGTCGATTCTCAAGCTTTCTCGCTTCCACTCGCTTTCCAGCACGCTTCGTACGGCGAATCGGACTTTGTCGTCTTTCTTGCCGTCCAGCGTCTCGAAGGCTGCTAGTTGGTCGAGTGGAGGCTCCATACGTAGAACCCATCCGCCACTGCGATTCGCAACGTCTTCGGTCTCCACCCTGCTCTTCTCGAAGCGTACTCCGGTCGCTGCCATGGCGTCTACAGCTCGCTTGACGAGTTCTTTCTCCGAGGCTTTTCGGACCGATGCAGTCGCTGTCGACTTGGATCCTGCCGGGCCGGTATTCACGATGACGGGCTTGACGTCCGGCGCGAGCATGCGGAGGACGTAAGGCAGCAGCTCGGTTGCGATCTCATATGGCGAGCGGAAAATGCGCGCGAGCGGGAGGCTCAGTGTCGATTGGAGGCCCATCATTTCATCGCGGCTTGCCCTCAGCTGCTCCGATGCAGCGTAGGCGGCACCAGGGCCGGAGAATGGGGTTGGGATTGCATCGGGGTCGGCTGTGGGATTGGAACTTTGCTGGCGGGGCGAGGCGAATAGGTCGTGGAATGCGAGCACGGAGTTCGAGAGGTAGGGCGCGAGTTCCCACTCTTGAGATCCGTGGACTGCGGCGTTGAGGGTATCGTGGAAATGGAGCCACTCGTACGCAGCGCTCGGTTTGCTGAGCAACGTGTCATCCTGAAATGGCTTGTCGGGATACGCAGAAAAGCAGTCTGCAATGTTGTTAGATTTGTGAATATTCAGATCGCGGGTCAGAACGCTCACCTGTCACGATGCGGTCGCAGTCACCACTCGTGTTGACCATGTCCCTTAGTCTGTCCATGGCACGCCGTTTGGCAGCCTCGGCGACGCCGATGCGACCTTGTTTCCCTTGACGAGCTGGTCCGGTCTCTGCTTGCTTTGGGAAGCCTGCACCTTCGCGGAAGACACGATCGACGACATCCTTTGCACCTCCGCGACCGAGACTCCTGGCAGCCCCGCCTCCATGATGGAGATCATTGATGACATGTTCTTCAACCCACCTCCTGGTCAAATGAGGCAGTTCGGAGTTTAATGATTTCGCGGCTCTGAGGCGACCTGCGACCCATTCGCCAACGACCATCACACTTCGAATATCGCCTTCGCCGGTGCCACTTCCGCTGCCACCTTCTTTCTTGGTGCTCACACCCCAAGTTGCTTCACACAGCCGGCGGACACCATCGCTATCAGCGTTTATACCCTCCTTCTTGAAGACATCGTGGATACGATTCACAACCATGTTTAGAGGTGGTTTGCGGATGTGGATGATCTCGGCATGAGAAGACTGGCGGAGAGGTCGTAACGATGGGTGATAGACATCATTACAAACGAGAATGAGTGGCCTGAGAAGCCGGAATTTGTCGCCTTTCCGCTTTTTCTTCGTTTCATTGAACGACCCTTGACCAACCGCTTTGGAGTTCTTCTCGTCGAGGTTAATGAGATCAATCAACGCCTTGATGAAACCTCCCTCGCCAGCTCCACCACTACCACTGACCACACCATCAACTTCATCAACTACAACGCACACGGGCTTTCCTGCTTTTCGAACCTTTCCATTTGAAGTGCTCATGTTTACACCTCTCACGTTCTCGGTTCCAACCATATCTCGAATGCGGCCTTTGACGACGTCGCGACTTCTCTCGTCGGATGCATTGATCTCCTGTACTTCGTAGCCCGCTTGCCTAGCACAGACATGCGCCAAAGTGGTTTTTCCTAGCCCCGGAGGTCCTGTCAACAACAACACCTTTCGATGTTTCTGCTCCTCATTGTCATCATTGTGCCTATTGCTCTTCACTTTCGCCTTGCTGGTGCCGGGAAAAACGATGGAGTCCCACGCCTTCAACCACCTCAGTACTGAACGGTGTGTTCTCTCATCTCCGACTAGGTCCGTGAACTTCTTCGCACGGTACTTTTCCGTCCACATGAGTGTTCTGCTAGCTTTGCCAGAGGCCGGCTGGGTGGCAAGGCGTTCGACGGAGGGTCGTGGCCGTTCGTGATCTTCTTCTCTAGCCTGCTTCATTGCCTTCGCTTGGTCCAACGCTTTCGCCTCGTCTAATAGGCTGTGGATGTCGATGCCGTAATAGCTCTTTTGTGCCCTCCCTTCAACCACGTTTGATCGAGAGGCAATAAGCTGCTCGTAAGAAAGCGACGGCTTCTTCGACTTCTTAGATATGTAGATTGGCTTTCCAGCTGCTGTCCTAGCAATCAGACCGAGGCTCGGCTGAGCAGAAGCCGGGGCATCCTCAATTACTGTAGGCGGCTGCTTTGTGGGCGAAGGTGTCTTGAAATATGCATCCAGATCATCCACAGGTACCGTTTCCGGATCAGCGACGTCTTCCTGGCTCGCCGGGGGTGTATAGTCTGCGACAATGCTGGGAGCCGACGGTAAATCTCTGAGGATGTCTAAAGCTCGTTTCTTCTGCTGGAGTGTGACCAACTCCTCTTCGTCGTCCGAGTCATCCAAGAACGCGCGCTGTTGGGGAGGTTGGTTGGCTTGTCGAGCTCGCAATGGGCTGCGGTCTGCGTCTGATCGTTTGCGCTTTTTCGGGGATGCTGCTTGCAACGCGGAGCTTTGGGGGTATGTGATGGGCGATGATATCAACGCCATTGTTAGGCTCGGAGGAGAAGAAGGGATAGAATCAATGGAGGGATAATTCTGGATTCGACGGTGTGCAGAACCTTTAAGGGGAGTATCTATGCGGGGTTAAGATCCATACAACGACAATGTTTACAGCACGAGTTCAGCATACCGATAGGGTGGTCCTCCTCACTCCGGAATACTTCTGGAAGGCGCCAGGCTCGGTGCTGGATTACTATGCCTTGTTTCGTTTTCTGTTCTCTGAGCTCTGCTACGCACTCCTGTAGTGCCTCCAGATCCTCAGAGTAGGAAGTAGACGGGGGTTCGGCTTGTGGGAATTTGGCCTCGGAATGTAAAAATATTGCAGGATCGAACGATGTGGGAACCTGGGGAGACGATGTATTCATCGGATCATGGCGACTCAAATAACTTCGGTACGAATTGTGGTGACGATGCTCGTCGTAGGATGAGGCGTTACAGTGTTAATGACCGTGCATGTCCATTTACGCGACATTGGATGCACGCGCACGCGTTGAGACGTGTATCGCGCTATTCTGGATTAGGTAGGGTTCTGGTCTTCACGGCATATGCTTTTCCTACGAGGCAGTACGACTCACAGTACCGTTGCTTTGGAGGCAAAAAACCCAGTAGTTCATGAGCAACACTGCGAAATACACAAAATGGTAGCCCTGCACGTCTGCGTCTGCAACTTCCATCTTTACAGCCGGTTCGGGACATCCACCAGTTCCATGCGATAATTACAGCGGTAGCCCTCTTTTTTTCCATGTAGAAGAGCCGTGATAAAATTGGATCACTGAATGCTTGTTCCACTATAGACTAGTTGATCAATCATTATTATTATTTTCATGTCAAGTATGCCATGTATCTATTAATTGACTGTTTTTGGTAAATGATCATTGCGAATGTTCAAAGATGACGGCAAGCAAGAAGAAAGCTACGAGAAGAGTAAACAGACACCAGTTGTGAGCAGACTAGACTACATATGGTGGGCCAATTATGATTGAGGTTGGCCATCAATTAGCGCGCACTCGGGTCCTGACACCCCGTCCCACACACACACAACCAGACGTCAAGGTGAACAAGGTGAGCGGGACTCTGGAGAGAGTAACATACAATTCAAATATTGTACAACTATATAAGTTATTAAATTTTGAAGAATAACATCAATCAGAAAACAAAGCTGAATGGCGCAGCGGAAGCGCGCCGGGCTCATAACCCGGAGGACGACGGATCGAAACCGTCTTCAGCTATTACTTTCTTTTTTGCATTTTTTTGCAATTTTAAATTTTTAGCCATTCTGACAGACCAACACTATCTACCAACCTAACACAAGTAACCTGGCACACCTGTTCCCCTTTTTATATTTTTCCTTTAAATCCTAGTTGCTGTTTATAACAGACAAATAACTAAGAGGATGTTATCTACAAAGTTTCTACAAATATATCTACTGTATTTTATCTATCTAACTTGTTAATAGAGTACAAAAGGTAAATTAAATAGCGTTAATTAATATAGTATTTGAAATAATAAATTATCATTAACTGTTGCTATAATAAATATGTATACGTGCTATGTAGAGTATAGTACTATATGTTCTTTACTTCATAGAATCATATAATACATTCCAGAGATTTTTCGCAAGCGCATGCAGAAGTGAATTCACGCATCGTCCTCTCGCTACATACGGTCGCGGGACTCGTAGGTATGCCACCTTCCACTCTGAACTCCTTATCAACGGCATCACCTTCCTTCAGGTACGCCCACAAGCCATGTAAAGTCGCTGTGGGAATTGGTGGCAATACAGATGGCAGAGGCGGTGCACCTTTACTGCACCGCTTCGGTATCGTAAGAGTGCTCACCCGGAATAGGGATCTCTGTGGCTTCTTGATACAATCGCTTCGCTCACCACATATCGGAAATTGCCTCCATCTCTGTCTTCGGTTCTCTTCTTCTCTTTTCTGATTGAAGAACGTCCGCAGCGCAGTGAGGGATATCAAAAGAACCGCCACCGCACTTTCGCAATACACCCAAAACATCATCCAGGAAACGTCCTCCGGGGCACCAGCGGGACCCTGGATCCTAGTACTCCGCGCGACGGAGACGGGAATCATGATCAGCGTAAGACTTGTGAAGCCAACAGCCAGCTTTTGGCAGGACAAGATTCGGATTTGGTGGAGGATTATTATTGGGATCGAGGCGATCATGAGATCGGTGATGCAGTCCATCGCAGTGCCCGTGTAGGTGAGAGCTGCCAGCAGCTTCGTGTTGGGGTTGACGAGGCAGGTCGCTAGGGGGTTGATCAGATTTGAATGAGGTAGATGCAATGGGATGCCCTTACCTGTCGACATGCTGAACTGCGGGCAGACAATGAAGGGGCTGATAACCACGAGCACGTATGAGAAAAACGTCAATCCGACAGTGGCAAAGTAGTAGTGTTTGATCGTCCGCAGAGACTTGACTATGTCGTAGAAGAAGGCGAGGAACGAAAATTTGACGCTGAAAGTTGCTGTCCATAGGAGCGTAAGGATCGCGTACATGATGGACATTGCCGGTCTCAATCCCAATAGTACGCCATGAGGAACCACGAATATCAGGCTGGGGTCGACTTGAATCGCAGGACCAATGTAGAAGGCACTGATGTTGTTGTTGAGCATTCCAAATGCCGCGATAAGACAGCCAGTACCGAAGAAAAGGATGTAGTCATCGAGGCGGAAGCAACGCTTGTGATGAAGCTTAAGCACCACACGGCAAGCTACAGAGACGAGGGCAATACTAAACAGAATGGAAGTAATGACCTGATGGTATGATTGAGATGGTTAGCATAGTCAGTCGTAGGCTGTGGACTGGACAAACCTACCTTGAATCTCTGGTGGCTGATCAACGAGATCTGATCAACGCGCTCAGCGAGAAGATCTGATTCGAACATCATGCTCAGAACATTCTACCCAACTATTGGGCGATTGAAATGTCTGACTCCAGCCTGTCAGTATCTCAAGCTGCAGGAGGGGGTGGCTGCAGATCTTATTGCGAGAACATTTTGAAGACAACATCTGATCTCGGACATGCTGACACCAATGTTGGATCACTGTTGCATTTTCTTGAGCTGATGGCTGCATCAATTTTGGCCTGCGTTACTATCTGGCATGGTACTTCTAGGGTACGGATACCGATTCACCAATCAGCGCGCACCGTTTCGAAGCGACATAGTGCTGTACCCATTGTATCTATACGAATTGCTTAACAAACGAGTTGTTAGATAGATGCTATTACAAGGCTGGGAAGATTTATAGGGGTATTCGTAGTTGTGTTGCTGAGTTTCAAGTGGGTTGCGGCGTCCTTGATGCAAGGCCTGTATAGCTGGAGGTCGAAGAAGCGCGTCGCAGCTTCTCTTGCCTGGCCCCTATCATTGAAACCTCGGTACTTTCGCATTTGAAGAGAGGTGGGACAATCGTATTGTTGCATTAGATGAATGCACCTAACCAATCCATTTCTTCAATCATAGTGACTACAATTAGTCACTATGAAGTAGCCGTAGCGTGTAAGTCAAAGATTGTGAGCACGATGTATATATTTCCTCTACCAACCAGATCACAAAGTTATCTTTCCATCAAAGATGATTCCTGACATCGAGCAAACACCACAACTCGCCACATTCAACATGTGAATGTGTGGCGCATTCTCCTCGAACTTTCGGTGATCAAAGGTGGACGCACAGTGGGTATCGAGGGGAAAACATGGGTGGAATACCACGCTAGCTGTAAGAGGCAACTTTTTGAAGAATCCACGAATTCTAGAGCAACCAAATATGTTCGCGGTTACGGCAAAGGTCATGTTGCTCCCTAAACAGAATTTAATGGCACTGAGTAGGGCTGCATTGTAAATCTCTGCGAGTGCATCAACTACTCTTAGAGTAGCGGCCCCCAATCGAGACAGGCTCTTTTCTCGTTAGATACATGCAAGTACAGACTTCGGGAATCAGGTGAAGACCAATTTCAAAATGCAGTTTAGGTTGCTATCTAAAGAAAAAGTAGCCACAATCTCTTATCAAGTCAGTAGTGCCCTGGCCTGATCACACACCATTTCCACGACCACCTCCTGAAAAGCCAGCACCTCCTTGAGTACTCACTGAGTAGACGCTACCTAGTCCACCACCGCGTCCCTGAGAAGCAAAGCGCCCACTCCTACCTCGACTGCGTCCTCTGCTTGCGAAGCCTCCACGGGTAGCAGGAGTGTCCGAATAGACACTTTGGCCGCCCATATTGTTTGCAAAGTTTGTTGGTGCACCTCCACCGAAATTACCAAGCCCATGGCCATCGCCCATGTGAGAGCCGCCAAAATTGCCTCCCTCGAAATGGCTGCCATGAGTTCTGGATCTGGACCGAACACTAGAGTGTCCCCCCCTGAAATGACTGTTCGTATGTCCATGACCGGCCGTTGAGAAAACAGGGTCTGGATCAGTGAAGTGTTGACCCGGAATTGGGCCTGGCAATCCACCAAACGAAGGCTGGGGCCCGGTTCCAGGTGTTCCTGGCCAACCGCCCATATGTGTATGCGTGCGTGGCCTTCTCGAAGCCCTTATATCCCTCCTCGCTTGTTGAGGTACCACTCTCAACCAGAATATCACCGAATAGACCACTCCCCCGAATAGAATCAGGCCAGCGATTACGATTCCTATAATGCCCCCAGTGCCGAGGGTTTGTTGATTCGGGCCATCGCCGAATGCCCTTCGCGAAAGGTAGGTGTACATATTTGTCAAGTTCATGGTATGTTGATCCTCATAGAAATATCGCCGTTCACGTTTGGAGCTATGCTTGTGGAGAAAGTAAGAGCGTAAATGTTCTGAATTTATACACAGATTTGCAGCGATGTCTTTCTTATAGATGCATTCCAGTGCCGCTACTTCAATATTCGAGTTGTCTGATTTCAATGGCCTGGTTATCACAAATTCTTGAGTCACGCTGTTGGTATTATGTGATTGGCAATATTCAATATGTATTTTGTGTTATCACCGAGACTTGCTTCTATGTCCATGGCTGATTGAGACATGGCAGCATGGGTGCAAATTCAATAGAACCCAAATTCATAACTAGCATAAATCAGCGGCCAATGAAGCTCTGAGAAATTCGGTCTCACGAGCTGCCATGGCTTGTTGCTCAGCCTTTTCTTCCCTTTTCTTTTGCCTCATTAGCTTTTCCTTCGGGCGTGATTTGACAAGAAGCTCGTGTCGAACGAACCAAGCAAGAAAGCCGAACACTACAAGAACCGCGAAGATTATTCCAGCGATTGCACCTCCACTGATGGGCTGATCCGAAGATGTGTCGCCGGCGGTCGAGCTGCGAATGCGGATTGCATGAGGTGCCATTTTGAAGGATCAGGAGTGCTTCTTTGGTCTAAGAGAGATGTCTAAGGTGAGCCCGAGAAGGCTGAGAAATGTGGAGTATTATACTTTAGCTGCTGGGAGGGATTCATTGTAACATCGATGCATTGTAAGAAGTTTCACAATGAGGCAAATGTGCAACAGATTGTGGAGATATAGGTTTGGTACCAGTCAAAGTGGTTGCCACAATAGTATTCATTGTTACAAATTCGACGGCTACATAACCAATTGTCCGTGAACAGAGAGATTCCATTAAGCATTAGATCCTGGGACGACTGAAATTAGGAACCTGTGTCTCCTCTCGCTTGTCAGCCGTCTCCAAGTTGTCAGGTCTGCGCTGGTGCTGGACACGATTTCGAATGTTCTTGCCGATTATCCAAATGTATTTGATTATATTTGCAGAAGCCCAAGGTCCAAACAAGCAAAGGCCTATGAATGCGGGTAAGGGAATGCCTCCGACGCGAATATCCGAAGTTTCGGCGTCAGACTGATCTCGTAGGCTGATAGAATGAATTGCAAGGGGTGGCATCTTTGCTGGTTTCTGAATGCGAGAAGACGGTAGGTGGTTCTAGTGTATGCTGAGTGGTGTTGAAAAGATGCCTGACAAGTTCGATGGTTTCAACTAACGACGTTCACTTCACATACACTATTTAAAAGCATTTGGATGTTACGACAAAGGTTGTATCATGCTAAGTCATACATCAGATACTGAAATTTGTTTGATCGTGTTCCAAATATAGCATCTCTTTCATTACTTCATAAAGCTCCTCTAGTTCATTGTCACCTTCATCCCCAAAGCACAATGCCTTTGAACATATTTCTCCCCACCCCAAGACACCCTATCTGTCAGAAATACTACTCGTACATGCTGATGAAAAACACAAAGAAAATAGGATTGCTGTGGAAAAAAAAACAGGAGCTCCATATTGGCTTAGATAGATGTCAGTGTCCCTGGAGGACCAAACCATTGAACGTGGAAGATCTTGACTTAAATTGATAGGAGTGTCGAGTTCCATTACTTGTCATCATAGATTGGTAGGGCCATTGGGTGCGGTACCTTGTTCGGCACTTGGACCTTGTCCTTGGACTTGTGAGGTTGTTGGTGAGATGATGCTTGGATCGAGGCCTTCCCCGGTTTCAATTCCTGGATACAAGACTTGCAAGGGAATATGTTTTGCTCTTGTAGTGGTGGCTGTGCTCTTGGGGTTCTGAGGTATGACTCTTGAACCCCTTGGTTGGTGACCATGCACTGGCCTACCTTGACTCAACACTTGATGACTGGGAACCCGAGCTCGTGACTGGAACGGCGGACGATCAGCTGCTTTAAACCCGTCCCAAGTCTCTTTTAGCCATGTTTTCACGCCATCGACGACACTGCTTGTATCAAAAAGCTTCATGTTCTTCCTGCGTGGTGGATCTTGAAAGCGCACTGTCCTGCGTTTTCGCCAGCGCAAACAGAAGAGAATCATCACCAGTGCGAGTGCAGCTGAGCAAAGGATGCATCCGACCACGAGTGCTAGGTGTCTGTCTGCTGTTTGATACATATCATGCTTCTGAGATTCGCTCATTGTCAAGCCCACGGAAGGACTTGCAGAAACCACTCCCGATTCGAAAAAAGTCGGGTTCGCTAATGTATGCGTTGAAGGTAACAATGTAAATTTCGGAATTTCTGTGAGAATTGGAGACATAATATGCAAAGCGGTGAATTTTAGTGGTTGGTGTAGTTCAGGTAGATATTGGGAGCACGGCGAGTACTTGGTTCAGTCGCAATTTTGCATGCATGATCAGCAGTCTGAATGGTTTGACGGAAGCGTTAACCGTTTGTCCGTTCAAGCCATAGCGCTATGACTGGGTACTGGAAAATCATTGAAGTGAATCAGAGTTACAGAGACATTCACGTGGCAGGCACTAAGAGCAGCATTGAATACAATTTGAGCACTGGAAAGTTTTATGGTTGCTAATAGCGTTATACACATCATCACCATTCATCCGCACTATTGCAAAACTCATTATGTCAAGTATCTGGGGTCGCATTCGGTTGTAAGTCCTCATGAGACATTGCTATCTTGAAGGAATTTGTAACTTCGATATGTAATTAACTAGCTGTGCTCTAGCCCAAGGTGTAAGCATGTTGCGGATGGAACGTGCTCTTCGCATCATGGGCAAGATTTCCAATAGTCTCGCGAATCTTGCTCTGGCTCGTCTGCTTCGCGATAGTCGTCCTCATCTGAATCCTCCTTATCCAACCATACCTGATTCAATAGATCTGTCACCTGGACTCCTGCTCGAGCTTGCCAACTGCACAAGTCCGATGCGACCACCAGGGCGAATGCTAGCGTGAAAATCACAAAGATCGCATTGTAGCCGGGGCTGTCGAAGAAACCTTTCTCGTATGGAACAGCATGATCATTGATCATGTTGGGGGTGGTTGGATGGCACCTTAGGAAATGTGCTTCTTCGTTGTGAATTGAATGCAGTTGCCAGTGGTTAATTGCAGGTTGTCGGTTGTTAGTTGTCAGAAGATAGAATTGGGCATTGAAGCAGTGCTTATATAAAATTAACTTGTACATTGTGCAACTCGAATATGAACACAGATCTGTCTGTAAACATTGTAATATAAGAACTCCCCAACTTTCCTGCCCTGTTCATGTCTATAGTCCTTAGCATAATACATCGATCAATGTGCATGCACATTGGATCCTGACCGGGAAGGGAGCATTTAGCCAAGGTTTCAGTTTACAGTTTGATCGAGCAAGTAATTGTAATTTTGTCGATTCCGTTTGTCGGACATTCACAGATGATGTCCGACAAAACTTGAAAGCGCCTATGGTCGCAGGCGGCGACTTTTGTACCATGCAGCGGCAATGAGCAGACAGAAGACTATTATCACCCCTCCAACGGTAACACCAACGATCCAATTTTGGCCATCATGGGAATCAGGTTTGTAAGGCATCGGTCGATCCGAGCGCGAAGAGAAGTGAAATAATGCTGCCGGTGCCATTGGATGTTCAGTGTAGAAAGGAAGAGAATGCTTGATGTATTGCCAATTTCTTGGGAAAGATCGCATTGATTTGGAAATTTGGAGGAAGTGATGTCTGAATAATATGAACGGAGACCTTGGAAAGTATATATATTCCGCCATAGACCATGCACACATGAAGCCCGTAGGTGAACATCAACGGATCACATGTAGAGGTACAGCCCACATTCACGAATACAGTGGCGAATCCAAAAGTGAATAAGCTCGAAGGCACAACAAAAAGTATTCACTGCAGACTTGATAAGATCGTTGGCTCAGCAGTTTCAAGTTGCATGTGGGCGACCAATAGTCGTTTGTCAATGAACTTTGATGGAATTGGTAGGCTGCCAATGTTTCGTATGTCTCTCCAAAGCCTGGTCTTTTCTCAGTCAATAATGGCGCCCTGCACCGAACTGCCGTGACGTATGATATGCTTTGTCGGGCAACGCGGGCAGTTCGTCGCTCATTCGACTATCCGACATGCTCCCCCGGCCTCGCCCAGGCGTATGTTCCATGCTGCGTGCTTTGCGCCGTTGTCGATGCTGAATGCACTTAAATATTATGACTCCAATGATACCGACGGTGACAAAAGCTCCTATAATGATGAGGGCTATGATTTTGCCCGAGAGTCGGTTTTCTTTGCCAGCAACATATTCGTATGGGGTTGGTACTGAAGTAGCTTCGTACTTGATCTCCGTGGAAGTCGTTGGAGGGACATCCCAAATCTCGGTTGGCAGAGAATACACTTCAGACGATGACGGTGTCCATTGAATAAGATTCGGATCCAGGACCCAACTGTATTGTTCGTCTTGCCCTTGAATTGTTCGCGTGGCTTTGGCGGTGGGCGTTGAGGCGATTGTGACAGCCCCTTCTACCGTAGGATCATCGGACATGGAGACAAGAGGGCGTACATCTGCAAGAGGTAATACAGATGAAGCAGTGAGCAAGAGAGCCGTCGTGGACAAAAGTGCGCCAAGCATGTTGCCAGGAATGCGTTGCTTGAGAGACAAATTTGGCGAATGGAGAATGAAGATGTAATATATACTAGAACCCTTGCATTACCCACCATTGTGTCTTCGCGCAATAAAATCTATCGCACTTGGTAAGTGTAAAACGACGAGACAAGTTTATAAGTGTGCGTATATCTTCCAGCGGAACAAAATATTATTTTGGTGTCCATTTATGACGACACCCGATCGAGAAGCTTGCGCATGCTTGACAGGAACTAATCAGTTACTTGGATAAATCCTTTGACCATTATGAACAAAGCGGTAAGTTAAACTGAGACGATTATTTACGCATCAATTTACATGAAGACACTGGCTGGGCAATCGTAAAGGTGATCATATCACTGGAAGGAATCGATATTGTGGTGTAGCAGGATAGATGAGGCTATTCGGGGATCACGTGTATGAGGAAAAGCACTAGGCAGGGCATAGATAGATCGATCAGGGCTGCCGAGAGGGTTCGAGGCATCATCCACTTACCTACCGAGGCCTATCGACAGAGTCAAATATCTACCTTTCCTACCTATTCACCGATTGCGGGTCGTGCCTGTGATGCTCCCTATTACAGAGGCATCTATACGCGACAATATACTCTAAAATGATTGCAAAGTAGAGCGGGTTCGAGTTTCACTTCTGGAAACCGATGGACGCATTTGTTTACCTGATTGAATGTGTTCGTTTCTGCTGCAGTACGAAACCGAGGATTGTAGGATCATTCTGCCTGACCGACTTGAGCGATGAAATGAAAATGGTTGCATATCACATAAGGCTATTAAAAAAAGTCTAGAAACGTGATTAGACTTTAATGGATCATTGTGGAATATTTGAAACTGAGATCAATCGTGATTGTTCTGTGCGATGTTCAATGGCCTAGCCCAGATCGTGAGTCTTACGGGACACAGGAGCATATACCTTTGATGCACTGTGTTGACTCTTTTGAACATGGTACTTCAAAGTCGTCTAATAACCCGGAGGAGAGACAGGGACCATGGGAGATTGCGCAGATGTGCTAGGATGAACAGGTGCCACTGTAGTCGTTTTGGGCCTGTTCTCCTTTACAATTTGCCCATGTGTAGAACATCGTACAGGAAAACGCCCACGTGTAGAAAGTTAGACGGAGAACCGTACCGACTTTTTGCCATCGGTTTGATACGCCCTAGGGGGCCGTTGTTGCTCTTCATCAGTCGATGCGTGAGGGACTATTGAGGTAGATTCGCTTCTGCCACGCCTTAATTTCCTCCGATTCCTAGCCAACAAGCAGTGGACAAGGCCTATGACCATGACAAGTAAGACCGTGAGAGGCAAGACAGTACACAAGACGGTGATGATTGTAGAGTTGAGTTTGGCTACTTCTGGCAGCGCATGTTGGGGTTGATTGGAGGAATCCATCTCGGTATTGGGAATTATTCGGTGCTGTAGGTAGTACCTAAGTACTGAAACTATCAAGAATATGTCTTATGTACCCGAGTGACCTTTTTCCCTTTATGAGTTGCATTGTCAGTGCCTGTCTCCGGCTTATCGTGATTGATGCGCATTGTACATGAACGTAGATCTTTGAACTCGAGCTATTTTCGTCATTATCACTGATAACAAGCCCTTGTGAGGCACCAGACATGCCTCAGATTTTGAGTTCTCGAAAAGTACATCGTATCGAGACGTCCCAAAAGATTCCGTAGGTGGATCTTCCCGAATTGGCACGGAGCTGATGTATTAGAGCACTGTAGCTCTCGGGCAAAGTCAATGATAGTCTCGCTAATGGCTCGGACTTGAACACCTGGTCATCTGACCTAGAAATGTCGGCATTGTAGAAGGCTGCGATATAGCTCGGATAATTATCATTCCCCAACATGCTTGAGAACTGCACTTGCCCTTCGAGAGAGCGATATATCACTGGAACTGCTTCCACTCTTTCTCCTGCTATCTTGCGTGACTTTCATGGGATCTGAAGTCGTACTCAGGGGTCTCATATGTGTTTGCGGAGGAAAATAGCCTTCCACAGCGTTTGGTTCGTTTCCGTGTGTTTGGATTGGTGTGCGCGCTCGACTATGCATGGGGCTGATTCGGACAGCCTCCGGACTTCGTGTGAACTTCAGGCTGCCACCAGTCAGGGATCGTTGATGTTTCCTCTTGGGTACCACCGCTGGCAGTTCAAGTCTGGAATTGATTCCCATCCATAAAGCCTCTTCGTCCTCATCGCCAGGTACTCGCCAGCCCCCAACGCCTTCAAAATCCCTAGTAATCTCGCCTGTGCCAATAAGAGACGCAAACGACCCACTCTTGTTATGGAGCCGTGGAGTATTAGACGTCGGTACGGCGGTTTCCAAGGATGAGGCGGTGCTTGCGATGCTGCTCCGTCGATGACGAGTGCGATTGGGAGACAAGCGGCTCGGGGACGGCTGTTTGGATGGAATCTTGGGCGGTGGAGGAAAGAAGAAGGCATGGAACAAAGCGACTCCAAGCTCGAAGTAAACAATCGACACGCGTACGGCAAGAGTACTGATGGCGAGAAGAGTTGTAAGCACAGCAAAGACGGCAAGCGGAATAGATACCAGCAAGAGTAATGGCGGACCGAGGAGATATAGAGGGCTTCTGAAACTGCCGGCCATGGTGTTCCTTGTAAGTCCTACCACAGATTTCGAGATCATCACGCAGATTTGAGGATGATAGAGATGGCACAAGAAATCATTCCGTTTGCTATGAAAGAGCACTCTCGTTTCGCCAATTCGTTACTCGGTCGTTCTGGAGGTTCGTACCTGGTAGAAGCTCTGACATGTGAAGACAACCACCGGAGAATCACCAAACGCTGCTACAAACTATCGATAAGCCCCGGCTGGCTCCGCTCGCCGAGTGGCCAATCATATCCTTTCACCAATACAACATCAGCTAAACCAGATCAATCACATTTAATAAATAAAGGCATTCTATGTTGATAGTCTACGTAAAAGATTGAACAGACTAATGGCAAGTGCTGAAATTAACAATGACAAATAACATTAGTGTTCTGCCTTTCACACTTTGATATTCACCTAGTTCTATTGTTACCTCTTAAGCCTTTTGACAGTCGCAGTGGGTTTCCCCTTTATTCACAATTCGGATGTCCCAAAGTCGGGTATAATATGCCCCGAGGAAGGTTTTCTGCTCACACATCGTCTGCCAGTATTCATTGAACAGAATTACAAGATGGAGCAACAAAACTGCAATAACCCCCGCCAGCAATTCTCCGGCACACGTGCTATACCTTCAATTGTTCGCCAAAATGACGCAGTATATTCTACGCAATATGCTGAGCGGTATTGGCGGCCTCGGTATACCCTTGCTGAGAAGCGCAGGTTTGCACGGCAGAAGAAGGCTCAATGGAAAAGAGAGACGCCCCCAGAGAGGCCTGCACTTAGGTCACGATTGGAAGCTCTTGCTATCAAAACCATCGACGACATTATTGACTCCTTTTTAACTCTGCGCAACGCAAAAGGTGGAACGCGGGACGAGCAACAGGCTAAGGAGTCTCTCAACTATATTCTTAATACTCTCCAGGCTCGTGTATCTCATGATGAGAAGATCCAGAGGCATAGAGAAGGCCGAGCAGCGAAGAGGTATGCACACCGGTCACGGCGAGCACAGGAACAGCAGGGTGGCGCCGCTCAGTCTCAGCGGGCTCCCAAACCCCAGGCAGAACAGGTTGACTTGTGTGAATACTACTAAATATCATCTATCCGTTCACTACTGTATTACTTCGCACGGCATATTGTTAGTATTAGATGTTAACTATCTGCCCATACTGCGTATTACTTGTACAAATTGTTACCAATCTGTTTCCCCATGTTTTACTAGCATTCTGAGATCTTAGCGCCTCTGCGATTAGGGCGTACTGTCAAATTCAGTGTACTGTTGTTTCTCAAACACTTGTGTATAAGCCAATGAACAAGACTGTTAGTACCTCTCTGCTTCTTAGACCTGGTAAAGTATCATTAAAGAATATTGTAATACTATACTATAACTATTAATATACTATTTTAGCTATTATAGAGGCTTAGGAATAGTAGTAAAATGCCCTTGCAACTATGTATGGACTTTGAGCACGCGGGTTCGCCTAATTAGTGTTGTGGGGGGGGGCGCTCCCATCTTCGTACTGTTTACTCAAAACGGAAGTATAATGGCCCCTACCTCTGTCGCCAAGCGCTCCTTGACAAGCTGACCATCTCTCTACTATGTAAATGAAATGTTTCTGTGAATGCTGTAGCACAGCCTGCGCAGTGGGCACCTGTATGTATGCTGTTTAGAACGCGGCCTGCCCCCTAGCAGCCATAGGTTGCATGGCATGTCCACTTCGCCGCCTCCAATCAAGGTCTATAATCATTGTCAATCATCTTGCAACGCAGAATTTTGGGTCTAATCAAAGGGTTTGTTGCTATGTACTGTAATGTAATGACGCTGGCCGTCGCTGGCGGAGAACTGCTTTGTATCAACAGGAACCCTTCATGCACCATCGGGACTTGGACAGTTATCGGTAGTTTCCTTGCGACAACTCTGCGGTTGAAGAGGGACTTGTAGCCCCTGGAGTTTCTACTATATACTGGCTTTGGTTTCCTGATTGATGTTGCATTGATTGGAAACTATTCATTTCTGATTGAGAGTTTTGGTCCATTGCATTTTGGTGAAGTGGGTACTGTTGGTAACTGCCAGCTTGACTGTGCGCTACACGTCCTCCATTCTGCTGAATCTTCTTATTTTTGCGTTTGTGTAGGCAATACCACATAAACGCAGCGCCCAAGGCTATACCGATCAAGGGCCCTACGACAACACCGGAGATCCAAGTTTTACTCTTCGATGACGAGCTTTGATTGACGACTTGTTCTGTAGATGTTGGGGCGCTGGAACCTGAGGAGGTGGCACTGGTAGAGGTTGTGGCGATGCTTGAAATTTCTGCTGTGGCAGAAATGCTACCTACGGATGCACTCAGTATTAGGTCATTCGTTTCCAATACCTTGGGAACCTACTACTTGACTGTGTACTAGATGCCTCTACAAGACCACTAATCTTGAATCCAGGCGATGAAACTTCCTGGGGGGGTGGGTAATCAGCATCGTACAAGGTAAAGCGAAACACCCATAAAGAATCATCTGAGAATGCATTAGATGCAATGTTAACGTTCCAGTCGTAGGATGTGGTCGTGGTGAGATCAATACCGCCTAGGCGCGAGTCAGTTTACCCTGCACACTACGGAGGCCATTAAGACTATGAGAAGATCTAGAGGTTTTCTTACGTCCAATTTTTGTGGCATACGTTGTCCCATTGAAGTTCCTAATCCACAGGTCGACTTTTCTCGTATCGCACGAAGGACAGTGGATCCCAAAAAATCTTGGGAGACTTGACTTCCAGATCAAGGTGAATTTGGTACCACTCTGGAGTAGTGTGGAGCCATCGGGAACTGCAGGTGCAGTGAAATTGTCTTGTATGGTTTGGCACCAGATCTGCAGTGGGAGGAAGAAAAATGTCAAGAGGAGAAGAAATGATAGTTCCATCTTTGAGGTCGTACTAAAGTGGTGCGGAGAGTCGTGCAGTGAAGCTGACTACCAGAATGCCAGACCAGCTGGGGTATAAGAAGATTTGCGGGCAACTACTACTTTGGAAGTCGTGTTTGTGGCACAGTGAATGCATATGCAGAAGGTGTATCTTCTACCGACCTGCATCCAATGGAGTTCTTAACAAGAATGAAATGAGATCTAACACACACGGTTTGCGGTAACAAGGCGTAATCGGACCAATGATGCAGTGCTATTAACGGCACCAATAGATTGTAGCACGGACTCATAACCTACCAAAACAAGTAGAGGATATAGGGGTATATCTTCAGCTACAAGGCTACAACCTGCAGAGAGCCTAATGTTCAGCTGAAGGACTTTTATGTTGTGGTGAGCGCTAATGTTGCGAAACTGCAGCCAATCTTACAGCATGCACACGGCAAGCCTATGAAGCACTTCACGCGTTTCAGCAAGATGTATCCTAACCGTGCTAAGAAACGCCATACCGCGGATACAGCCGAGATTTGGATGCCAAAACATAAATATAGCGGGGCAAATCCGTAATGTGGGGGGGAAACGGGCATCAAGTCCCGGTCATAGAGTATGAGCCTTGCATAACAGCATATTTTAAGTATTAAATGTTAACTATCCGTCTATACTGCTTATTACTCGTACCGATTGTTACCTATCCGTTTCTCCATGTTGTACTAGCCTTCTAAGACCTTATCGCCTCTAGGATTAGGACATGCTGTCGAATTTAGTTAGTATCTTTGTTATTACTCAAAACTACACAAAGGCCTTTTAAAACCAGGCGGATGGTGCCTCTCTTCCTTTGTTAACGAAGTATTGTCATTTTAGAACCAGGCAGTCGGTTCTTCTGTTCTTCTGTCACTTAATGAAGCATTATCATTTTAGAAGCAGGCGGTCGGTACCTCTCTTCCTTTGTTACCTAATGAAGCATTGTCAACGAGCGTTGTAAAGTGTGTGTATTATGCTGTAAAATTAACACACAACAAGTTATTCATGTCATTATGCACTCAAGATACGACAAAGGCATGGATTTATAAAACGCAAAGCAGCTCCCAGAAAATTAATGATCCCATATTGCACTCCGAATTGTATTCTACCTCCGCTGATACATCAATTCAACATGTCTCCTCACTTCTCTTTCGGATCTGGCAACTATACTGCAAAGCCACTACGTGCAGATGCTGATAAGCAGACGGCAGAACCCTGGTGGGCGGGAATTGTGGCGTGGGTGGTGGTGATTGTGGGGTTACCAACGTTCTTAATCATTTTCCACAAATTGGTGGTGAAGCGGATTCTCAAACGTCGTGAAGCTAGGCGCCAGCAGGACGTCGAAGCAAGCAGCGCAGGTAAGACCACTCCATCGCGGAGCCTTCCCCAACGAATAAAGGATATGTTCTCAGCTACGAAGCTGGAGCCTGAACATTTGCCACCCAAGGACTTTGATACAGATGTGGACGATGAAATTGCCCGGCCGCAGCCAGCGTTAAAGCCATGCGGACACAGCCGAGACTTGTATGCCAACGTATAACTACGGCTTGACAGTTCTGTCGCGTGGGTGAGGGCATGGACGTTAGTTGCGGTTCAACAACTTAAGTTATTAGAAGTATGCAATAGAGTATAACCACAACAAGACAAACACTGTAGTAAAATTTGCTTCCCTGTTACAAAATAGCCATTCATTTATTAAGTGAAGAGTCAATACCTAATCGAGTAACAGAAATTATGTTCAAACATTGAAGAACAAAACATTGCCTCCCATTGTCATCTACATAGTGGTCAGTGGTCACCATAAGAAGGGTAATCTGTTTCTGCTTTGGCAAGTGAAGACTAAGTTCGTGAGGCGACCAAGCTAAGTTGCCGTTTAGAAGGAAAAGCAAATCCAACCGGTCGAAATTCTCTTGGTCGAAGAGGTTGACAGAAAGTAAACTTTCCGTGAACCTTTAGTGGAATTGAGGAACTTGATAGATGGTGGAGTGTGTGCTCTGATCAAATATGCTTCTTAGTTGGCATTTACCCCCCATCGGGCGAGGTATTCCACACAGTACCTCCGGAAGGATTGATGGTGATTGACTGATAAGCATGCCACTCTCAAAAGTTGACTTTGTCAAGCTGTCTTGTCGATACCGTACGCTTGATTAGCATGCGCTTCCGCCGTTGCTCAGATGAATGGAATGTCTGCGAAGGTTAGCATCATCTTTAGGAACGAAAATTCTTTTTCCTCACCTTAGGGAAGCCAACCACTAACGTAGATTCTTTGTAGAAAGAAACATTTAGATTAAAAAAGACTTTGTAATACTCTGTACTCCGCCTCTAACGAATTGTGAAATAATTTCTGGCCGCGAAAAGAAGATAATAGACAGTGCCGTATGATAAGCAGGCATCCATGAGTGCGCCTACATTAAAGCAAAGGCCTCTGTCAAACTGTGGTACCAAATCTCACTCATGAGTGAAATTTCCTTCAAAGATTCACCATCCAAAGAAGTCTGAATCACCTCCTCCCAGTGCCTGCAATCCAAAGGCAGTGATCATCTTATTATTTCTTTTCCCTCCGTGTCCTTG